AGACGCGAGTAGTTCGACAGAGTCAGTTACAGAAGTCAGCGATGATAGTTCCTCTTCTTCTACAGACACTTCAGGTTCTGATACAACGGAGTCATTAGAAACTGGAAGTACTGAAACCACTGTGGAAATAACCACGGATTCAAGTGCAAGTAGTGATGAATCGACAATATCTACAGAGAGCTTAAGTACTGAGGGCTCGGGAGATGATACAACTGATACTTCTCTATCTACTGTCGAAACTAGTGAAATATCAACATCTTCTGATGAAAGTTCGGTTTCAACTGAACAAATATCTACCGAAATTGGTTCAACAGAAGAAACAACAGAAAATACTGCCACAACTGCGTCAGGTGAAACGTCGAGTACTGAAATTGGATCAACAGATAGTTCCATCAGCTCTACAGACATGTCAATGTCAACCATGGAAAGCTCTACAGATGTTTCCATGTCAACAACTGAAAGCTCTACAGACATTTCAATGTCATCCGAAGACACAACTATTGATATTTGGTCAACCACCGAAGATGACAGTGAAGGAACTACTTCGAGTATACTTGATAATGTCTTTAGTAAAAAACCTAAGCAACGAAAATGCAAGCCTAAAAAACCAAAGGATTGTAAGACTTCTAAATATGGATGTTGTCCTGATAACAAAACTAAAGCTTCGGGACCATTTGATGAAGGATGCCCAATTGCTAAAACGTGCGCTGAAACTGAATTTGGATGTTGTCTTGATGGTGTGTCTCCTGCAGCAGGCAAAAATCATAAAGGTTGTCCGAAGTCTCAGTGCGCTGAAACATTATTTGGATGCTGTTCCGATAAATTTACTCCAGCTGATGGCGAAAATGATGAAGGTTGTCCTGAACCAACAACTGAGCCTCCTACCACAACTACTGAAATTCCTACGACGGAAACGGAAGAAGGAACAGAAGAAACCACTTCTGAATCAGAAGTCACCAATGTATCTGATCTCACGACTACAACTCCTGACGAAAGTGTTGTGAAGTCCTGTTCTTCTGCAGAGTTTGGTTGTTGTCCAGATGGTAAAACGGAAGCTAAAGGTAAAAACTCTGAGGGTTGTGATGGCGTTGATTCAAAAGACTGTAAGAATTCTGTTAATGGATGTTGCGATGATGGTCGTTCCTTTGCTACTGGTCCAAATGGTGAGGGATGCGCTAGTTGTACAAGAGAACAATTTGGATGCTGCCCTGATAATCAAACACCAGCACATGGACCACTTGGTGAAGGTTGTTGCTTGAATTCACCTTATGGTTGCTGCCCCGATAACATCAATAGTGCCCGCGGTCCTAACTTCGAAGACTGTGATTGTAATTATACACCATATGGATGTTGTCCTGACAAAAAAACATCTGCTAGAGGTCCTAATAACGAAGGTTGTGATTGCACAACAACACAATTTGGCTGTTGTCCCGATAAAATCACACCCGCAAGCGGACCTAAATTTGAGGGCTGTGCTTGTCACACAATGCAATTTGGCTGTTGCCCTGATGGCGTTACATTTGCACAAGGTCCACATCATTATGGATGCCATTGTTCTCAAACAGAGTTTCAATGCTGTCCTGATGAAAAAACACCAGCTAAAGGACCAAATAGTGAGGGATGTACGTGTTTGGAGAGTAAATTTGGCTGTTGTCCAGATGGAATTAATTCTGCTAATGGAACCAAATTTGAAGGTTGCGAAAATGTTAAAGAACCACCACAAAAAGCATGTGGTGCACCGAAAGAAACGGGTCCTTGCGGCAACTTCAGCATTTGGTACTTCTTTGATACCTCCTATGGAGCTTGTGCACGATTTTGGTATGGTGGGTGCGAAGGTAATGGCAATAGATTTGAAACTGAAGCAGATTGCAAAGCAACATGTCAGGAGTACAAAGGAAAAGAAACTTGCTTATTACCGAAGAGTTCAGGTCCATGCACAGGGTTTAATAAAAAATGGTACTTTGATTCTGAACTTAACCGTTGCGAACAATTCAATTATGGTGGTTGTTATGGTACAAGTAACCGCTTTGATAGCTTGGAAGAGTGTCAATCGTTGTGTACAGTTAGCGAAAGCATACGTAAGTGTGACTGATGGTAATAGTTTTGATTATATTAAAATTGTTTGAAATATAATCTTTTTAGCACCATGTGATCAACCTATGGATGAGGGTCCATGTGAAGGCAATTTTGAACGCTGGTTCTATGATAATCAAACAGATGTATGTCGTCCATTCATATACGGCGGTTGCAAAGGAAATAAGAATAATTATCCCACAGAACACGCTTGCACATACCACTGCAGGCAACCGGGAATACATAAAGGTTTGATTTCAGTATATAGAATATATCTTTGTTATGGTGTTTGCTATCTTAAGTTAAGTTTGGTATGCGGAATGCTTAAAATTTTTATTATTTATATTAAGTACTGTAATTAATGATGGTGATGGCAACCACCAAGCATTTTTTATTTTTTGGTTATGGGTTTTTTATTTTATTTTATTTTTTCCTGACTTATATACAACAATTACTTGAATGTCTACCTGCTTGTTGAATGCTATCCTTGCTTGCTTTATACCCTTCAATATATATAAATCCCACGAAATTCACTAAATGCATTGCAAACTATGCACATAAACACTAGAATATTGTTCGCTTCCTAAGCAAACCGGTGATTGCAGTGAACAACACGCCCGTTGGTACTACTCGGAAACTGACAAGAAGTGCATGCCATTCTACTACACAGGGTGTGGGGCCAATAAAAATAACTTCTTATCATTGGAATCATGTGAGGCTCATTGCCCCAAGGAAGTTGGTAAGGTTGATGTTGTGGCGTTTGCTTTCATTGTCAAGCTAAGCTACAATAAATGCTAATGTTATATCAGTATTTATACTCTAATATTAAATATTATGTATTTACTTACAATGTGTAGCCAAGGATGTTTGCGAAATTCCTGCAGAAGTTGGCGAGTGTACCAATTATGTTGCCATGTGGTACTTCGACACAAAAGATGCTCGATGTCGCCAGTTCTACTATGGCGGTTGCGGTGGAAATGGTAATAAATTTGCAACAGAAGAAGCATGTCTCCAACAGTGTGAACGAAAACCTGAACCTGAACCTGAACCCGAACCAGAACCAGAAAGACCACCTCCACCACCTACCAGTGATAATATCTGCAACTATAATGCAGATCGTGGCACATGTGATAATTATGTTGTGCAATGGTATTACAATACCAGCTTGGGCGGATGCTACCAATTTTATTATGGAGGATGTGGAGGAAATGAAAATAGATTTAACACTGAGTCAGAGTGCACTGAACGTTGTATTGAACCCCCATTGCCACCAGCACCACATACACAAACTCCTGCGCCAACAGAACAAGATTTATGCCAATCAGCCGCTGATATAGGTGATTGTGATCAGTATGAGTTGAAGTGGTATTTCAATTCAAGCATAGGAATTTGCGCGCAATTCTATTATGGCGGTTGTGGTGGAAATAATAACAGGTTTGAAAATGAACAGGATTGTAATAGCCGATGTGCTCCGCAAATTGATACTCGACTTGGGCAACCTGAAACAAATGCAAAGCCTGAAATTGAGCAACCAAGTGAGGGAGAAAAATGTTATTTGTATCCTGAAAAAGGCGACTGTAATGATAACCAGAATCGTTGGTATTACAATAGCCAAGAAGGTTTTTGCGATGAATTTATATACAGCGGTTGCGGTGGCAATGCCAATAATTATGAAAGCGAAGATGAATGCCAAAATGCATGCTTTGATGTTCAAGCAACATGCTCTCTGCCACCTTTCGAAGGAAGATGCAATGAAAGCCTGACTAGATGGTATTATGATGAACGCTCTCAGAAATGTCATGATTTCATATTCACTGGATGTCGCGCGAATAAAAATAACTTCTTTACTGAAAACGAATGTTTGGATTATTGTGGTCATAGTGTTCCAGCAGTACCTGAAGAGCCACCGGTTAGTATATTTTTTAAACATATGAAAAAGATTAGCTGATTTTATAAATTATCTATACTTAGAGTTATTCAGTTTGCGATTTGCCAGTGGATGCAGGAGAATGCGAAAATTATACCGCTGCTTGGTACTATGATAGAAATACTATGGCATGTACTGAATTTACTTTCTCAGGATGTGGTGGCAATGGTAATAGGTTTACAAGCAAGGAACTATGCGATCGTCAATGCGGTGAATTCAAAGGAATGGGTAAGTAAATGCTATTTAAAATATCTTGATCAATTTCTAACTGAAAAATGGTAGACGTATGCAATGAGCCAGTTATGACTGGACCCTGCCGACAATGGCAGACGCGTTTCTATTACAATAAAGCGACTGGTACATGTGATCCATTCACTTATGGCGGATGTGATGGAACCGGTAACAGATTTGAAAGTCGCTCTGAATGTCAATCGGTTTGTATTGTAGGTCAGGAACCAGTAGTACAAGAAAATAAAGGTAAAACGCAAAACGACTGTACGAAATAATCAGTCACAATAAACTTACAATATTTGTTTGTATGAGCAGATATATGCAAATTACCAGCGAGTACTGGAAAGTGCGATGGACCTTCGATATTTGAGCGTCGTTGGTTTTATGATGACGAAAGAGGCACATGCGTATCCTTTATTTACAGTGGTTGCTCTGGCAATCAAAATAATTTCCGTTCATATGAGTCTTGTTATGATTATTGTGCAAGTAAGCCCAGCCTGCCTAGTGGGCAAATTTAAAAATTATAATGCACACACCCTACACTTTAATGCACTGGTTTCACTATAAGCACCCATCACTTAAATTATATCACTTTAGTTAAAACACTGTTAAAATTGCTTGGTATTTTTGTTTTTTTTATTTTGGTTTATTGCACGTTCATTATTAGTTTCGCACGGGGTATGGTATGGAATGGTATAATTTTATTTTCACTATTATAGAGAAAATTTCAGTTGGCTAATAAGTTGAATCAACTTTATAAATTCTTTTTAATATTAATTAGAACCGTTGCATCCTCAACAACCAGACGACCAAACTAATGAAGTCCTGCCGAATAAATGCGAAACCTACGAAGATGAATGTCGTCAGTTACGTTGTGCCTTTGGTATGCGTCGCGTTGCTTCTGAAGACGGATGCTCACGTTGTGTATGTGAGAACCCTTGCGAACAACAGTCTTGTCCAGAAGGTCAACGATGTGCTGTAGACATATCTAGCGATACTAATCGACAATTCGAAGCCGTATGCCGAGATATTAATAAGCCAGGAGAGTGTCCATCAACATTAGCAAACTCCAGTAATTGCGCACGTGAGTGCTACACAGATGCGGACTGCCGTGGTGAAAATAAGTGTTGTAGTGATGACTGCGGAGCAATATGTGTACATCCTTCACAACCCACGCCAGTAACATCACGACCCACAACAACTCCAGTAGTTACTTACCCAAGTGATGCAAAGGCAGCTTTAGAACCGAAAAAACCACAGGAAGTGAATGTACAGGCCGCTGTAGGTGGTATTGCTGTATTACGTTGTTATGCTACTGGTAGTCCAGCACCCAATGTAACATGGTCTCGGCAAAATGTGCTGGTTAGTAATATGCAAAATTTCTTCTAATCTCATTTGTTTATAGCGTTTATTTTATAGATCAATACTAATCAAGGACGTTACCTGCTTACGGCATCCGGTGACTTGACCATTGTACAGGTGCGCCAAACTGATACTGGCTCATATGTCTGTGTTGCAAGCAATGGCCTAGGTGAACCTGTGCGACGTGAAGTAGAGCTTCAAATTACAGGTTTGATATAATTTAACGTTTGTTTGGCTTCGACAATATACTAACTTAACGCATGTTTTTATGTTGTTCGCTAATGTAACAAATGGTTTCGGGCTTATTTTGTTCTAATGCATGTTAACTTTAAAAAATTATTGAAAACATCATAAATACAGAACCTAAAGAAATACCTTCATACATATATGGTGATAAGAATGGTACACAGATTGTTACACTCAATAGTCCTGCCTTAGTTCGCTGTCCAGCTGGTGGACACCCTGCTCCACATGTGAGTTGGTGGCGCCATCGCAAACACTTGGGTCTAATAAGCGATAAATTTGAACTTACCCGTGATTATTCCCTTATGTTCCGTTCAGTCCAATTAGTTGACTTGGGTCCGTATACTTGCGAAGTGTATAACGGAATTGGTAAGCCGTCTTCTATGAATATTGTGCTTAAGGCTGTAGGTCCTGCACGTGCTGTTAATAACGAAGACTCTGCTTATTTGCAATATATTATTGATCCGGCAAGAATACCAACAACGGCAAGACCTGCGTATCCTTACCGACAGACACCAAGTTATATACCACCACAACCACCAATTGAGGTGGAGCCACCAACTCGTCCACAAGTGGGTAAGTACACATTTGCATGATACGTTTGGCATGTTTCAATTTCATTCGAAAACTTGTTTTGGTTGATTGTTTTTAATGTATTATTCCGATAATCCGGGCACTCCATTCTGACAAAGTTAACTATTCTTAACAAATTTTTCCAATACGCTATACGCCTGTTTAACTTTTTTTTGAGTTATAAGATCTTAAAGTTGAACATTTTTCCATGAAAACCATTAATGAAGGTAGTATATGAAAACCATGTACTTGTTGGCGTTAGATCTCATGGCCTATATCGGCATATAGCGTAATGGAAAAAGTAACTTAAAATAGCTAACTTCACAGTAATTTGTTGTCATACAGACGTATTGGTGAATTGGAATCGCTTTGTTTATAGATTTTAGTTAATATCCTTTTGTAATTATTATTCACATTTATTGCTTTAGTACCGGTGCAAGTGGTTTTAGGCTTGGATCCTAGAAATAATTATACTCCAGGCTCAACAATTGCTTTAAGTTGCTCTGTACAAGGATTCCCAACACCAGATGTAACATGGATAAAAGACTCAGCTCCATTACTGCCAAGTGATCGAATACAAATTACAAGTAAGCTTCAGTTATATATAATGGTTATGATAAGATATTAAAATGCATATTTTATATTGTATTTACAGCAAATCCATATCGTCTGGTTGTAAACAATATTACTGCTGAAGATGCGGGCATGTATGGCTGCGTCGCTAAAAATTCAGTCAGCTATAATATTGCTGAAGAAAAAATAAATGTTGAATGTAAGTGAAGAAATTTATTTAATTCTTTATTAAATATTTATTAACTTAGGTAATAGCGTAATTTTTAAGTTTAACAGAAACTGGTCATTAACACAACATAGTTTAAAATTTATTATTAATTTCATAAAAATTATATAAAGTTGATTTTTATTCTGTTCTTGGTTTTGGGGATTGTTTTTATTCTGTGGCACCATAATTTGATGATAGATTTTCGTAAAGTCGGTTAATTTAAGTAACTTCTTCTACCACACAATAGGCCGATGCAATTGATTCTTGCGACATCAAGGATTTAAGTTGCAAATTTTTAAATGAAATCTGCAATAATCATTGTGTTTCTGTAATTGTTTCCGTTATCTAGAGAATTAAGCTATATTGATATATGTTGACATTTTTATAATTAAATTTTCAATAGTCATTGTTTCTGTAATTAATGCAAATATTAAATGTACTAGCTGCCACTAGATTTCGTGACTACTTTTTTTCGTATAATCTATATAATCATATATATATATCTGTGAAATATATATATAGCTGAAACGCCAACTGAACGACGTAGCTTGCTCAAAATTAAAAAGTTGCCCGCTGGTAGATTTCAGCTGACGGCAGCACTGTTGCATTTGGAGTAATTGCGCGGGAAATTCAAAAAGTCACTGACTTATCAAACCACCCTCGTATTATCACTTATTTATATTTAATTTCTTTATGATAAAATAATAACGTTTTTATTAATTTTTGAAGTTATTATATGAATTTTGTTTTTACAGCCTCAATTCAAGTTCATCCAGAATGTGTGGATAATCCTTACTTTGCGAACTGCGCGCTGATTGTTCGAGGAAGATACTGCAGTAATCAGTACTACGCTAAATTCTGTTGCAGATCTTGTACACTAGCTGGTCAGATTATCCCGTCACATCCTAATGCTCTTTAAGCAATAAAGCAGCCAAAGTTAGCGTAAATGAAGAACGTTAAATTGTAATCACACACTAATTTCACTGACTAAAAAAGTTACTGAAATTAAAAAAATAGAAACGAATTTTTTGCATGCTTGTTCGCACAGAGCAAATCCGGCTCAGGCCCAAGTAAGCGTATTAAACTAGGTTAAAATTATGTTGAAAGCATCAATTGTTTAGTTTATAACAATAATAGAAATACCTAATACTGAAATACTTAATAAACTAAAAACATTGAAATAAATGGAGAAATTTATAATATATAACTTAGAATTTGTTAAGTGCAGCCATTAAAAACGATCATAGTTTCTGTGAAGATAATTAGCTTTGTAATTTGTTCCTATTTATTGCTCAAACTAATCATAATAAAAAAGATATAGATTCTATGTTGATAGACCTCTATGTATAAACTATAAACGAATGATTAATAATAATTTTATTTCGATATTTAATTAAATAAATAAATTTCCAAGTGCCTTTTTTTATACTTTTAAATTTGTGCATTGATTTAAAATTGTAAGAAAAATTCGTTTAGAAAATAATTTGTAAATAAATTTGATATGAAAAAAATTTGTGGTTTTTTTTAAATAAATTCATTTATACAAATATATATTATATATATATATATATATTCCTGGAATGGCAACACCTGGTGAGTTGGAAAAATCAATATCGTTAAGATTAACGGACTTGCAGCTGTGTTTGACGCATGCGCAGTATGCCAAACCAGAAAGAACAATGATGATTATAACATGTGAAGCATTTCATTCTAAAAACTAAAAGTTAGCAGTTTGCTAACAGAAATTCTGTAGTTATCAAGTGATTTTAAAATGGAAGATAGTGGCATAGATAGTGAAGAACCACATCCAGTACAAATATTTGAAGACAAGCAAAAGGTAACTGCATAAAAAATATATCGATTACTATGACGAAGGGCTGACAATTGTATTGTGCATGTAGGTTTCCACATTTGCCAAAAATTTTGAAGTACCTGCAAGCCATATGGATGAGCTGGAAGTGGTGTTTAGAGGAAAAAATGTCGAAGCTAATAAGGATGTGGAAAATTCAAATCCTACTACAGATGTACAGGAACATACAGCTGGTGAAGATAGTGAAGATGGTGGTTTAATAAGACGTCAACCTCCAAACACTTGTCGTGTATTGCAACGTAAACTGGAGCTGAAAGTTGAGCGAGCCAAACGAAATTATTCACAATATCAAGAGGAAAAAGTATACAAAATTTATAGAAATACTTAATTTATATCATAGTTTTTCTGTTTTATGAATATATAATTATTTTAAATTTTTAGGTAAAAAAATCACAAACTGCTACATTGATACCTATTAGCAGACTACCAATACCAGGTGATATAGAGCAACAGAAACTATTGGTTGACTACAAGTCTGACAGCAAGTAATAATTGCCAAATTTAATTTACATAATTTTTATTTAATGGCTAAACAATTTTTAATATAGAGTTATCACACGCTAATTGATCAATTTTTTTTATTATTATTACAGGGAAAAATTACGAAAAAACAGCTTGAATTATTATACAGTAATTCTTATTCAATTTTTGATATATCGACCTTAGTCCAAAGTTATCATCATTAAACTCAAAAAAAAATATTTTTTTTTGACATTTGCTTAAAAGTGCATCTGCAACACAATTTTCAATTCCCTGAAGATTACTATAGAATATAGTCAAAATATCGGTGACAATGTATTAAATTTTTTTAATACTAATTTAAATAGTTGTGTATTATATAAAATTGATCAATAAGCCTGTTCTGAAAGTTATTAAAGAAATTTGTTCATTATAACAATTAATAATTATATTTGGAATATATATTTTTATCATTTTGTTTTTAGTGATGAACCAGAAGAAATTTCATTTTTCCCTGCCAAACTAAAGAAATCGAAAAAGCACTCTAATCCTGAGCTAACAGATACATTCAGCATACAAGAGATGACAATCACCTCCGATTTGGATTCAGATGATTCTCAAAACTTAGAACTATTGCCTCCAATGATGAAGAAAACATTTCTCGATAGAATCAAAAGTTGCTTTGGGTGTGTTTATGTGAGCTAATATCTGTTAGAAAAAAAGAAATAAAAGGCTTATTGAGTTATACGTTTGCTTACTGAGTGCAAATCTTCTAAAAAGTGGCCAAAAATTCTAATAAGAACATTTAAATAATATATTAAATTAGTGAAATTCTAAAATATATGAGCAAAAAAATAAATTTATAAATTTATTTATTGAAATTAGCATGTGACTAATTTTTTTTACTGAAAATTATTTAGAATTTTTTTAAGTAATTAAAATGAAATAAATTGACATCAATGAGCTAGCTATACAGAGTAAACTATTAATCATTCAAATTATTCGACGTTATGTTATAGTTACTTTCTAATCAAATGAAATTTAAATTTGAAATTAAAAATATTACCCAGAAAGACTCTACATTCACAGCAATCGCCAATATACCTACAGTTGAAAGAACTCACTCTCAAAATATATTGTATATTGTAATACATACCCAGCGACTAGTTCTGAACTAGAGAGTTCACTAGTCCCTAGGTGTGTAGTACTAGTTGTCATTGACGATATACCTCGAAATTACTCTTTTCACTAGTTCATAAGGGGTAGAATGGTGTCAATTGTCTTCGTATCATAAATCGCGGCACTAGTCTTTTCACTAGTTCATAATGGGTAGAATGGTGTAAATTGTACCCGCACTATACACTAGTATTTTCACTAGTTTTTAATTTTGAAAATTATAAATAAAACGAGCATTTTTTATATTACTATATATATTCATATATATATATATTTTAATATATGTATATACATATATATATATTAATAATTCATGTATGTGAACTGTTAAAATTAGTAAAAAGAAGAAAGATAATATTAGTAGAAATATAAGTAGTTTGCATACCATATAATTTTTTTCCAGGTATTTAATTGAGTACATCATATAATATTTAGAATCTGTAATAGAAACAGATTTTTAGATTGTTTTTTTTTTTTTTGTTTGTTGAATAGCTTTTGTGACATATATAGAAGGTGTGACTTTTTCGACCAGGTGAAATAAAAGTTTAAAGTGTTATATATTGAATTCATAAATTTATGACTTTCAATTATAGATTCAAAAATTAAAATATTGGGTATAAGAATACCATACTTCAAGCCAGGCAATAGTTAATTATAAATATAAAGGAACCTTTACAAAGTAACAAAAACATTTTGTTATAAAATGGTATTAGTTTACTTTAATAATAAATATTGCATCAATCCAATTGGGCCGATTTATACTATCATGAACGTAACATGAACATGAACTTGAAAACCGGTTACTTATGGATGAAAGAGGGAAAAGGGTGTGATGTGAGTTCATGAATTTCACGCAATGAAATTTGCTGCGTTTCTTCAGTTTGACACGCAACATATGCAATGTTATGTTTATGTTTACCTTTTAATACTGAATACTCTCAATTTCTGTGCAACTGCACTACTACACGCAAGCATTTTATACGTTTACACAAAACAAATTCGACGCTCACGACAGTTCATGATAGTTAAAACTGAACTGACAGTTCATGTTGTCGTCAAGTTCATCTCAAGTTCATGATAGTGTAAATAGGCCCAATGAACTAATGTCAAGTGGTTGAAAATAATGAGCATTTCTTCACAATTGTACAATTTAACTGCATAAATATCAGCTACGCAGGCACTTCAGGACGTATGACAGTTTGAAAAATTTAAATCTTATTTCAGTTATTTCATATATTAAATTAAAGTTCCCCACTTCAATTAACTTTATGTTGAAATCTCATATATAACTTCATCATTCTTTTTTAGTGCTAAGAAAAAAATATTTGAGATGCATTGCAGCATTAAAATATGTGTGTCGTCTTTTTATATGCGAAAAATAGGAAAAAATGTACTGTAGAGAGGCGGTGGAAGACAAGAGTGAGTTGGAGACTGAGAGAGAGTTAGAGACAAGGATAAGTAGAAACAGAGTGTAATAAAGTATTTCAATGAACTCATATTACAGACCTGTTCCTATATCCACTTTTAAAATGAATCTAAAAATCTATCTTGATAAAAAAGACTAAATTCTTACTGTAAACTATTGTTTTCAATAGAAAGCTTTTTATCGAATAGTAGTGAAATTGCAGCAACAAAAAAATTTCTTTTTTTATTATTTTTTTTTAATTAAATTGATTTTTTATTTGACCGTATAGCTTTTCGAGTATTGCCAAATACTCATCATCAGTGGTCCTGGAATTTTTTCTTATATTTAATTATTCGTAAATAATTTTTTGAGACTGTAAGTACTATGAATCCTGCCAATTTTGAAGTTCAGAGTCGGTGTTCATTAGCCAACTGACCCAAAGCCGAACTTGATTTGTTTGCTCAAAGTTGGAGTTTTGTTAATTTGTTGTGAAGATTCTTTTACTAATTTACTTGCTGTGTTATATTTGAAAGAAATCATAAAACCGGAGTACAATAACTGAATTATTTAATTAAATTTTTTTATTTTTAATTGTTAAATGTCAACACTATTTATTTGTGGAGACATTATTTATTACATGCTCTTATTACTTTTTCTCGTAGGTAGAACCTATTCTAGAAACGTAATATGGAGAAATGATAATGTTGCTAATATTATTCCATGATTCCCTCAAACGAAATTGGAAAGTTGAATGAATAGTTCTATTCATATTTTATTTTATAATAGCTTTATATTGCATTGAATTTTAACATCTGTTTTGACGAAAGAAACTAAATTATTGTTTTAAATGGAGAAATTTTTATTGAACAGTATAGAAATTGGAAGAAGAGGTTTGGAAAGTTGAATGAATAGTTCTATTCAAATTTTATTTCATAATAGCTTTATATTGCATTGAATTTTAACATCTGTTTTGACGAAAGAAACTAAATTATTGTTTTAAATGGAGAAATTTTTATTGAACAGTATAGAAATTGGAAGAAGAGGTTTTTTTTTCTATTATTTTTAATTAACTGATTTTTTGGCTGGCAATAGAGCTGCTTCGAACATTGTCAAATACTTATCATCAGTTTTTTGTATTTAATTATTGCACCCTGCGAAATTTATATGATATGTAAATTATGCATATCCACTTTTCGAATCGCAAAACGCAGGAATTTCGTATGATATCATTTTACAGGTTCTAATAACCATAAAAATTGCTTTCGTTTTTAAAACGGTATATTTCAATTTCTAGTTATGTCATTAGAAATGTTGGATTCTTAATATCGCCATTTTTTTTTATAGTAATGTATTAAAAGTGTCATCAATTATCATCGACTTAAATACTGAATAAAGTCGGTAAGATTAAATTTAATGTACTTGTTATTTGCGTGACACAAATTCCTTGTTATTCGATTATTATTATTGCAAAGACCATACTGGTTATATATCTTTTCTGATAACACATAATACTTGTACGTCGCGTATGAATGATAGGCAACGCTGCCTATCAATTAATTAGTAGCATTCAATAGCAGTAATTGCCATTTATATTCTGTTTTTGAATAACAGTCATTTTAAATTCCAATTGCGGTTTTCAATTGAAATATAAACAGCATTAAAAATTATTTTTATATACAAAAAATAAAAATAAAACATTTTACCCAGCTTCCGTTGAATAAGTTAAGCATGTTATTTTATTATCCTTAATCAGAATTAGCAAAAAGCGTTTAAGTTCGTGCAGTCAGAAATAACAGCGTAAAAATAAAACTGACAACTAACAGTGGAATAATAACAGAATCTATGTTAACTACAAAGAAATTGGACAGTGTTATGCACAACTATTAGCAGAATGTTATCAATTAGCAGTAAAATTAGATATTTCATTGAATTTTTAGCAATTGGATTATATTATCAGTTGCGAATGTTGGAATATTGTTTAACTTTTATTTCTATTAAATAAAACAATAACACACTTTTTTTAAAGAAATATACACTATCTATTATGTATAGGTACCAATAAAAAATGTCTATTTGTGTCGAAAAAAGCAGAAGTTAACTTTTTCCAATAGGCGATTACAGTAGAACAATGGGTAATAGAAAAAAATCTCTTATAAGAAACGATATTTAAATATTGAGTTATTGATATATGAAAAATTAAGTAGATAACATTTCAAAAAAATGTAGACAAAAACATGTTTTGCTAGGTTTGATTAGTTTGATTAGAAACTTTTTGAAAAAGATTATAATTTCCGAACGCACTTGAGTACAAGAGTTTACTAAGCACCAAATCAGTGTTATTCACTCTGTTTTCGTTCGTCACTTTTATTCGACGCCCTATTGTATATAGTACCTAAGTAATTAGCTTCCACACTGTTTCTGTTAGGAAACACACTTTAATTGTAAGATATTAGTATGCATGTTACTTTATTTTTTGAAAGTATTATTTATAATAGTTCATGAGAGCTCAGTCAAGTGTTAAACCATGTCAATTTGTGTTTCTAATGTTTATATTATTATATATCATTAAAATTGCATATAAAATAAATTAGTATATACTTTTTATTTGTATCCAATTAATAACAATAAAATATATTCAAATAAAATAATAAAAAGATGAGAACTTAATAGATTTGAAGTTAAAAAATAAACATTTTAAAAATTTTTCAGTCAGTATTTAATGTTAAACAAACTCCTTGTAAAATCCATAAACTTAAATCTTCCGATGTGGCTAGGTCAGCTTCGAACACGAGACCTACACCCATAGCGTTGCGTCGTAAGGATGTTGTGTACACTGGAGAACGGTAGGTGTTCTAAACAAAAATAAATTTTTTATAATGAAGGTCATTATTATTATTAAAAAAAAAACGAATTTGTTCCCAATGTGTGAAATGAAAAACGTTTGAACATTTTTGTACTTTAATATGTGAAATTATGGCACACGAACAAACTTGAACTAATTTCAAATTAGTACTTGTCAGTTGCAGTTGGCATTGTTTGGTCAACCCAAGCAAAATGAAAAAATAAAAATATTAAATAGATATTAGTAAATATGGCATAGATCGCCGTATTCTATATTATATCCAAATAAAGAAGAGTACATTATTAAATTTTCACTTTCCACACAATTATGCATGAGAACGAATTTTAACAAAAACAAAAAAACAAAATTAATAAAATTAAATACTGACCTGTAATTTCAGTCTGTGAACTTCTATTGGCACAACTGACATAATTGGTAATTCTTCCACCAAAATTTTGGGATGCGAACGCGCCAATTCATTGATTTTCATATCCCACCGAGCGCCTTCAATGTAAAGTCCAGATATGTAGCAGCCCTATTAGTCGATGACAGCAATACAAAGACGGACATGATGTGTTCATTGACATTTTGACAGAGCAACAGAAGAGTCATAAGCAAGAAAAAAAGAAAAACGAGATATAAAGTGAGTTGACATGATTAACATTCAATCGGAATGGCTAATTAGAGAGAAATTCTGGTATTAGGTTTGTGGGTGGAACAAATGAGCTTTTATGTGCTTGCACTTAACCAAATGGTTTGTCAATAGAATTAATCAATAAGATATTAATTGTTTGTTTTTTGCCAAAATTTGCATCGCGAGAGTAGTAGAATAGAAATTCATCTTCGTTTTTAGGTGCTATGCACCTTAATGGAAGAGCAACATAAAATATTTCTATAAATATAAACTCATGTATTTGAGGAAAATCAAAATAAAAATATTTTAGAATTGTTTATTTTTTCAAGTAATTGTAACTAATTAAGAAATTAATGATAACTCACTAATAAATAACTTTTTAATAATAATTTAATAATAAATTGTCGCTAATATTGAAAACGAATAACTTAAAACTGTATGTAAAACTTAAGTCCAATAGAGGAAACCGTAAAAAAATACAAGTCTTGTATATTTTCACAGTCTTGTATGTTTTCTTATTCATATTCATATTGAAGTTTATTTAATATATAAAGCACTTCATATATATATATATATATATATATAAGTACATATATACATATATACATATATACATAAGTACCTATATAAAACACTTTATATAGTTCGTAAATTACTTTATTTAGTGAATATATAAAGTTTTTCTTATTAGGAACCCCTGTATCTTCTATTTGGTTAATATTGAAAATAGGCATAAAACTCTGTTTGTTCTTACCGTAGCTGGGCGTTCTTCAATATCATCTGGGTCTGTATAATTTGTAACACAAGTATATAAGGTTGATCTGTCTAATGGCCAAACATTTTTGCGACAAGCAATCTGAAAATATGAAATAGTAGAGATATTTTTTTTAATATTACCAAATGATAAATGATATGGTTAACGATATGATTAAAACAATTACCTGAACTAATGCTGTTAGATAACTTTGAGGTATATGCAAACCAGAAAGCCACATAACCATTGGCTCACCTGATAGTGCCCAGTATTTAAATTGAGTATTGCGATTCTATTTAAAAATTATACAAAATGAAGATTAAGTAAATATATAAACATAAGTAAATACATATATAATAAAAGTACTTTAAATGATTAGATGATTATTTAAATTATAATTCAAATAATTGTATCGATTTGTATTGAAAAAATGTAGTATTCTGTAATTTTAACTTCCTTAAAGAACACTAGACTTACAGAACAAGACAAAAAAATAAACAAAATAATTTAAATATCATATAATAAAATAAAAATTAAAAACGAATTTGAAATAAAACAAATTAAAATAAAAAAACTCGTATAAAACAAAACAAAATAATCTAAAAAAATTATATAAAATAAAATGAGTTAAAATAAAATAAATTTAAAAAAAATAATTTTGAAAAAAAATAAAATGAATTGAAATAAAGTAACATAAAATAAAAAAAATAAATGAAAAATTAAATTAAAGCAATAATGAATTGCAACAATAACATTTTTTACGCTTAATTAATCAAATTTTTTGGCTGTCCATACTGTTTAAGAGTTGACAAACATAATGGATGTTTAGTGGTCCTTAGAAATTAAAGAATAAAAGCCACCCAATGCAATCTTCGACCAACGAAATCGAGGTGAAGAGTGTATCAAATAGATATATAAATGAACAATCTTCAGTTGCTATTACATTGTAAGCTATTGTAAAACACCACACACATATATCATTTAGATATATTAGAATATTAGATATTAAAAATATAAGTATTGAAAAAAAGAAAAATTTACAAAAAATAAAGATTATGAAATAAATTCAGGTGAAAAATAAAAATCAGATAATGTGATAAAAACGCTAGATAATAAAAATAAATTGAATAATTATTTAACAAATAATTAAAAAATAAATTGTATTTAAATAAAAATAAATTGAAATATTAAGAATACACCACAATGATAACATTGAAGACAAATTTAGTAATATAGAATCTTATGTACAAATAAGGAAGAGAATTTAAATATGTGTGTAAATTAAAAAATAAAATACAACATGCATGAATAAAGAAGAAGAAAAATATTAAAGAATAAAACAGAACAAATATAAGAAATATATTAATAAAATCAATATATATACTGTATATTATAATTATTATATATTTTTGTTTTTCCTATCTTAATTATAATATTTTATATTTCGTAATTAATAATAATAAAACCAAAAAATATAACTAAAAAATAAAACAAAATAAAATATTTAAAATATGATATAATTATAATATTTGTAATATGTAATAAAAAAACACATAAAGATGGAATCAGAAATTATAAAAAATTAAGTAAAATCAAAAATAAGTAAAATCATATTCGGATAAAAAATATAGTTATAGTAATTGTATAATTACAAATAATAATATACAGTAAGTAATAATAATATAATAAAATAATAATAATATAGTGAAATATAGTAACAGTAACAGTATAAGTATTAATAATAACATATGGTAAATAATAATATATAAATAATAAATATAATATATAACAATAGTAAATAATAATAATATAGTGAAATATAGTAATATTAACAGTATAACTACTAATAATAATATATAGTATATAATAATATATGAATCATTCAATAATTAATAATAATAGTAAATAATTATAATATAGTGAAATATAGTAATAATAATTCTATAGTTATAGAAATTAAACATATTCGTATAATAAAATAAAATGTAAAGTATAATATAACAAATTGGAATCCAACAAAGTCATTATTCTTTGTATTTTATTAAAAATTTTGTTTTAAATTCAAAATAAAAAACATGTATTGTTTTTTATTGTTTTCGATATTGTATTTACCTGTAAATGTTCTAACCAACTGCCAAGTTGCTTACACGTAGCCGGCGCCAGTTTTCGCCAATTGTCTGGCAACATGCCATTGAATAACGAATTTGCGATATTATCGAGTACATTGTCCATACCAATCTCACCAGCAATTGCCTATAATTGTGTAGAAAATTGTACTTCTAATTAAAAATGCAATTCAAATTAAATAATTATTTTCATTGTGAGATATTTCAGTACGAATCATGATAATTTTTTTCCCACATAAAAGTCCTTAGAGTAGTTGGCAGAACCGCATATTGGGGTAGCATTGCTGCAACTCTTGCTGTTGTGGTTTGGGGTTCTTAAGCAAGTGCCGCTTGCACTTGTGTACAATTTCCAAGTAAACAATTTCAATCTCTTTCACCAACAAAACCAACCGAAATGCCCTTTTGACGATTATTTGAGCAAACATTTGCATTCGCTTGGTAGTAAGAAACTGTGATAGTTGCTGCTGGTGCCATGTTGGCAATGCAAATAATGCTGTTGCCAACGACAGAACGACACAACCAACGGTAGCAACACCAACACCAGCACCAGCAGCAGCACCAGCAGCAGCACTAGCAACAAAACAAACAACAGTAGTAGTGGTAAAATAGTAGCCAACGAGAGTTCAAAGTTCATTGTAAATTTATTCCGCTAAATGTTTTAACATCTAAGCTAAAGAAATGTAGGCAGCGGCAAGGCAGGAACCGCAGTTTGCCTTTTGCTGAGGTTCAGGACTACGCATCTCAAAAGTACAAATAAAAAAATTGTGTACCGAAAAACTTTAATGTTCACACAAAAGGCAAATACATTTATTTGTGGGCGTGTAAATATGAGCATTTGAAAAATATTTAGCGCAGTGTGGGCAATGTATCTAAAAGATACTTTGTTTTTTCTTTGTTTTGTTTTTTTACATGTTTTAGTTCAATATTTTTTTGTTTTGCAATTTAAAAACTGTATTCGAAAATATGCCGCCTTCAAGCTCTTATTGCCGCCAAACTGACAACAGAGCGGCTTGGCAGAAAGATGGATTGTTAGATAAATTTGCTGTCTTATTTTTAATATATACAAATATATTTGTACTCCATTCTTCTATTATGATGTGTCTAACTTTTTTGTGCCATTTGTTCTTGAGACTTATGTAAAAATAAAACAATATGTGGTAAACCCTATCCTTCCTTTGCATAGAGAGTAATATTTATTTCAAAATTGTTTGACATAACATACGAGTAATTTAATTATTACATTTACATAAAATATCTTATATTATTAAAACAAGAAATATTTATTTATGGAAATTTATAATTTATGGAAATGCACAACTCATATTAAAAAGCAATAATTTTGGAAAAATCAATGCAAATTAGTTGTCATAATTTTAAAACCATAAATATTCTCAGCTAAGGCGCATAGCTTCTTATCAAAAGAAATTTATGATTAAAGTTTTAATTTTTTTAAACTAATTTTACAATCATAAAGGACAAAAGATGAACTAAAAAAATGAATAATTTTTTTCCATAATTTACTAGTTTTTTCTACAATATTATTATTAGATGACGCCATTTTGCCATCTTTAGGAATGGTCAATTCATTGCAAATACTCTCGTGTGATATTCTTTCACATAAGAACTAAAAATTTTCCCTTAATAACAATTTATTTTTATTGTATCTGAGCAGTGCTGTGTTTTCTGAACAAATAAGTATAAGTAGTCGAGTATATACAAAATCAATGTTAAGTTGCAGACGCAAAAGTGTAGAAGTGTTGCACTTTGGTTTTTACGATTCTATGTCAATTTGATTTTAATTTGTAAAGTTTAATTACAACATTCCAATTGTGTATTTTGTATGTGGTAAAGTGTACTATTCTTTTTTGTTTTCTTGTGATTAAAAGCAATTGTGCTGAAGCCATTTAAGGTTAAAGGACAATTGCAGTAAAAGTAGTTCAGATACTTTTCTTCATTATTACTAAACACATGTGAGTTCATATTCTTCTAATGAAAATATTAAACTTTTAATTTGGTTTATTTAAAAAAACTCAAAATAAAGTTAAATACACAATATTAATTAAGTAGTTTGTATTTACAGTATTAATAAAAAATATTTGATTAATTCAAGTAACAAGGAGTCCATAAAAAGACTCTTTTGAAGTTTATTGGCTTCAAATAAAAGTATTATAATTGTAATCTAATTCCCAGCTAAAGTGTATAATACTTTCTTAAAGCATTATTGTTTTAAGCCAATATATTGTCAAAGTAAATTTTATAAATATCACTGCATTCTTCTTAGAAAATAAAATTATGGCATAAATATTTTCCATATATATATATCTGCTAGACGATATAGAAAATTCTACTATTAAATATATACATATATGCGAAAAAGTTATAGATAGTAGGTTAGGTTAGGTTAGGTTATACCGGTGATCCCCAGTGGATCCACTTAGGCCTATTGGACCATTGTGATGCCGTATATAAATAATGAAAAACCTCAGGGTTTAAACCACCTAGAACCTTTTGAAAGCATAAAATGCTATTTAAAGTCAGATCCTGTAACTGGTCCAAGTCCTCAAGGTAGGAGGTTAAGTCTAAGTCGTAAAGTACTAAGTACTAAGTCTAAGTAAAGTAAAAGCTTCGACAGCTTTGATTGAAAGGAAGACCTAGTCTTCTAGCATGGTTCCCTAGTTTACAGTGTCCTGTAGTCAACCCCACCAGAAGACCAATGTTTTTGCGAGACATCTCAATTAGAGTGTTCGATTTCCTTTTATCGGAAAGTGGCCAGATTGCATACAGATGTCTACATATCGTTTAGTATTCCCATCTTTTGTTAAAAGTATTAGTGCAGAAAGAACTCAATAACAATTTACATGATGTTAGCGATATGCCCAGATAATCTAGGTGCTCCGAGTACGGTCCTAAAGCACCCTTTCTGGCTAAATCGTTTGCTTTGCAATTTCTGAAAATATCTCTATGACCTTAGATTCCTTAGATACTAAGGAAGTCCATTTTAAGTATTAATTGATATCACTTATATACTATTATATTTATAGTTATTATAGTTGTATAGATGCGGCGCACCAGAAACTGAGTGCCCGACAGTAACAGTAGTCAGTAAAAGTAATTAAGGCAATTGTATCGAACATATTTGTTTTTCGACATCGGCAACTGGCATGAAGAGCCATTCTTTAACACTGGTAACCATTATAGTTAAAACTAAATAAAAATGAAATATACTGCAATGAAAAATGACAGCAGAAGTTTCATCAGAGATTGATTTGACATATAAATAAATCTTCTCTAACAGGGTTTGTAGGATATGCAAAATTAGATCATTAAATACGTGCTGTGCAGGCTCTTCGCAACGAAAGAAGTACTTTTCGAATATAAGATGTCCGATGCTGAATTTTAACTCGAAAAACAAGAAAAAATTCGCAACTTATTGAAGAACAAGAAATGAGAGATATACTCTACTTTATGGAGTGAGTGTAATATATTGTATGGTCGCGGTGTTATACCATTTCAAAACGACAATCATAACATTAATACTACTATACTGAGATATAAAAGAATAATTATAATTATTATATTAAACAAAAAAAAAATTGTTGATTCTCTTATCTGTGATTCTTTGATCTGTGATATTTAATTTACTGGTTATCATACGCAAATTAGAATAGTCTGATGAATTGTAAAGCACATTAATAAATTAAACAATATAAGCTTTAAAGTTTTAAGTAAAATATTTTAAAAACTTAACCAAATTTTAAGTTATTTATTTAAAAACTAATATTAGCCTAGATTAGATTAGACTGGCGATTCTAAGGATCTACTTATGCTTATTAATCCCTTTTTTTACCGTGTGAAGAATTCAGAGGTTTGAAAACAACCTTGCCGATTTGACGGTGCCTAAAATGCTCTTTACTTTTTAGATCCTTAAAAAAGTAAGCATAGCCAATCTTTAAAGTCAATCACTGCTTCGTATGCGCTGGTCAGTAACAAAACATATGTGGCACTTTCAGTTTGACTTTGAAAGCCCTCTCCACGACTGCGACAGGAATGATTAAACAGGCGATTGAAATCGCTAATTAAGACTTTTATGTCCTGTAATAAGAAATTCATTTCGAATACAAGAGAGGATATTTTTATATCCAATAAATATTTTAATTTTATTCAATTGAATTGTTGGGCTGACTGTGTTGAATATCTCCAAAAATTAAGTATGGTTAAAAAATTACACACAGAAAATTAAAGTAATAGATGTTTCCCACGACAACTGATTGCAGTTATTCGAATTAAACGTATTAAAGTTTAAACAGGTTTCGTTTAAAACTATATAGTTGTAATGGTTTTGATATATAAACTTATACAGTAATACTTAAATAACATTTTAATACTAAGTGTTTTATAGGTGTGTTTTATAATTCCAAATTTAAATTGAGATATGCTTATTGACCTTCTTGCAAATTATTTAGTTGAAAACATAATATTAGTAATGTTGTTTAAAAACATATGACATATACGAGTATCCCAAATTTAATTCCCATAAATTTAGTTAATCCTTAATTCAAATTTTCTGTTCATACTCTTTTGGCTTTGGAAAATTTAATGTATCTTATATATGCGAATATGGTTTCCAAATCATGTATTATGATTTTTGTTAAAAATAATCAAATTATTTTATAAAACATATAAATTCTACTCACCTTTCTTAATAAATCCAATGTTCTTTTCATACGCAATACAAGCAAATTGAAGCGATCCAACTCTTGTACCAAAACCACTCCAGTCGGTGTCATAGTCATGGCAAGCTGTTTTTTAATGCGCCAAACTTCAAATGCTTGAGGCAGCTTGTGAAGTATATCCGCAGCAACGTTATCTATGAAGTCGTCTCTGCTAATTCCACCCGAAGCCTCACCTGGTATGGAGGAAATGTGCAAAATTATAATCAAAATTGATTGATGTGTAATTAAATACTGATTTCGTTAAGCAAAATCAATTATTTTTTGAATCAATTGTAATCTTGTATCTGAACTTTTATTGATTAGGTACTAGATAAATAATTTATGTTGCTTGTTAAGAAGTTTATTTAATTATATCTTAAGGCATTTCTCATGTACAAGTCAAATTTATTTACATTCTTAATTTAAGATTATAACAAATATTTATTTGACACTAACTATATTACAACGAAGAAATATGGTATGTTTTAAATTAAACTAAATAAATACAAGAATACCATTCCGAGTTAATTCAAAATTTTATTTATTTAGAAAAATTATAGTTTCTATTATATTATTTATTTTAATTTTAATTTAGATGCAGTTCAAAAACTCACATAAGATAATATTTTCTATGGAATTAAATTTTAATTTAAAATTGTATGCAGTTAGTATAAACACTTAAATCTTTCGAATGGAGAGTCATTTATCATACCGAATTCATAACTAACCGCAAAAGCATTTAGTTTAGGTTCATCAGACTCACTTTTTGCATAAATTATTGTAAAATTATTTTTGGGTGCCATCATAAAATATATTGAAAATTTATTTATTTTTTTCTATTTCAGGAGGTTTTCATGGTTTTTGCCCCATTATTTTGTCAATATTAACTGAAGTACTCGTACACATAGTAGTTTTGAATATAGTGGAAACATATATCACAGTTTTCACATACTGTGAGATTTACTCAATACTAGAGTCTGGCAAATACGAGTGACTATGCCATTTTTTTTAATGAAAATTAAAATAAATTTGAAAATATAATTTAAATTGGGCTGTGCTAATTAGCGTAAAATTATGCCGATATCGTTTGGTTTTCATATTTGCACAGAACATGGAAAACCATTATTACACATGCATATATTAGCACAGTTTAGCATGTGTTTCCGCTTTTTGTTTGTACATCCGATAGTGGCAGCCCCATATCCAGTCCCAGCTCCAGCTTCAGCTTCGGTTTCGGCTTCAAACGACAGGATGTAGTATTTCAAAATATTTTCATTCAATTTAATTTAATTTTATTTTGTTTTGATTTATTTCCGTTCAATTTATAAACTTCAAATTTTAAAGTTGTTTATTTGTATTTCCCTTTACTAATTTTTTTAAATTTCAGTACATAAATTCGTTGTCACAATGCGCCATTAGTATTAGTATTTGAATGGCTGGTATGTGAATAGTTCTTATTAATTAATTTATAAAATATTTCCAAATTAAGTTATTTTCAATTTACAACGCGTGTTGGACCGTGAATGCAAATATTGTCAACAGCACTCAACTGCACTTAGAACGGATTAAGTTGCATTCAGTTTTCATAAATTGCATAGATTTAATGTAACTGCCTGTCTATTTAATTCAGTAATAAAAATTATATAAATTATTATATAAATCGCTCATTTAAATGTAACAATTTAAGTATCACTTGAATCTCAATTATACAATATTCAAATTTCATCGTTGATTAGAACAATTTTGTTGCATTGGATTATTTTAATTATACCTATTCAACGTGAGCCAGTATAATTGAATATAAAAGAATAGTACAAAAGAATATGATTCTGATTTTATTGAATTTTCTGGGTCTGTAAAGAATAAATTTTGCTTAAATTAATCAAATAAAACCATTTATTAGGGGATGGTTAGGTTAGGTTGGAGTGGCGGCATTGTATTCCAAAGAGCCCACTTGAGCTCAAATGATGGCCCATTGTGGTACCACAGGAATGGCATTGGTATGTACATAGACTTAGATCAGTATACATTCAAGGCCGAAAGAAGGTAACGACTCCCCAATGTATGAAGGAATGAGAGGCGATGAAAAATGGATAAAATATGAGAAAGTTCAGTGACCTTCCATAAACGACTTCAAAGCATGAATTGACGGCAAATAAAACTTGCTTTGGTAGGACTGGAAGATAACTGTCTATAACGAGCTATTCTGATTCTTCTACTGCTTACAATTTGACCGCTTGTACTAAACAATCAATGAAAAGTGACCAGAATTAGCCAACAGAAATGAAATTGTGTTCCATCATAACGTATTCATGCCCAATACATCTTTGATTGTTTAAAATATATTAACGAAATTTGGTAGAGAAGTTATAATGCATCCCTACAGTATACTCCAGACCTCGCATTGTCTGATTACAATCTCCTTCATAAAATCGAACATTCTCTATAAATTGGCAACGAATAGCAGCTGACTTTATGACTAAGTTGACGTTATACAGCAAATAAATATCCTTTGGCTTTGGTTTTATTATGAAAACATATGAAATGACCAGGTCTTCAGTTCACTATAGAAGTTGATGCAGTAATAACTTTAATGTTCGAATTATGTGAAAATAAAAAAGCATATACGAAGCAGAAGAGTGGTGAGTACTTACTGCTTACTTTGAAAACGTTCACTCGACCATAGCTTATTAGAATCAACAGAGTCAGTAAGTAATATTGTAGTAGTTTTAGTTTTTGTAACTAATACTATTCTTACTATATAGTTATACCTATAACAAAAGCTTATTAATGAAACTATCGTAAGATATGGTTTACTTTAGGTTTTATGGCTAGAGCTAAGTTTTACTTTAACTGACTTTTTTAAAATAATATTATTACACTACTTTGCTTGGTACTACATCTATAAAATTTTTTTCAAATATTGCCAAATACTCATAATCATTGTACTTTGAAATTAATTTTGTATGGTCTTGTTGGTCTGAAGGTGCCAGCCTTAGCGGTTTAAATCTATTGATTTGTTAAGCAATAACTAGCGCTTTTTTTAACCAAACGAGCCAAAACTGCACTAAACTTTTATTGTTCAAATTTATATTTTTTTTTTCGGAGTTAATAAGATGGAGTTAATAATAAGACGGTATTTATAATTCCGATCAAGAGCGTAGTAGTCAAGTTCCAAGATCAAGGACAAAATAACCAGATTAATGGCTATTTGGCCATTTTACTCAAAAAGTAGAACCTTTAACTTTGTATACAGAAACAAAACCGAAGTATGTTGCTTAATATCTGTTCTAACAGGGCAAAAAACTGTTGACCTATATGCTCTATAGTACCTGTCTACTGGCACTCTTAGTAGACACAACCTGTTGTGTTTATATCTAGGCTTATCTGGAAGCAGTCTTAAGCTATTTTGTGCCCCACTCTTCAACACACTCGGAGATATTATCAACATTACCGTTGGCCAGATTTTCGCATTTATGAATGATTTTGGCTGGTTCTAGTATAACCATTCTTCTACCCACTATTACGAAAAATTGTGGAATCAGAACGTATTGTTAGGTAATTAGTTTTCACCTATTGATGAGAAATGAATCAGGGACTTGGATGTAGTCGTTCATAGAACTGTTAAGGAAGAAGACACGTTTTATATTTTTTCTAACAAATGTTAATCCTTTTAGTATCATGTGTATAACAATATTTTCCACTGTCATTTATTATATTTATTGTTATATGATTGACTATTATCATCCGGTGTAACATTCGACATTCCTCCTGAAAACTATGGAAAGACTCATAGATATCTATATTCGTACAGAACTGTCTAAAAGTCAACCTCTTCACAAAACTCAATTCGCTTATTCCAAAGGGAAATCTACCGAATTGGCCTTACATAACTTGGTCAGTAGAATTGAAAAGGCCCACAAAAACAAAGAAATTGCGCTTTGTGCATTTCTGGATATTGAAGGAGCTTTCGACAATACGAGTTATGGCTCGATCTCGAATGCCTTAACTAACAGAAATGTTGATTTTAATGTTATTTCCTGGATTGAGGCGATGCTTCAAAGCAGAAAAATTACATCAACCTTAGGTAGAACGTCTGTAGCTGTTGAGGCCGCAAAAGGTTGCCCACAGGGTGGAGTACTGTCTCCTTTGCTCTGGTCAGTGGTTGTTGATGAACTTTTAATCTTGTTGGAGAATATTGGTTGTGACGCCATTGGGTATGCAGACGATCTAGTTATAATAGTATCTGGAAAGCATGGTAGCAGTCTATCAGAGATCTTGGTAGGGCACCTTCGACGCATTTTAGCATGGTGCGAAAGTGAGGGTCTCTCCATAAATCCGGAGAAAACTGTTGTTGTGCCTTTCACACTCAAACGTAAACTAGACATAGGTCCCGTACGTTTAGGAAACACTAATATTTCTCTTTCCAGTGAAACAAAGTACCTAGGTGTTGTCCTAGATGGTAAACTCACTTGGAGTTCACACTTAAATAAAGTATACAACAAAGCATTAACGGCTTTATGGACAATACGGTCCTGTATAGGTAAAACTTGGGGCCTAAACCCAAAGATTATATTTTGGATATATCAGGCAGTAGTACGTCCTATCATGACATATGGTTGCCTGGTTTGGTGGCAAAAGGTCACACAGGCTGGATCTATTGCTGTTTGCATGAAGCTCCAGAGATTAGCGTGTCTCTTAATGACTGGTGCTATGAGGACAAGTCCAACTGCAGCACTTGAGGCTATACTTGGATTGACACCTCTGCACATACACATTCAATCTACGGCTGCGCTTAGTGCGCTTCGACTAAAACTCCACATGAACAAGAGTTGTCTTGACTATGGTCATACAACAATATTAAAAATATTTGGAGCACATAAAATTCCTCAATGCGATGGAGACTATACAACAGAACTCCATCGTTTTGGCAAAAAAATTTGAGGTACACCTACCATCACGTTCAACGTGGGAGAATGGAGGCCCACAGGTTGACCCAAAAAGTTTGGTTTGGTACACAGATGGATCAAAGATGGATGAAGGCACTGGCGCTGGTGTATTTGGACCCAACACCAGCATTTCGGAAGCAATGGGCACATGGCCGAGTGTCTTCCAAGCTGAAATCCACGCAATCAACTTATGCGTAAGATCCAATTTAATCAAAAAACCTTCTGGCTCGAAAATTGTTATTTACTCTGACAGCCAGGCTGCTCTTAAAGCTCTTTCTTCTTGGACTTTCAAATCAAAACAGGTCCTTGAGTGTTACGATCTTCTGCAATCACTTGCAGCTCGGAATAAGGTAAACCTTTACTGGGTTCCGGGCCACAGAGGAGTTTTGGGAAATGAAAAAGCTGATGAGCTTGCCAGAAATGCATCAAAAACTGCTTTTATAGGCCCTCAACCCTTTTGTGGAATAAACTGGGCTAGTACAAAACAGATTATCAAGGAAATGGAAAATCATATGCGGCTAGAGTACTGGGTAAACTTTCCAGGACTCAGACAAAGCAAAGCACTGATAACACCTTACTCCTACAAAAACATTCTTAAATTCTCAAAATGTAATTTAAGGATGATAACGGGTTTCATTACAGGTCATTATGGTCTGAAATATCACCTTCATAAACTACAATTATCTGCTAACTCTGAATGCAGATTATGCCTCGAAGATGAGGAAACAACCATGCACATTCTTTGTGACTGTCCAGCTTTAATAACGCACAGAAGAAACCTGTTTCATAAGGAATTTCTGTCACCAGAACAGATTAAGAACTCTTCTCTAGATTTAGTTCTAGACTTTATTCACAAAGCTTTAAGGGGCTTTGTTTAATCAATAGTGAAACTGGTACAATAGGTCTCTTCTGGCCGCAGTACCGGCTGTTGGGCAATTTTCACGAATACCTTTTATTATTATTATTATTAACATTCGACAATATAATATTTTATTGCATTATTTTTTTGACTATTGAAACCTACTAAAGTCCAATAGAAACTAATTACAAGAAATGGTAATTATAATTAATTCTCTTAATGACCACAAATATTAATTTTTTATATAATTCACTTTTGCGCTTTCTGAATTATATATAAAATATTTCAAAAATTAAATTTGTAGTTATGTGTATAATTGTAAATTATGTGCATAACATTTATATATGCGTGCATGTAAGTTGTTTGTAGTATTTACTTTACCGTCATGTTGTATTTGGCTTCCTGCCACTGAAACTGTGTTGCATGAAAAGGATCAAAGTGTGAAAATAGTTACAATCATTTGACCAAGTAATCAAGCACTCCATTGCAGGTTTTATCCCTTTTAAAGTGCGCATTTCAGTGAGTATATCCAAAGTATGACTGAGTATGTGAGTCTGAATGTCAGCTCTTGATTTCATATATATTATTCATTTTTAATGTGTGGTAATGCAATAAAGTTAATTGCGAAACCACAACTAATTAATAAAATAAAATAAAATGAAATGAAATAAAATAAAATGTAGTGAAATTAAATTATATTTAAAGTGCAGAGTTAATTGCTGGGCACATTAAATGTGAAATTTTGCTTTTAAGTGTTTCAAACGATAATTAATTTAACCACATTTTTGTTAGTGTGGGGTTGGCTAACATTAATGGTCTGTGAAATGTAAAATTCTTATATAAATACAATTCAATTTACCTGTTTGGGGCTGCAATTGTATAAGATAGAACCAAATGGTACGAGTCGCTTGTGTGTAGTAACCAATTTCGGCATTAGGATGCAATCCGAATACGTCTGGGCTATTAACCAGAGGTAATTCATCAATGTGTGCTGTAAGTTTGTAATAAATTAAGAGCTGTATAAATACTAACTTTCCGTACAAAGAGTTGCTTACCAATGTAATCTTCCTTGAGTATGATGTCGTCTTCTGGTATAAAGTAATCAACACTTTCATCTCTGTAAAAGTGGAATGGTTGAAATTTATCGAAAAGAAAATCACCCATATATTCATTCATATAAGTGTTGGTGACACGTCTATCAAAGTCATCAATAACACGACCGCCATACATGACCTTTTCAAATAGAAAATAAAATTATTTCATTGTAAATAAATTATTTATTTATTTTTAATTATCTTTTTTTTTCTCTTAATAAATTTTCGTATGTGTAAATAGATGGTGTGGTAAAGAAAAAAGTTTTAGACTTACTTCGCCAATTAGGTATTTTAAACTATTCCATGGCACACGAGTGGTATCGCCAGGTGGCGCTTTCAGTAGATATGATATCAATATTTCAAGACAAACATTGAAATCAGATTCATTGAAATCATAACATATATTCCAGCCCAATTTATCATATTTGCGACGTTCCTGAAATATGGAGTAGTTTCAGTAATAAATCGAATTTCAACTTCACAAATATGAATGTCAAAATATCAACATCAGCGCAATTGTTAATCAATAAAACAAAGCTGCTAAGAGTTCAAACTGAAATAGACAATTTGCAGTTCAAACATGCTTGGATTATTGTTAACAAATTTGCAGCATGTAACATGTGCTGTTCATGACAGTGGCGGGGAAGCTGCAATTTTAAAGCAATTGTCAATAATAATTTGCTGCTGCAACATATTCATTAATAAAAGCTTACGGACGAGCGTGCTCTGGTTTCTCAGATATTTGCACTCAATTTCAGTACTAAATTGAAAGCCGGACATGTGTGTCGGTACGAGAAATGGAGCAATAAAACTTTAGATAGCATTTGCAATAGTTTGAAGCAACAACAATATATCAGGAAGTTTATATAAACAGGAATTGGCAATGTAAATATTAACTGCAACTGCGTATGTTGCTGCGAATGCTCTATTAACAATCAATAAGGATAAACAGTAAAAACATCTATAAAAATGATACTGAAAATACTGAAAATGCAGGATAATAAATGAATGATTAATTGAAGACTATTGAGTGCTGTACTGATTGCTTTCAACTGCAACGTAACATCTGCTGCTTATTTTCATTGCAACTCTTAACTTATTAATAATGTATATATAAAAATAAATTTACTTGAACAACAGCATGGAAGAATGCCAATACATATACCAGTGGCCTGTACGCTATATGCGAACATGCCTCCAAGCGATCCTGCCTTATTTTAAAGAACGTTGAACGCAAGTTTAGCTTCAGACCATTTGGAGGTTCCGTTACAACTATAAAGAAATTAATTTTGATATTAAACTTAATATGTGAAATGATCGAAATTACCTTTTAGGGACTTTTGCAATATGCCTATCGGAAAGGTTGGTGTGGGATCTGTAGTAATCCATAGACGAAAATCAGGATGCGGAGCTTCAACTTTTTCCAAATATTTTTCTAATTGCCTCACAAAACTGATAAGTAAATGTGCATTTTGCAACATAAGCCAGTATCCTTGACGTAATGCATTATTTAGTAAGCCCATAGCAGCCTACGTCAAAAATGTAAACAAGTATTTGTTGTAATTGAATAAAGCATTTGAAAGATATAAGTTTATAACAAATTAATGTATACAATGGCATGGTATATAATATATTATGTAAATGTATATAAAATGAAACAAATTCGAATTTGAAATAGGTTTATAAATTTTGGTTGTGGTTGATTTTTAGTATGTTATATGATGTACATTCTATTAGGCAAAAAGCTCCTATATCGGTTTATACAATATAACAAATATAAAAACATGTATATAAATATACATTATAGTGTATTTAGATACAACTCAAATTTCAAAATTTTATTTTTGTTGTAATCTCAAGTGTAATCTGAAAGTAGAAACAAAAACATTTACTGTTTTTATTATAATCTGGATGGGTACCACTTTTAAAGAGAGCAAACTTTTCAAAATCAAAAGTGGACATTCACTGCTTTTTGAACGACACAATCCATATTAATGTATGTAGTCAGTGATTCTTAGTTCTTCTATTTGAAAAGTGGACATTCACTGCTTTTTGAACGACACAATCCATATTAATGTAAGTAGCCAGTAGTTCTTAGTTCTTCTATTTAAAAAGTACTATCGTCACATAGACCTGGCAGCTCAATAATAAAATCTTTAGTAAAAATTAATTGTTTTTTGCTGATTTTTTTTCTTTTAGATTGTATGTTGTTCGGACATCAATTAGTCCCAGATAGATTGTTTGCGTTCTCTTTAGATTCATGTATGATATTTCAAGTGTACTATATCTACAGACTAAAACTATTTTGTATTGTCAGGATATATAGTTCAAAAATGAACGCAGTGTCACAAACAGCGAAAATATGTAAGTAAGTAGAACAACCTTTGTCGGGGTGATTAAGCAAGTAGCTCTTAGAATTAATTTTGTTTGACAAATATAAAGCTTTAGATAAATCCTTCCCACTTTGTTAACCATACTATGACAACAAAATTTTTTGAGTTTTTTGCTGTCAAATGTTTCATGTTTCCGGATTTTGATTCTTCTTTAAGGAAAACTCATAAGTAGAATCATATTTATTACACCTATTCTACTCTATTTGTTGCCCACTGTATTACACAGCATACTCATATAATGCCAGACTTTGAATATCTACTAACAATGTATTTTCAAAATAATGTTTATGTAATATTATATTTTAGATTTAAAGCTATAAGAATAGAAACGATATAATGAATCTACTTGTATTTATCTAATACAATATATAACAATTGTTTTCTTACCTTTTCTTGGCCTTGGCCCAATGAAATATGACTGAAGCTGCCCAGTCCGCCAGTAACTACTTCTGCTAGTTTCATTAAATCATTGGTAGGATCAGAACCAGCACTTAGTATAAAACATACTGGTATAAAGCAACTGGTTTGTTCAAAGATATTTTGGAAACTGACAACTGGCGGCGTAACAAAGAATTCTCCCATTATATCAATAATGTATTGATTTATTGAACGATAAATACGATCAACTCGGAAACAGCGTAGGAACATCAATTTCTATAATATATTCATTGTTGTGAGATATGATATTAAATGTCTTTCACTAAACATTATAACATACATTAAAGTATTTTTATATTTTGTAATCTGTGGCATTATTATAAAAATATTATTTATTTATTAAAAATACAAAAATACTGTTTGCATGAGAATTTTTTTATTCTTCAAGATTATTTTTGCAGTACAGTATATAAATTAATAAAATTTCTTCTTGTTATTTATTTTTATATGTATATATATGAAAATATATCAAAAATGGATTATTTGTAAACTCATAAATTAACATTTACCTGAAAATCGTTGCATTTTATATTAAATTCACCTGGGCAAGGAATTTCTTCAGGATTTTCAGCATCAAACCACTGTAAGTAATTTTAAATATTTTTAAAACATACTAACATTAAAAAAAATTAAATGATCCGATTAAAAACTAATTCATTTGTTAAAAAGTACTTATATAGGTATTCATAGCGAGTTAAATGATTTATAAAATCAATTCAAACGATAAATAGCATTGATATTGTAAGATGCAATTAACTATGATACGTTTGTTTCTATTAAGTCTTATATAAGTTAGTTCTAATAACTTGCCTCTTTCCACTGATCGGGAAATTTCTTTATATGATCGGGTAGGTTTCCGAATACTTCATTAAAATCGAATGCTAATTTAACAATATCCTCCCAATTTTTCTCTAACAGCCATTTTACAGGACAAGGCACTTCACTTTTTGTTAGCGTGACAGAACCTTTGATAAAGAAATCAAGTTCTGATGTTTGTAAAGCATTATCACTTTGTGCTAATTGAGTAGCCATTTGGAAAGAGAAGAGCAGTTTGTGTCTCTCAAATATGCCAGTACAACCATAGCAATAAACATTTTCCGTCAACGTCTTGATGATATTGTGCAATCGTTTTAGCAATACTGTATCTGGTACTGATTTACGCAATGAGTAACCAAACACGTCCAAGTAAGCTGCAAGTGCATACTGGTACATTGAGTTAACCGTTGACATATTAGATAAAGTGAAGAAGAGAACTGCTCCACGTTTAGCTACTGGTCGATAACCGTCACGCAATTTTTCAATATCTCGTGCTGTTTCCTGTGATAATCGCAGTTGTTCTGTAACAGCAGCCGCCTTAGTTTTGGTATTTTCTAGTGTAGCAACCAATTCAGTATTATCAAGCATATTTCCAGTGGAAGTAGCCAATTCACGTAACAGCGAGTCTTCTAAGTTTTGTAGCAGTATTTTATTTTGACTCGTTTCTTCAATGAGTGTTTCACGTTGTTGTTCCAGATCTGGTCTTTCAGAACGTACTACAACACTCAACAGTTGATCTTCTAAACCAGTCTGTGTAACTGTGTAGTTTATAACCATTGCTTTCGCATATACCGCTGGATCAAATTTGGGATTAGCAAATTTTGTTGTAAGATACATTCTGAAATTATCGTCATAATCGACTTCTTTATCTCCCAAAATTACAAATTTGCGACCACTAATAAGTTGTATGTTTTTCTGAAGTATGTCGTCAATTACAGGATCAATGTAGTCATCTACATCTTCAAATAATACTGGTGTGCCATACATTATTGACATTTCTAAATGCTTCAGAAAATCGGAGTCATTAAATGAAAGCGGTTTTAAATTATTTTTTGCCTCCCGCTTTCGTATCCATTGCAGTGCTTGTAATTGAGGATCAATACAAAGTGGAAATCGAGATGCCCTTACCGTAAGTATACCATTTTGTACTGATAATTCATCAGGTGGAAGGCCTTCCGACGTCCAAGTAGATATTTCTACATCAGTTGTCAAACTAGAATCTATACGAAATGGTAAATCAATAGGTATAGCACGGTTGTCAACATCTTTTAGCCAATCGTTAAAAATCATAGATTTACGAAATTCCCATGAAAATGCAGCCGTGTAAGCCAGAAAAGCAGAACACAGTAAACATTGCCCAACCATGGCAATAAGTTGTTTTCCAAAATTTTCGGAATCCCGATTCCAACGAATTCTTTCGGAACTCAAGCCACTGATAAGTTTATTTGATGCTTCCTAAAATATTCACATAAACATGAAAAGTAATAGAGACAATCGAACACTTAAAATTATATACCAAACGTCGTTGGGCTTGTTGCATCATTTCCGTTAGATATCTCATCTCTTTCATTGACTCAGCATACTGGGCATTCAGTACATTTAACTGCTCTTCTAGTTTGGCTATTTCATGGTTAAGATGATTAAGCAGTTTGATTTGAGTTTCTTGTTCTGCAACCAAAAACTCTACACGCTCTATTTTCGGCTTAACTTCCTTGTATACTTCATAGAAGCCAAGCACAGCTCTAACGAATTTCAATAGACCAGCACCGGCAACTGATATCTTTTCCATCTCATCCAAATTGGCTTGTTTCATGTGTGCCCTACAACTATTAATTTGCTTACCTGTCAATGCTTCACAATCCATTTCCATTAAACTTTTCAGGAAGTTAACATCAGACATCATAGCTTTTGCTGTTTTCCAGTTAATTTCTTTATATCCACGTAAAATGGCTACACATTCGCATACTATTTGCACCTGAGGTGGTGGTGTGGCAAATGATCTAATTTCAGTGATCTGTGCTTTATCGAGATCGGCAAGAGCTTTACGTGCTTCTTCTACAGCAGGTAAAGCTTCAGCTAGAACCTCTTCTGCTTCTTCCTTCTCAACAGCGATTTGCTTTCCTTTGATCTCAACTTCTACGGATTTTTCCGAAGCTTCAGATTTTTTGACATTCGCTATCTGAGTGGCGGCTTCAATGTCTACTAACATAGCTTCGCATTTTTCTGAAGCAATCGCAACGTTACGTTTCTGTTCCGTAACAATAGCTCTGAGCTCTTCAATCTGTGCAGCTGCCTCGTCAATTTTCTTTATACCTTCATTTAGCCGATCACGTTGATTTGTTATGAACTCATTTTTCTCCTCTACAATTGACGGATAAATACAATTATTAGCAGAAAATTATTGAACTTATTGCGTTCATATAATATACATAGAAAATACTCTTACCTAGCAGCCTAAGGTATGTGTTTAAGTAGTCCAGATAATGTTTTGGTGTTACATAATTGTTACGTCGCAGTTTTTGCAAGAAATCCTTTGAATAAAAATGCATCGAACTGTGTACATGTACAACGTGTTCCATTATATCACCGCGATGTTTTTCAGGAATCTGTAAATGAAGATAATTACTTTTAAGAAAATGTTTTCAGAGTTTCATTTTTACCAAAGGATGTTCTGTCAAAAACAGTTCAGCTACTGCTGATAAAGCTTGCTTAGGCCATGGGAATACCCAGTCAATATATGTGCTGCCAATTAGACCTGGAAAGCTGCGACAGCGATTTCTTAAAGCGTCTCCAGAAGGAGACATACTCATAACAACATGCATATTCTCCATGCTTTTACGCAAGAAATATGCCCACACCGAGTCCCTTTTAAAAAAATAAAATTTGTTTGATTTTTATTCTTTGCGCAAGAAATTGAGTATAAAAAACTTTAACCTACTTAGATGCAGAATATCCTTCTTGTTCTGCTGCCGTTCGACAAGCTGAAACGACGGCATCCTTTTCATCATCCTGAAATAGCGCTGGTACGAGGCCAACGGTTAAAATGTTATTGATGAGTTCCAGAAAACCTTCTTCGACAATCTAAAGTAATAAATATATGAAGTTATTTTGATTAACTATATGAATGTGTACGTTTGACTCTCTTTTATACCTGAGAAGCTGTAAAAAGAAAAACTGTCTTTTTACGATTAACGCCAGCTAGTGTATAAAGTCTTTTTAGATCATCTCGGAAAGATGCTTCATTATAACCACGTGATATTGTTATTTCAAAGACCTCACATTCTAAGAAAATTGTAGTCAAATATTAATGTGTTTACGTTTCAATTTTCCATAGATACTTGCAATACATATATACGAATTAATATATTTATTTTACCTGCAGTAAATGCTGATAATCGTGTGATACATTTCTTTCCGGAGCCGCCAACACCGATTAGCATAACATGTCCTCGATGCATGCGTAGCGTGCGATGCACACGTGTTAAATGCTCCAAACAATCTTCGAAGAGAACCATACTAATTTTACCTTTGCGTTCGATGTATTCGTTAAGTATCTTTTTGGCAATGGAAATTAAATTTAATATTTAATTATTATAAATTAAATATAAAAGTAATACTTCAGTAAATAAAGCATAAATTGCACTGAAATCCAGTAGGTCTTCATAAAATCGTGGTTCTGCTTCATTTACAGCATTACGATAATCCCCATATAGAAGTGGATCACGTAAAATATATTCTGTCATAGTGGGTGGAGCCTCCATTTCTTCGCCTTGATTGTATTGATCTTCTTCTGCTAAAACTATATAAAATATTTGAAAAATACATTTTGAGAAATTACTTCAATAATGATTATAAAATACTACTATTACTAGTAGTACTATTAGAATAGTTATTAAGTAAATCAATAGTTGTTTCAATTATATTGTCTTATAATTGCAATAGATTGTTAAAATATTCTTAATAACAGAATTTGTTTAACTTTATACTAATACTCGTACCAATCTGTTTACTGATTAATAGTAATGATTTTATTAGACAGTACTTTAAAAATGAGTCTGGTATAACCAAATTACGGAAGTTTCATAAATAGAATTTCTTTGTAAAATAATATGAAATTTGGTAATTAAATGCTATTAACAAAAGGCCAATTTGTTCAATGGCTTCTTCACACAACATAATAAATTGTTTAATCCACACTATAGTTTTTCTAAGGCCAAATGAGTTTTTGCCGTTTGAAATATCCCACCATGCAACCCTGTGTATTGTCACGACTATATAGTCAAGACATCTTTGTTTGGGTCTTCCTGAGTCTTATTACTTAACAGCGCTTACAGTAATATCTGTTTTTTTGATTTATTTTCTTTCATTCTTAGAAAAGAAACATAGGTATATATATTTTGTATGTTCCTACTAGTACTCAACTATTTATAGTCCATATAGTGAAGACTTCGATTAAATGTATATTCGTTATTTATCATCAATATTCCGACAACTATTATGAGAAAATATGTGTGGACTAATTGTCTTCAACCAGTGGAAGATAGCTTCTTTATTCTACAACCCGTAGTGTACATAACGAAGCTTTTGTTAATATAACGTTTACTACTTCGCGGTTTGTTTCAAATTTTGTTATACATACATATCCTAATAAGAATAGATATAAAGTCTAGTCTTAATCTTAAACCGAAAGAATTTAACTATTTGTTTTAATGTACACTGAATCTGGTAAGAAAAGCTATTCATCTTTTTAAACTCTATCATATATCGAACTTTCTCATAGTAATTCGATGGATATATTTGTTATGTCAGTGATATTCTTCACTTAAACATAGAGATAGTGAATACAATGTTATCATGAAAGTTTTAGAAGAAACTTTCATTGTGGTTGAGATCAGAATTACTCTTAATTAAAATCCTGATAATGCTAACGACAAGATTCTGTATTCTCTTACCAATGCTTGGTCGGTAAAATTTTTATTAATTACGCCAATATTTTTAAGCAGCGATGTTACGCCCTTAATAATATAATATATTTGTCATTGAACAATTGCATATAAAAATATAAGCAAATATAAATTATTTTGAATCAAACTAAATACTCTACAATCACCTATAAAAGAGAGTACATATTTTATAACATACTTTCCTCGTCATACTTTATATATCGCAGCCAAGATTTCTAATATCTAAAATTATATGATTTATTTTTTTTTAACTTTTCTGCGTATTTTATGTATCTGAGGAAAAATGCCAATTGTTTAGTTTGCCTTTTAATCCCAATTTTTTCCCTCCTAATTTTCTAATGAATACAAAATTTGTCTTCATTTTACATAAGCCAAAAAGGTTGCTTACCTGCAGCAGCCTCCTCCGGATCTATGAACCCATTATCTTCTTCGAATGTTGGCGTGAAATGCTCTAGTATCTGATTTTCAATATGTTTTCTCATTAGTTGGATATCCTAAAATAAGGAAAACGTAAGCACGAATTTGAATTTGGCGAAACAAAATACTTGAGAAACATCAACAGAATCTGAAGGCGAAATCCTCATTGTGTGTTGTATTGTGAATGTGTATCTATATGAAAGCTTTTGTATGTAATAGATTGTAATCTGTAAATGAGTTTACGTATCTGTATTTAGGTGTACGTGAGTACTTTATTTGCACTTCTTAGAGTATTAGCGCACCGTGTTGTTGGAGTTTGTGCTAGTGTGTTGGGGTGCTAAATCTGTCAATCAATCTTAAGAATTTATTCAAAGAAATATTCTTCCTGGTACTAATTTGTATGTTTGTGTGCATTTCTTTGTTTGCTTAAACATAAAATTTGAATCAAATCGAATTCGAATTAAAATTGAAGTCAATTTGGAAACGACATCAATCAAACCTTGAAGAGCATTACATTTGCGTTTACTTTCACTTCACTTAAGGTGTGTTAGCAGGACGAAATGTTTGCTAAATTGTAAGGATTCTGTTTGTGTATTTTGGAAACTTCAACTTACGGTGTTTGAAATTAATCGATCGCAAATAATTCTTGTAAATTCATTACGCCAGACACGTATTAGATCTCGTGCTTTGTTAAAGTACTTGGAACGAATTAATAGCATCCCTGCAAATATTCTGGATAGATCCTTCAAATTAAATATGTAATGAAATTTCGACGGAGTGGGTGGTAACTCAACAACGAGTATCTGCAAAATAGAGATTAATTAAGTTTCGATAATAGAAATAATAAATAAATTTTAATGAAAATAATGTTTTCTGGTTTTTACAATATAATGCATGTGAGTGAAAAGGGCAATTAAAAATTTAAATGGTTTCAATATTAAGCATATTAAATATTATTTTAGTTTTAAATATTTAATTTAATATAATTTGCATATATGCGAATAATTAATTTCAATTGTTTTGATGAAATAATGTGTTTACTTATTAATAACAATAATTTTGTTTTTTAATGGGGTAATTAGTCAATAGTTAAAAAATAAATTTTTTAAAAAATTTTTTGTTTTTAAAAGATTTTATTCTAACCGATATTTCGACTATAATCTAAAGTTATCATCAGAGTACTATATTATGTTATTGCAATGCAACAATATTTTAGTATATATCATAAAGGAACAATTATAAAACACATTAATATTTAAATTACATAAATTACATATATATATAGAAAATAATTACACAATACCATGACAATATATATAAAAATTATATATATAGAGGAATGATATATTTATCCTCTTTCATTCGTTGAAGGTGTTTTTATACACCCACCTTTGCGAAGTGTTATATGTTAGTTTTATAATTAAGTCTGTCACTATGAATTTGTAGGTTGTATAGCATTTCCAAGAAAAGGCGTTTTTGTTAATTTATTTCTTGATCTAACACCTTTACATTATCAAGGTTCGGCTATTGTTTTGATGTGATGCGGTGTGAAGCCATTAATTTAATTTAATTTTATTCAATTTAATTTAATTTAATTTCAATTAATATACATTAACTTAATTTAATTTAATTTAGTTTTATTAAATTTTAAATTTTAGTTGTATTTAATTTTATTCTATTCAATTTAACTTAATTTAATTGAAATTAATTTAATTGAATTTTATTTAAATCCATTTTATTTTGTTTCATTTTATTTAATTTAGTTTAGTTTAATTTAATTAAATGTAATTTAATTTAACTTAATTTAATTAATTTTATTTTATTTTGTTTTATTTCATTTTATTTTATTTTATGTAGTGTTACCTTATTTGATTTAGTTTAGTTTAATTCAATTTAATTTAATTTAATTTTATTTGGTTTTATTTCATTTTATATAATTTTTTTTTTTTTATTTTAATTTGATTTTATTTTAATTAATTTTACTATATTTTATTTAGTTTTATCTTATTAAATTTAGTTTAATTTAATTTAAATTAACTTTATCTTGTTATCTTTATCTTATTCCAATTTATTTTATTTTATTTTATTTAGTTTTATCTTATTTAATTTAGTTTAGTTTAATTTAATTTAATTTAATTTTGTTTTATTCTATTTAATATAATTAAATTTTTTTATATTTTGTTTAGTTTTATCTTATTTAATTTTTAGATTTAATTTGATTTAATTTAATTTGGATTAATTTAATTTAATTTATTTTAATTTATTTTAATTTAATTTAATTCATTTTATTTGAATATAATTTAATTTAATTTATTTGAATACATTTTAATTTAATTTTATTTAATGTTATATAATTTATTTTAATTTAGTTTAAATTAATTTAATTTAATTTATTTTAATTTAATTTAATTTAATTTAATTTAATTTAATTTAATATAATTTAATTTAATTTAATTTAATTTAATTTAAATTAATTTAATTATATATAATTCTAATTAATTTTATTTAATTTAATTCATTTCATTTTAATTTAATTTAATTTAATTTAAATATAAAGAAATTTGCATATTATACTTATAACTTATAAGATCTGCCAAACTACTGACGAAATATTTTTTCTTGATACTGAATTCATGAATAACGATTTGAAAAAGTATAAAAATCATAATAGAATAACAAATTTTATTGCAAATAATTGTATGCTCCAGTACGTACTAAATTAAGTATGTCCTAAAAGAGAAGGAAAAGCTGCACTTACAAATCATTTTAAGCTAAATTTCCAATATGCATTCAAATGAGAGCTCCACTTTAGAGACAGGGGTATTAAAATCTGTGCATTTGCTTACATACTGTATGAATTCTTATAACTTATACACGAGTATACATGATGTTCATATAACCTTATCGTTATTATCATCTTCGACGGCGAAATTCTATGAAAAACGACAATTCTATTCAAATAATTCATTTTACTCCATTTCGCAACGCATTAATATCTTCAACACCGAACAAGGACATGCAGTAAGCAGTTAGCAGTAAGAAGCAAGCAGCAAGCAGCGCAGGTGCATGTAAATCATTTCTGGCTCCAGCGCCTTTAAGTGGCAGGAAAACTTAACCATGAGGGCATAGCAAATAAAACCGCACTAAACGCGCACAGCTCGAAGGACAAAATAAAACTAACAGAAGGTGGCAGCAGAGCAGAGCAGAGCATTTACAATCGCAACGACAAATGCTATTTTTATCTATGAACCAATGAAATGCGATAATATTTTAGTGTCAACAATTGTTAAAAGTACCATAAACTAATGCAATTCCAACCACAGTGGCAGTAGATATAGATATTTTGGAGAGTCACACGAGTAGCAGAAGCAGAAGCAGCAGCAGCACCACCATCAGCAGCAAGCAAGGACAAGAGTGCAACAGGAGCATTCGACTATAAATTTTTGACTGCCTCACTCTTAAGTCAATGAAAAAGGATACTTGGCAAAATATAAGTTGAAATATTTTTGCTTATAAGTAGTCAAGAAAAATTGTATAAAATTATTTTCTATTTGTTTTTCCACAAAATACAACTTGACGCCATGAATGACGTAACAAGCGTGTGAACTAAGAAAATTCATTTGCCGTATATAAACGTCGAGATACGTGAACTAAAATATACTTTCAAATTTGATTTAAGTACTTAGCCGTAAGATGCGAATGCGTCTTTATATGTGTCGACCACTGTTTGGAAATTCAAAGAAGGTATTTTCCCATTGCACCACAGCATGACCATTTGAAATATTATCTGCTCAAGGATGTTAAACATTAATACTCCTTGCACAATTTCGATTGTGTGCGGAAGATTACAATTTAAAGGAGAAATATTATGAAAAATTGTCGATATTTGCATATGTAAATCCTGTTACGAGCAATTCACTTCCAAAGGATAATATAAAATGAAAGGGTAAGAATAAAATACGAAAAAAATTTGTTCTTTTTGAGAATTTTTTTGCAGCAATATTTTTAAGTATTTGTTACGGTCCATTAAACATAAAGTAGAACGCACAAACCTTGAACAATTGCAGCGTCATATCCACAATAATTTCGGACAAGAAGAAGATCTTGTTATCGAATCCGCCGCTGTACATTAAATGTCCCTTGAAAATCGAATCATAAATCTGCAATAAGGATTCATCGCTTGGAAACACAATATTGTAAACAGAAAACATTGATATGAATCTGGGATCGACTTCATTACGTCCACCACCAGCACAGCCCATCGCAGCGTAGAAAGTCATGTCCTTGAATTTTTTCCAATTAAGATCCTTATCGCGGTCGTACATTCCACCTCGTTCAAAGAAGAGTTTCAGCAAAGCGATTGGCTGCTGAGTACCGTAGCTATAAATAAAAGAGAGCAATTGAATAAAATATATTTTATATAGAAAAAATTTTAAAGCAATTTATATTGGATATATATAGAAATTAATTTATGTATTTTTAAACTTTTGGGTAATAACTTAAATTCTTTTATAAAAACGTTTACTAAATATTTCAAACCAATTGAATTTCAAATCAATTAAATTTGAAAAGTGAATATCGAAAGAATTTCTATTTATATTTTCATTTAATTTAATTTAATTTATATTTATTGTAAATTGTAAATTGAATGCTTAAATATTGAAGCATTAAATTTTTGTCAATTAAATTTTTTAAGAACATAATTAGTTATTATTCTCAAAACAAATACTTCCATTTGCTTCAAGGATCTTTTCTTTTACTGTTACAATGCAGTTATTTTACATATATATCCTTGTTTAATAAAGACACGAAGCGGGAAAGAAGACTTCTGAAGTTTTGAATCTTCAAGTCATCAAGGGTTGTACTACAGCTTACATATTACCTAATTATAATTTTTATTCAAATATTTTCTTATTTAAGCATGATGGAGTATTTGAAAAAACAATGCGAAAATGGATTTAAAAGTAATTACTCAATTTTAGCAATTTATTAAGAGATGCATGCTGTATAACAATAATAGTACATTCACACTGTCTAATTTAGGTGGGTTTTGCGCATTTTAGCCACTAATGAGAACGATTTACTATACAAAAATCTTTCATATAAATGAGCTCATTATCAATAAATCAGCTCATTTTATTTGTAAAATGTAAACAAACAACAGCTGAGCTGTAACCAAAGGAACTGAGAAAGTATTTAATAAAATCTTTGTTTTTATTAATTGAATATCTAATTGATATATAAAATATATATAAATGCAACTCAATTATATATTTAATTTTTTTGTGTGATATATAATTAAGTAAAGTTTAATTATTTCATATAAAAGTTCCATCAGCTGCATAAATGAGCTCATTATAATGTGAACGTTCACTCATTAATATAAATAAGCAAATGCCTTAATGAGACAGTGTGAATATACTATAACTCTTTATTTCTTATAATCGAAAAAGTTATTTAATAGTCTAATTATTTGAATATTAAGAAAGTATGCTATATAATTTGAAAGTATTCTTAGATTCTTATATCTTTTAACTGCGTTTTTAAAATTAATTAAATAATCTAGCTTTTTGCTGTTTATATTTTAAATAATTTCAATAAACCAGTAGTATTCTATATACCAGTACCAATGTATATACAATATATGTATCTACATGTAATCTCCCACTTAACATAAATTTCAATTAAGCATAATGAAGTATTATTCATGAATATATATCAAGAATTCTGTATTAAGTTATGTTCACTTGTTCAATACTCACTCATCGACTTGAGGCATATTCATATCGTCAATAAAGCAAGCAATTTTCTTTCCTATTGGAGGACCAAATGTATCCTTTGTGCGCTTTTCAACAGCAGCCTCAAGCGTGCGTTGAACATCCATTGATGAGGTTCTCGATGAGAAATTAATATTCAATATGATCTATCAATTGTACGTAGAAGTCAGAAGTCAAATTCAGTATGCAATAATAGTTTCAAATACAACAAAAAAATATTTTTAATTAAGTGAATATTTGACAGATATGTTAAATGCTTTGAAGTTCTAGTACTGTAAACGATTTCATTTAACTTACATTGACGATTTGATTTAGATTTCGCAAATATTGTGAAATAGTTGCTGTTTTCGCAGTGCCAGCTTCGCCAACCAGTAGCACAGGCCTTTTGATCTAAAAATTAATATTTGGTATGGTTAAAAGCGATTTCGTAATAAAGTTGCAGCATTTCACAGACGATTCAGAAATAGCTTCACCAAAACAGTTGATAGAAAATAAATAAAACCGCGTATGAATGGCATATTCATAATTACATACAATTACATACCTCACACATAAGCGATAGCAATTTATCGGTTCTCGTACTGTCAACAGTTGGAACTAATATTTCACTGAATTTCATGTTTGGGTCGTGTGTGTATGCGTGTACCACCCATTCCCAAGCTATCCAACATTCCTTCTCAATATCATAGTAATATTCATACAAGCTTCTAGATGATGGTAATTGACTCGCTTGAGCTGGTTTCTCTTGAGTGTCTGTAATTGTAGGAAATCCTGCAATGCGCTTTATGAATTCATCAAAAACGGCTTGGTCTTGTTCTATTAAGCAAGCACCGAGTGACGCATATACACACTATTTGAAAAACGATAATTTTTTCATTAAAAATTTATATTACAATAATACGCATATATATTCAGTAATATTCGATTTATTACCTGCAAGAAAATACATTCAATAGTGTCTTGTGTATATACTATTGCGGGCACGGCTTCGCCCATATCATCTCCAGTTGATTTATACATTGGCAAAAGTGCATCAAACATATTACAAAACTGAACAACCATATTTAAATCAGTTTGCATTATAACTAGTTTTAATGGATTGCCTTGAGATGTGCCATCAATGCCTTCCAATATAAAGGCTATGGCTTGAGTTATGACTTTCTCATAAAAGTCCTGTTAGTATGAAATTGAAAGATGTTTTTTAGAAAATCATTTCATATGTTATTGTATCAACAAACCTGTAGCACTTCTCTTTCATTCTCTGGACGTGTTAGCACCCAACGTTGCCAATAAGGATTATAGCGTAGATTTTTAGGGTCAACAAAAACCATACCAGCACGCGAAACTGTGGCTGGAGATGCATACCATAAGTTGCCAACCTAAAGTAATTATTAAAGGAAAGAGATTTATTAGACTATATATATTCCATATATACATATAAAAATAACATGTATTTATTTAAAAAAGTTATCCATTGTGAATTTTAAGTTATATAATTTACTTATACAAATAACCGCCAACTAAAATTACATATTAAATGATGTCATCCATGGTATTCAGTATTTCGGACTATCAAAGGATCTGCTGTGAAATGATAACTGAATTGTACTCACCTCAAACAGCAGCGCACAATAATTTTCTAATCTAATGCGTTCACCGTTCGCTAATGTCAACAGCTTATTATCATCCATAACGGAGTTCATGTTCTCAATCCAAAGTGCATCAACGTCACCATCAAAGCAAGCGTATCGCCTTTCCTGTGGGAGTGCATTTAGATGATTATATTAGGTGAGTTGTAGCGATACAAAGTGTTGAACAGCGGTAGTTTCGTGGTTGCGTAATGTATAGTTTCGCAGCCTTGCTTTCAATTCACACACCTACAGACCCATATACATACTGATTAGGGAAACAAGAATAAGGCTGTTTCGCCCAACGCTCAATGCTTCAATTTAAGGTTTGCTAGCACAAAGCGTATGTATTGTTAAGTGATGAATCAGTGGTTGTGGAGAATATTCAGACATACAAAATAATAGGTAGGTAAGAACAGATGTTCGTTATGGAATATTTGATTGTGCTATATTCTCTTTTTTCAGGGTTTTCGAGCAACTGCTTAGTTTCTGCATTGGGATTTATTAGTGAGCTATTCGATTGTCAGTGGTTTGACAGCGAGTTGTGGGAACGTGAAGTGAATTTGACTGCAGTGTCAATGATGTAGTTGTAGTAGAGAAAATGTTAATATACATTTAAAATCAATTCTCCTCCTTCTTTTTCTGTGACAAAAAATTTTGTTTAACAATCATTTCAGAATATAGTAATTCTTATAGCAAACTGGCATTATATTCATAAGTAAATATTAAAATTATTTTGATTTTGTTATTGAATTTTAATTACTCATAAATAGTTGTACAAGATTCATTTAAAAAAATTACAATTCGTAAAGCAATAACGAAGTAAAACGAAATTTAAACATTTGAATAGCCCACATCCACATTCAATGGTTACTCTCTATTAATACTTTTGGACCACAAAATAGTTTTAGTAGGTGCTGAAAACCGTGAGCAATCAAACATTTTGATTAGAATAATTTAGATTCACTCATTGACATGAGTTTACAAGACTTAACACACGCTTGCAATCAATGTCTGACAAATAAAGGTTCCTGAGAGTCCTGATCATATAATTAGAGATTATATAAGATTCGTAGATACTAGATAAAATTTAGAGGCACTTATTGGTGGAGCCATCCCTTCTACCGTGGTAATGCAAATGTTGGCAAGTATTGAAGACTGGAGCGCTTACAAGTGAATAATCTTTAGAACAATGTTTACATTGTTAAAGCGGACAAAATACTTAGTACACAATCGGAGTGAAATCACACTAAGTGCTCTTCTTACCTGCCCTGTCGTACTGCAAGGATTTCCAGAATTTGGAGCTGAGAATTTGGAGACTTTTTAGTCCATAGGCATGTATGACTCAATGAAGGGTACGGGTATTTTTAGAAGGTGCTACTTTCATGTTCAACACTAAAAAAAAATTAATGCTAAGAAATATTAGTATTAATGAAGTTAGCTCGTGGGCAAGGGAATATAGATAATATTTGATATACATTGCCTGGTATATCTGCAATCACATTTTGAACTGAGTTACTTGTTTCACACAATTAAAAAACTAACATCCGCTGTTAAACGCTTTTTGTACATCACATAATTACATAATTGCAATTACATAACAAATTTTTATTTTTATATCAACTATTTTTTACCTCTCTTTCCGTCGGTCTATTCATTTCACGAAATATATTAGAAAACAAGCCATCAATCCAATCTCTTGTCTCTATATCCAAGTAGCCGTAAAGTTCTATGACAGAAGTGGCCTTCAAAGAAACAATGAAAAAAAGTTACATTAATAATATAATAAATTATGGAACACATTAAAAAAGAAATTAAAGTCTTTTAGTAATTAAGTACATTAAAAATAGATTTAAAAAAGATAGAATGACTAAAAGTCGATAGTTTATATAGTGTACAGAATCATTACCACCACCGTTAACATCATTAGGGTTCAGGTTACAAATCTATCCCAGAAATGTAATATTCGTCAGTTTAGAAGCCATAGCTTCAGTACTCCAAGCTAAAAGCTTTACCATAAATATCCGCGCAATTATTTACTATTCTAAAATTTATGATACATATGGATAATCCTTATGTCCTTAGGATTATGTTTAATCTTAAGGCTTTATTTTTGATATCGACCAAATTTTCACTGTGCTATTAGGAACCCACTTATTTTACATTACATGTTTAGTTTTGATGACAATAATATGGTAGACGTATTGACTATATAAGCAGTCCCCTGACAACCGTGGTCAATTGTAAATGATAGCAAAATACTCTCTGAAAGCCAAGCTAAACTATTGTCTCGGTAAAGCCTATCACAAATATGTTAATTTAACAGGAGAGGAATTCGTCACACTAAGCTCTTCTTTCCAAAATATTATGTGGAGAATGGCGCATACCTATTAAATGTTAACGGATCGATCTCGGAATTGGAGTAATTGGAGTAATATCTGGTAAGTGTCTTTTGAAAAAGCGTTAAATGCAAAAATGATTAGAAATCGATAAATACAGACTATATATAATACACACATACTTCCTACAAGAATTTTTTACAAAAATTTTTTACACAAATTAGAGTAGTCACGCGTCGAACTACGACAGATTTCGACTTTTCAAGATATAGCTAAAAAGACTCTTAATAAAATAAATCCTTCAATGACCTTAAAATGGGTAGAATACAGCAGTCCCATAGGTACCAAACAGGTAATAATTTAGTCCGTTTAGCACCTTTGGCTTGGTTCTCGTATCGGGACTAAAAAATCAAGATCGGTGAAGAACCCGTGTAACAATTTAAGCTATATAGCTTGATTCTCAAATCATCGATTGAAGGCTTTTTACTGTTTACATTTATACGCAGAAAAAAATTCAAGTAAAATGTGTTTGATTTCAGATTTTTGTGATTTTCGTTCAGATTGAGGTAAACAAACTTTGTATTATAGGAAATATAACTAAGTTTCTGACAATCACAGTGGAGTTGTTATAAATAATGTAAGTTTGGATTACACATAGTTCGTAAACATAGTTTGTTTCCTAAAAATTTTGTTTGATTCAAACATAATTTTTTTCTGCGTGTAGTATGTCAAATTTTTAGATTGATTAGACAAATGCCGATTAAGAATAATGGTACACACAATTTGGCAGTTCTTAAGTCTATTATCTAGCAAATTCACTACTAACTCATATTGTAGCAGGATAAAAAAAATTGCACTAAATCGAATCTAAAATCTATATCGAATCACGGCGGTCGTGTAAGCGAAATCGTACCTAATGTCTGAGGTATGTTTAACAATTTTCTTCTTATTTTAAGTGCTAATCTAGTGGAAAGTATAGACTATGTCAGAAAGTTAAAAATATAGTCCTCCAGTATTTTAGGTGAATCTATATCTGTGAATAGGTCCGCTAGTAGTTGTCTGTTCGTGGCTTTGCTGATCAATGCTTTGTGATCTCTTCATCTATTATAGAGAATTCAGCCTAAAACCAATATACTACTCTGTTCGTATACCAAAGTTTGCTGAATTTCCCTGCAAGATAAGATCTCCATGGCAGTATTAAAAACTATAATAAATTAAATGGTTGATTTTTCTTTACAGAGTTTTTATTTTGGAATGAAGTTGCTTTATTCGGTAGACAGCAATAAAAACTTTTGAAATAATGCGCACGGCGTATAAATAACAGTGACAGAACAAAATAAACGAATAAATAACAATTTTAAAGCAGTAAATATTCTATAATAAAAAATTTGTTATGATGTTCTGTGCGAAAATACAATCAAAATGTGCAAAAGGGCAGGATGGAAAGAACAATGGCGTCGTTTTTGTCTTCCGTGTTTTTGATTGCAGTGTTTGCAGTGTTTTTCGTGTAATGTAAATTTAAATACAAAAAGCAGCACATTTCACAAAGGATAAAAGTGTAAAGCTAATTTGCTTTAACACTCGTTTTTTGCTCGACACGGTTTTTGCTTTATTTCAATTTTGCAAAATGTAAAATGTCCTGGATGGAGCTTCACTTTTTCCTTAAAATGTTGCACAGCGACATCGCAAACGTGAACTTGCTGCAGTTTTGTGCAGTGTGAAGTGAAACAATAATGCAAGTGAAACAATAAAGGATATGTCAATAGGAGTTGGTGACTGTTAACAATTTAATTTCTTTGTATCAAACTGAGAGAACTGCAATTATCTGTTGTGGGAAAATTCCTTTTTATCATTTTTAAAATTGAAAATTTTTACTAAAAGAAGTTAATATGTCATTACCATATATATCATATTTCTTATTATTTAATACTCGTAATTATACGTATTTACCTCTCCGTATCAATTTTTAGCGATACCTATTCTTTGTAGCATTTTAATCCTAACTCTTTTTATTGAAATTACAGTCATTTCAAGTAAACAAATAAACGGAAGACACAAAGGACTCGAGAAAAATTTAAACAAATATAACAAAAGAATATTTACAATGAGAGAAAAAAAAAGACTTTGTCGGTTACAAGTTGAACAATTTTGACTTACCTTAGGGTTAAGTGTGGTACACTTGGTAGGCAGGCCCATATGAGTTTGCGCTTTAATTAGTGTATTTATAACGACAGTCTTGCCACCACCTGTTGGTCCAACAATCATGGTCGAGTGTCGGGTCATCATGGTTTCGTACATTTGTACCACTTTGTCCTCCTGCAGGCCGGCCGCATTACACGGCATTAAAGGACATTACACAACATTGGTTTTCGTTATTGTTCAGTCAAGTACAAATTTGTTTATTTTTTCATTGTACATAGTGTTTATATATGAAGAGCAGCAAAAAAAAAGAACAAAAACATAAAAGAGATATTAGTTATTTGAGAATTTATTATTATTATTTCTTTATTTTTTATTGTATAGAATTTGTAAAATGCTTCGCATCATATCCTGTGTTGACGATTATTTTTCATTTTGCAATTTGCAACGTGTCAATGTGTCAACGCCTGAGATATGACGTACAAAATGGATTCTCATCATCATAGAAATTCTTACAACTTAGTATGTCAGAGACAAAAACGGAACGGCATAGTTACGGAATTGACAATAAAAAAAACAACACAAAGCGTTTATAGTGACGGAAATAACGAAGATGATGAGGTTGCTTCCTTTACAAAAGCACATGAACATTAAAAATGTTTAGAAAATTGTTATATCCAATGCCGGAAGGATGAACACTTTTTGCAACAAATTTTTTTGCTATAATACTGAAATGCAGTTTTACAATACATAAAAAGTATAGCTTGTGGCGGCTTCAAGATAGACAATATTTATGTTAACATGAATTTACTAAGAAATATTATTTATTGTGTGCTTTCTGAGTGGTAAGCTTGGACTATAATTTTGGTATTGTGCTTAAGAGAAATATTGCAAGTTCTAGAAAAATAAAGTTTTACCTGATCAGCTAGTAGTATATAACCATCGGTAGATAGAACATGTCTCACTGCTGCATTAAAATCAGGATATCCAATCCGGGGGCAATCAATACCAGGGAATAAATCCTACAACAGAAAAAGAAAAATCATTTAAGCTTTAAGTGGTGATTAAGTGTGTTGGTGCAATAGTATTTAAAAATGAAATATAGAAAATATATTTTATTATATAAAATATAATAAAATATTGAAAAAGAGTATTAATACAAACAATATAAATTTACATTTTCTTTTCTAAATATAAGACCTTAAATTCCAATAATAAAATTTTCTATAGAATTCGAAAATGATTTTAGAAAATATATAAATATATTGTCTGTAAGTTAATGTAATTTTAGTTAAATTTTATTTAGAATATTTGATTCATATTAGATATATATATTATTTCAGATTCTTTTCCATTTATATTGTTTGCTTAATTAAAATTTGATTAGAAATGGCTGTTCGCATATGCTCTGTAATACCTAACTATGCTCTTGACAGTTATCGAGATTTATGTTAGTAAAAAAAATATATCATGCACCCATAAACCTTTCTCAAGAATTTGAACATTTTCTGAATTACTGTAAGAATGACAATTGAGCTATACTTTCTTTCCCAGGAAACAGCTGCCATAGTAATGTTCAGATATTTGGAACTTAACTGTATCAACACTATAGCGAAATCATAGTGGATTGATAGTTTTAATTTTTACCTTGAAGGTAAAAATTGAAGAAGTCAGTAGTCATCCAAGATTCGAGCCAAATGCAAATAGAACTTGCGTATTCATTGAGTGTGACATAAACAATAATCGCTTAAAATTATTAGAAGTTGACTTAAAATAGAAAATGGGGTACTTATAAATTATACGATTCAAGGGACGTTTTCAAGATCTTTATTTTGATCTTGGTAAGGTGATACCTATACGTTGAAAAATAAGTAATCTTACGTCGAATTGTTACTGCTGATGAAATCGATGTCAAAACCGAATACTATGTATAATAACGATAGTTATAATGAAGTTTTTTGTATCGTATTGTTACTGGCGAAGAAAAGCAGGTTAATAACAAAAACTGAAAATGCAAATCATTGTTTAAATCCAAATATTCATTAGATCAATATAAAACTCTATATTTAGTTTTGATTAGGTTATGCCGGTAGACCAAAAAGGCCACGCGTAGACCATTAAGGTCCATTGCGATACAAGATCAGAGTATTATTTATACCGATAGTATGTAGCAGTCAGCGGATGCTATCTATTGTCTATTAGTGAAGTTTATTAAGAGTTCAAGCATGTCCTCCAGTTCTGTGAAACAGATAGCCACCAAGCTATTTTGTATTTTATTAAATACTACATATTTAATAGCTGTTAAAATCTGCTGAAACTACGGCAATTAGGGAAGATCTATAAAGAAAACAGTCAGTTCGTTTAAAGAGTGTTATTATTCAAAAAAAACGGAAGCAGACACAAATTTGTATCTGTGAAATGTGAAAACACAATATTAGAAACTTCTATTGTTAGCTACAAATCTCCTATGATTTTTAAAAAATTTTCCTTTTCTCGCAAGCTTAAAAATCTTGTAAGATGATAAAATGATGCCTTGTAATACTTCTACTTCAAATGTTTTATTGCGTCATATAAATTTCGTGGGAACTCAGTTCGTGGGAATATATCAATATATCGCAATTAAGCCGATTGATTTATATTGAACCACATTCTAACTAGTTCCATTTCAATTTAAAAATTGGGAATATAATACCAAACAATTATGTTAGTAAATAAATTGAACAGTTTATTCGTTTATTTTATCATACATATATACCTATATGTATATATAATTATAGATGGTGATATAGCGAAATATATTAAAATATACTGTATGAAAATAAATTACTGTTGAAACTTATATATGTTTAATATCATATCATATTAAAAACTAACTTTGTACCTTAAATTAAATAAATGCTACCTTCGATTATACATTTGCTTGATAGCTGTTAACTGACAGATATACTCTGCACATTAAAGCTGAGTAATAATGTTAGGAAATGAAGCATATTTGAGAAGCTATAATTTAAATCTTCATTTACTGAATTAAATTGAATTATTAAACTAAGTAATTAATTAAATATAGATTTGAGATAAGTAAATTTTGCTTTTGCGAAATGCTTTTTTGTATAAAAATGGAATACATGTTATATTTTTAGATTCTGAATTCTAAAATTATTAATAAATTAGAAAGATGCTTGCTAAAATAAAATAATTTGTTAATTTAAAATAATTATTTTGAAAAATATTAACTTCAGGCTGTTGAAGTCAACTTTATAAATTATTGATAATAGTGTGTTCTATAATTAAAATTTTAATTTTATTTTATAGTTTTGTATTACTTACTCGAATGAGACCCAAAAACAATGGCACATCTTCAAACACAAATTTGGGAAAGTTCATATCACGCAGTACACGCATAAGTACAACAGCTTCGGGCAACTCTTCCGATTTACGTTTCATCACACCCGCCATACGTAGTACAGAGTTTAATGAACGTAAGCCCCAATCATAATGGCACTGTTTGGATAATTGCTCCTCAGCCAGCTTATAGAGCACAGTCATTTTCTTAGCCAAAACCTTAAGCATTAAATAAAATTATTTTAAATTACTAAAGTTTTCTTTACTATTCCAAATTAATGAAGTTACATTTGCTCCACATACATATATGCTAATACACTATTTGGTACTTTATATATTACCAGCATATTATTATTATTTCATAAATATACATAGATGTGAGAGTGTGGGCATATTAGGAAAAAGGATTTTAATTAAACATATCAGCAAGGATACGTATTTCGCTTTAATGTGCTTCCTTCTTAATGTGTGAATATATTAAAAAAATGGTTTCGTGTTAAATTGAACTTACTTTTGCTGTTAGAAAACCATCAGAAAAAAGTGATATTAAGCAAATCAATTCCAAATCCGGCTTAATACAAGTTACTGGACGGAAAAGTGCTTTAACGGATTCTGGCAACTCAGTTCTGCCAGCGTAGCCGGGATTCATTGTAACAAATATGCCAACTTTTCGATCAAGTTTAATTTCTGCACCTTCAAACTGAAAATTTATTTTTAAAAATTGAGTTTTAGTTTTTTATGAATTATTGTTTATATACACATAAGTTCATATTATTAAAATTGAGCAAAACTAAATTAACTTAAAATTATTAAACATTAAGACTGGTTCATTCATAATAAACTAAGAAAAAGAAAGGTTTTTTGATATTATAAGATACATGAGTATATATACCTTTTCTAAGTAATGTTTATATGCATATACAGGGTGAGATGAAAAAACTGCAACAAAGTAAAACGCCATAATTTTTTCATTTTTTTTTAAATTTTATTGAATGAAAGCAAAAAATGTCGGAAATAACATCAAATTTGAGAATCGGTTTAGATTTGTTCGAATTGGCCACCTTTGGCCCGAAAGTGGCTCTGCGGTATTTTGTCCCATTCTCGGCGAAGCGCTTGCTTGAGATGATCGACACTTTGGTATTTTTTAGTTCCAACCTTGCTTTCCAAAATACCCCAGGCACAATAGTCCAACGGATTGGCATCCGGAGATTTTGGTGGCCATTGTGCGGTGGAAATGAAGCGAGGAACCTCATTTCTTAACCATTCTTGGATGGCGCGTGCTGAGTGCGATGGTGCTGAGTCCTGTTGGAATGTCCAAGGTCTGCGGCCGAAATGTTTGCGTGCCCAGGGCTTCAGAACTCCCTCCAAAATATTTTCGCGATAGATTTGCGCATTTAATTTGACACCACGGTCGATGAATACGAGCGGCGAGCGACCATCGGCTGTTATGGCGGCCCACACCATCACCATGGCCGGCTTTTGAGTTGTGATGGCCAACCGAAGTTGCAAATTTTCAGCTGACCTCTCTGGCAAGTAAACACGATCATTTTGTTTGTTTACAAACTGCTGGATAACGAATGGTTTCTCATCGGAGAAAACCAAATTCGGCAGTTCACCACTTTCGGCCAAGCGAAACAACTCTTTAGCTTTTTCGAGTCTAACTTTTTTTTGCGCATCAGTAAGATCTTGCACTTTTTGGAACTTGAATGGCTTTAGTCCAAGCTCATTTTTCAATATTTGCCGAATGGCATATTGCGATATGTTCAGCTCACGAGCCATTTTTCGTCCACTGCGACGCGGATTTCGTTCAATTCGCTTTTTCACTTTTCGAACCATTTCTGCCGATGTTGCTGTTTTTTTTCGTCCACTTCCTTGACGTCGGGCTACGCTACCAGTATCATGGTAACGAGCGATGGTACGAGACACAAAACATTTATTCACTTCTAAATGCTGGAGGGCTCTAACGATAGCCACTTGTGGTTTTCCAGCCAAATGCAAAGCAATCACACTATCACGCTTGAATTCCATCACAAATAACTTTTTTTTTGAAAAATTCCCACCAAAATGCTTTTGTGCGCTTGTAAACAATATAATGAGCTGTCACTAGAATAAATCTGACAGCTGTGGGACGAGCGGTTTAGAAATGACAGCAGTCTGAAGTTGGTTGCAGTTTTTTCATCTCACCTTGTATGTATAGTTATATATTTTAAGTCAGATCGATTTGTGTCCTTTTAAAGCATATACCCAGATATGATTCTATGAACCATTAAGTGTATAAATTACCGAGAAATCATATATCTAAAGTGAATTTAGAGTCCACGCTAAATTCAGATTTATCTTTTGGTTTTAGTTATATCAAATAGAATCAAATAATTACTTAATTTGGATTGTAAGCATAGAATCTTACAAACATTTTTAGCACAACCTTATAAAATTCCAATATCATTTGCCAAAGACATCGAAAAATAATGTCCCATAAACCACTTAAAAATTATTACCGGTTTTTCAATATAAGATTTAGCTATCGAAAATTCATTTAAAGCCCAGTTTTTAGCTTTTTGTTTATATATCACTTAAATGTCTTTCATTTAAGCCTAATTATATCCAAAACTTAGCAGCATTATTTTGCATAACATTTATCTCTCGAACAAATCGATCCATCCTAATATACATGCACTTATTTTCTTTCATATTTTTAAAATAATGTTTTCTTCTTCCTACAACATTAAAATTTAATTTAAAAATTTTGTTAAAATTTAATTTTGTTATCTCAGATCAATTTATTTAAATTTATAATAGTTAATTTAATAATTTATATTAATTACTAATAAACTTTAGAATTCTTTATAATATTTCTATTGTCAAGGAATATTTATCAAATTTTTTTATAAAGAATTATGCACTTCAGTCAAATAAAAAAATTACTTGTTTGAAGTTGAAGTATATATTAAAAGTTCCCAAGCAGTTGTTATTGGTAACATAAAATTTTATTCATAAAAGTGATTTAAAAACATACTGGCATTTCAAATTATGTATTCTACCCCATGTGCGAAGTTTGATAAAAGATAAAAAAACTATAATATAAAATACATTCACTTTATATACTTAAATAATGTGTACTTACAACAAATCGTTCCAATTTGCGAACCAATGCACTGCGTATAGTTTGTAGCTGAGTGGAAATGACACTAAGTACTGATATATCAATTCGGTTGAACTCATCGAAACAGCCCCATGCGCCGCACTGAATCAAGCCAGAGAATATGGTACCAACAGCGCGGAAGTCCATGCCCTCACCGCAATTGGTGACAACGCACAGTAAAGCCATTGCTTTAGCCAAATCCTTAGTGGTTTCAGTTTTACCAGTACCAGCGGGACCAGCCGGTGCACCACCTAAATTCATAATCAACGCTTGGGTAATAGTTAAATAAATGCGATCAGTTAGAGGTGTTATAACTAGACGTCCATTTAAGCCCATATATTCGTAACCATATTCGAATTGACCAGAACATTGTATCACATATAAATTGTCAAGAGACTTTAACCAATAAAAACGCAATTGACTTTCCCAACTGAATTCGGAGGCATCAAGTATATTATCACGCACGAATTGCTCAATAATATCGCGAGCATGAACATCAACTGTGGTGACAGTTTTGAACTTAAGACGGTCGTTACGTGTAAGATTCGAACGCACTTTCAATACCAGCTCCTCTATTTGAAAATTCTGCTTCTCTAGAAAGTCTTTCATTGCACGCATATTTCCATGATTCTGTGCTTGGTCGAATGCTTCCTCAACCTCTGCCGTCCACCACACTTGACTCCCAGCCAAACCGACCATGCCCTGATAGTTCATAAGCCAATCCGCTCTGCAAGTAAATGTGAATAAATAAATATAAAAGAACAAAACAAGACGAATATACTGACAAGTATAAGCTACTTAAAAACTCAATGAAGTAAATTGCCATCGATTTATTTCGATTTCAATAAAAAATGTGCGGCACGCTCACTTTAAATGCTTTCCTGCGACATGTGTCCACTCTCAACTGCACTCTTGTGAGGATTTAATATTATGTTTACAACGAAATTGACAGTAATAAAAAAAATAAATCGCATACAACGACGACAAAATTATTCATGGATTGCAATAAAATCGACTTCATCCATGTTTCGATTCGATATCATAAAATATTTTTATGTGCAGCTCTAAATGGAATAACAAACGAAGTTAACATCCCCACACTCATTCCAGCCGACCAACGAAACAAACTTTAATCTGCGTGTCGCATTTAATCGAAGGAAGAAAAATAATTGTTTGATTTTTTTGTCTTACCTTGCTATATTTAGATCAGTTCCAAAGTCGTAGATGGCTTTCTTGGAAATGTATCTATTCGAGCGCCGCATCTCATCGAGCACATCGCACATCCAGTTTTCAACACGGCCCACAGCTCGCGCTTTTAATGAAAAATGTCCAAAATATTATAAAAATTGTACGCAAGACAGGAATAATAAATATATTTAAAAAGTTTAGTTTAACAACAATAATAAAAAGTATATTGAAGAAGTTTTTTAATTTTGATTCTTTACTCATCGTTTCATTTGTCAATACTTTTATTATGTTTACGTCCCTCTCAGATATAAGCGGAATAATATAAAGAAATTATTTTCTTGTTGAAATTTGCGACTTAAGAAACAAGAAGAACTGTTCCATAAAAAATTTGCTTTTATTATAAACTTTCTTATTTATCTCAGTCACAAAATTTTCAATTCAGGCAAATTAGGATATAAAGTATATAACACAGAAATACCAAATAAACACTACAAAGTGAAAGAACAAAATTAAAAACTTTATATTTAAAGAAATAATGACGCAAAAATAATATAAGGCACGGCTGACTGAAGAAGTTGCGATTAAAAATGAAAAATTATTAAAAAAAAATCATTAGTTTTGCTATTAAAATCGAGGATCAGGTTTAGTTTATTACTGTAAGCGACTTTATTTACATTATTTAACGACTTTATCTGCATTAAATTGCAATTGCATTAAAATCTATAATAATAAACCAGAAATCGGTCTGATTGGTTGGTTGGTTGCAATGGCAGGCCTTCAGATAACTTTCCATATACCTTAATTACCGATTTTTATTCCTCGAAAGAACCCCTAAAATAGAAGAATATAGACTAAATCTATTGACTATAGATTTGCAGATAAAGCAAATGTACGATTAAGTATCTCTAAGAAGATTTTTCTAACGTGTAAGCCAACGTCTAATAGACACCTTTATCTTAGAGTCAACCGTCTACTTTATCATATATAAATATTTTGCTTTCTGTACAAAAATTCTAAACATTGCAAATTGATGATCAAAATAATTTTACGATTCTCTTTAAAAATTTTTTTATTCGTGGAACACGGCTGATATCCCATAATCAGTAGAATTCTTCCTCTCCGATATAAGAAAATATTGTTAATATGACAAATCATGGCATTTTGTATAATCAGGACAAATATGTACATGGACAGAAAAATTTTACGGTGTCATTATGAACACATTTATCACTTTCGCTCCTGAAATTATCGATACCTGCTTTTTGTTTTGAATGCATCGACACTATCGTAGTTGAAATTATCATAATAATTTTATGAGTACTATCGAAGAAGTAATGCAGAAGATTTTGACTCAGTTTCTGTATATATTGTAGGATATAACTGTACATAAAAACACTTATAACTAATCAAACAGTGAACTCATGACTATATTATTAAAAAGGGTTATACATTTCGGGATGCTAATTCGATATCAATCTTTTAGTGAAATATATTAAACAAAACTCTTATTGAAGTCATATTGTGTTAACCATTTACCAATTTACAATAGAGATCATTTAATATAATGATGAGGATGTTTCTCGTCGAATTTTCATCAGTAATAAGACTAACTACAAATACGTGAATATGTGGAGAATAGTATTTTTGTGAACTCTAACTCTTGTTGCTTCGAAAACTAATATCATTTAAATTATAGTCAAGGTATTGCCAGCTTGAAAATTAAAAAAGCAAAACAAAAAAAAAGTGGATAAATGTTCGATATTGATTAAGTATTTCGAATGATCCTTTATTCCATAGGAGGCGTATGAATTTCTTAAAGTCTTAAACTGGGTAGCTTAGCTTAAAAAAACGTTGGAAAGAACTGGTCCAGTAATTGAGTAATATATTCAAGAATTCCTTTTCTGCATTAAAGTCTCTTGCTAAACATTGAATTGATATAACAAATACATATATATAAATTACTGAGTCATCTCACCTAAATAATTTTTCATGTCAATTATAAGTATATAAGACAATCAAATTGAAATTTATTGAAAAACTTTTACGACTCTTAATAGAGATAATTAAGTTTATGTGATAAAATAAGTAATTTTTAAAAATAAATAAAATAAAAATAATAAATCGCTTGTTAATACAAAAAAGGTACTTAAATTTAATGTTCAAATTAAATTTCAAACACTGAAAAGGAATGTTGTGGTTTTTATTAACTTCAGAGCAGATAAGTAATTAATATTAAATTAAATACTATATCATATAAGCGAATTGAATGATTGATAACAGTGAATTGAATGATTGTTAGAAACAGCTTATATACATACATATATAGATAGGTATATATATTTGTAGTAAAAACGAAAATATTTACTAGTGATGAACTTCCAAAACGGAGATGGTATCATATGATATTAAATTATTAAATTATAAAATTAACTGAAATAACATAAAAGAATGGATAAGCAAATGAATATGCACAAAAACTTTATTTATTTTATTTTATGTTTTTAATAATTAATTGTTCAATCTAAGCTCATGTTTAATTAAATTTTTGAAGTAAAATTTAATATTTTGCTTTATTAGTGAAAATAATGAGTAAAAAATATCTCCTATTAGATTTTAAACAAATAAATTAAAACTATTAAGTGAACAAAACACAACAATTATGAAATATTAATTTATTTACCAACACTATTTCTTGATAAAGTAATTATTTTGACCGCGATTGAAGGAATATTTTATGGCAACCACAGTAGAGCATATTTATGACAGCAGAAATGGAGCAATATAAATAATGATTATCTTAAAGAAGGCACCCATATAATCACATGGTACTCTGATGGTTCAAAAAACAAAAAAAGGAGTAGAACGGGAGTGTTTTGTTCAAGAACCAAATATGCATTATGATCAAAAAATTTTTAAATGTGTACAAAAATGTATATCATCGTAAGACACAGAGACAGTGTACACAAAAAGCGGACCATTCCCATCCTAATGAAAATGTAAGGGTTCTAAGTACGTAGGAAGTCAAATCTAAATTAGTATGGCTCTTTCCTTACAAATTAAATCAGTAAAACATGGACAGTAATGCAAGGTTCTGCTGGGTATCTGTGCAAACTTCAATGGTGTGCTCATTTTCATCAGCAAAGGTGACTTCTCGAAAATTATTTTTTTTGTTCATTAGATGGAGAGCATCAAAAGTTTTATGTAGTGTAAAATTTATCCAGCTAACAATCCTTAACCTGTTACTTTATAAAAATGGTGTTTTGCGAATTGGTTCTATTCTCTGCTCCATGTTCATCTATGAAGAAGTTGAGTTTATCTATAATACTATAACAATTGTTTTTAAATATATATTGAAATAAGATATTACTTTAAAGATCGATCGGCCTGTTGTTGAACAATTCCTGGTTTTTCCATTGCTTTACTAATGATAGTGCATGGATCTTATTGCAGTGTAGGTTGAGAAGTCTTGCAGGGAATCTTGAGAGACAAAAAATTTAAAGCGTGGGTATTCTTACAGATTTAAGACAATCTAAATTACTAATATGTAATATACAATAGCAAAATATTCGGAGCCTTAATTGAGCATACCAAAAGCATAATAAGAATATGATATCTAGAATATAAAGAAGAATATGATATGAGCTTAACGGAATGTGATATGATCATACGAAGAATATTAAACCACTATGAATGTGATCATTGTTGGGGCAAGGTCCGTCTGAACAGTATTGGTATTGCATAAAATTCCATTACCAATTTTCAGCATGAAGAAACTTAGTCGTCAGAATAGGGCTAAGAATATAGGAATATGAATATGGCGAAGATAGAAACTTAATCGCCAGAAAACATGTGAAACTCTTATACACAGTTGCTTAAGATACTTCGGACTATAATGTGCTTAACACCAGACAAGAAATTAGCAACTTGAATTCTTGAAGCAACTAGACATTATTGAATTGTTCAGATGAACGGAACTGGATAAAATTAATTAAGATAAACTAATCCATGAGGAAATTTTTGAATATTTTCTAAGGAGAAATTAACGTTATGGAATGATTTAAGCAGTTTAATCTGTACATCGGTTACAAACAGCCAATGGGAAAGGGTAGTAAAGTGGAACTTTTGGTTGCAGTACTTTATATACCTCCCATCTACATTAAATTACTACCAGAAATACAATATTTTTCATGCTGTATTTTAATGAGAATAAGAAGAAGTTTATCGAATAAGGCGAAGAAGTTGTTGTGATAAAAATTTGAATTTTAAATTTTCAGTTGGCGTGAACAATGCCAATCGACTCGTTAAGATAAAAACTCAAAATGTGGAGAAGGAAAGTTAAGTGCACACAGTTGTCATTGTTTGATAAAATTTATTTTCTCTGATTTTAATAAATATTTTTATTGTTTCGCAACTGACTTGCAGTATTTGCGTTGTCAGACGACAAAAGTTGGTGGTCAAAATAATTAAGGAAAAATAGTGTATCAACTCACCGCTGTAACGAAACTCCATAACTTCGCCTTCACTGGATATCATGGCGGTGACGATGTTCACATTGTGCGTGTCCTTGGCAAAGCGCAGTGATTTTATATTGTCGTACATCTGCAAATGTACAAGGACTGTATAAGGACTGTGATTTTAAAAATTGAAAATCAATATTGACATAAATATTGTTATGCAAGTAAGCTGACCGAAATCAAAAACGTAATTGGCAAGGAATGTTAAACTGTAGGGGAATATTAAATAATTTCAATGAAATTGCTTTAAATGGGAAAGAATCACCATCACCATTCATAGAATTCAAAGTATATCACTTTTATGTAAGGTTAATGAAATTTAATGAATTAATTTGATATATTCGTACTTTAAGAAAACTTAAATAATTAACTTAGGAAATAATTAATCATTCATCACATTCTTGTGTACAATTGAATTTCTATATAAAGTGCTATTGTAAAGCATAATATAGCTATATTTTATTAAGTTTTAGCTAATTACTATATATAAACTAGTATATTTGTTAGTAAAAGTAACTACTGATTTACTTTAATATATTATAAATTATTTAATTACCTTTATTATGTGATTCTGCACAGCTGTGACCTCGCTACTTCCCAGTATAGACAGTAGTTCATCGGTCGATATGAAGTAGAATCGTGGAAATATGCGTCGCTTGGATTCTAAGTAATCATTTAATGATTTTTGGCAGTTTTCCAAACCCAAACCCAGTCCTTGTATTTCTGGCAAACGACCCGGTACTGTGCAGAATGGTACAACAAGTGGATTTTTAAAACAATCCACCATAATCTGTGAAGTTAAAAATGATTATGAAATGTTATCTAACATATATTTCACACAAAAAAGTTCTTATAATATAAGATATTCAAACAAAACAATAGTAACTATTGCTTCCATCACATATGGCTGAATTTGATTTAATAGTAAAATACTACGTGAAAAATGAAATAACTTTAATTGAAATCGCAATGGACATTGTGTGAAGGTTAAAGTTAATACAATGTTAGACAATCTTCTGAGCAAGATGACGCCCTTCACGTGGGTGTGTGAGTACTTTCCATAAATATCAAATTACAGTGTTACGTTATGCGGTATCCCACCTACAAGTGCCTTCAACATGTGTTATCCAACATGGAAAATTCGTATTTGGTGCTTGAACCTTGTTGAGGTCAAATGTCAAAAGCATACAAACCAACATTTCATATGTTGGGAAATAAATATGCTTGATTTAATACTCAATTTTGCTTTGCTATTCACCTTACAAATGTTACACTTTGCATGATATTAAATTTACAGTTAAGTAGCAAGACGCCATATTGTCGACTAGAGAATAGCATTGCAAACAAACCGCAGTAGCATCACATATTAAAGCATTAGCAAACGAAATCAAAGCCAAAAGTTATACAACGATGACCCCCAAATAGGTGTACTTACCCTGCGGTATGCTCTGTCAATATCATCAAATTTTTTTGCTTCATCAGGTAGCTGTGCTCGTATGTCACCGCCAATGAATATGCCCTCCAAGTACATCCATTTGCGTTGCACAACAAGCCATTCGTCTATGATTTCAGATACCAATGCCAATGCACGTTCCCATTTATTTACAGTCTCCAAAAATGGACCAATAAATCTAATGAGATGACACAAAACGTAGACAAAAAATTTCCGATAAGAAAAATAGAAAAAAAATCTTATTGAAAAAAAAAACCAGTAAGTAAGCAAGTAAGTAAGTAAATGAGTGGAAACAATAACGAAAATATCCTTGTCTGCATTGATGAAGAAATCGCTTTAATTAAAATAATGAATAACAATTGTCCTATTTATAAGTTCGTTACTGTCTACTCACCACTCCCACATGCTCCCAACTTCAGTTGTTTTGTTTGAATTTATTTTTTTTTATTTCTATTTTTATTTTTTGTTTTTTTTTTGAAACAGCGCATGTAAAATGACTCGGAATCACTTTAGTGTATTGAAAACCTAATGTCTGTCTGTTGTAGTTGATAATAGATATGCAAAGATACTATACTATATTAGAAGAAAATAATGAATATGTTTTCAAGTGTTTTTAATTGGATGCATTGATTGTTTTATTGCTTAAATATTAAAGACTTTTTATTTAATACAAATCAACGTTTTAGTTGTAGATTTAAACAATTGAGACTAATTATGTTATATGAAAGTAGTAATCATTGCTTATACAACATACACCAAAACATATACCGATAGAAAAAACCTGAGGTAAGCAAAAGCTATAGAAAATATTAAATATGTGTGGAATACTCGTAAAAGTTAGAGCTAACAAACAGATAAAGTAGAAAAGAGCAAACATTCAGGTAAAAAAGAAAAATGAGATAACATATAGTATTAAAAAGAGAAACTGATGTATAGAATGAGTGACCAGCACGGTTGCCACTTTTGGTACTTTAGTACCAAAATTGGTATTTTTTTTTCGTTTGGTACTCATGTTCAAAAAATGGTACATTTTTGACGACCCAACTTTATTGTGGATATTTCCAATTAATTTTTTTTATAAATGCAACTTTGCACTATTTTATATTTTGTTCATTTATAACATTATGAAAAACACAGAACGAAAAAACAAAAAGGTCCAAAAAAATTTTGGACCTTTTTTTACAGAAATGGTATCTTTTTAAACCAATTTTGGTACAGGAAAAAATTTTCAAGTGGCAACCGTGGTGACGAGTGAAATAAAAGAGATAATTAATGAGAAAATAAGACACCGAGAGAGAGAGAGAGAGAGAGAGAGAGATAAAGAGAGTAAGAAAGAGAGGGAGGATAAGGGAAGGAAAGTAAAAGGGTGATATGTGGAAGGAACAAAAAAGAGAGAGATAGTGGAACATCAAATAAAAAAAAATTAGAGAAAAAATTTGATTGGCAGAGAGGGAGAGAAAACACAATAACTTATGTAAATATTTTAAGAATTCATTATTGTAAATATAACGTTAAATATATATTATCCACAATCTTATTTTAAGTCGCATAATTACGGAAAATTGACGAACTTGACGAAGTTCTAATGATACAGAGGTGTTTTACAAAAACGATCTTCAAGTTATCGCAAAACAGACCTTACTATAAACTACACTTAGACAGAAAATGATCAACATTATATATAGAAATTCTAAAATTAAATTTCAAATGCGTAAATCATGTCATGACTCTGAGTGACAACAGATAACCTAAAATTTTGGCTTGTTATCTCTTGAATATGAAAAGAGGTTATTTTGAAAAATGGCAAAAAATAAACATGAAAAGGTGTTATTTCTCGAAAATAGAGAAGTTTATCTTGCGATCTAAAACTTATTTCATGCTATTAAAATATGAAAAAAAATTATAAAAATACAGAATTATTGTATTATTCAAATTGTAATTTTATAAAACAAAGTAAGTCATATACACTATATCAAACGTTTTAATTAAAACATACGGTTTTATAAAAATTTGTTAGTTAATAATCAATAGATCAAATTGATTGACAGTAACATGTTTAACCTTATTAAAACTATAAGCACTTTCCTTAGTTTTCTGGTATACAGACCCTTAATAAATTAAGCATAATGCTAACAACAAATGATACTTCTCAGTACCGACGGCGAAAGTGTCATTAGAGATTAAAATTAAAAGAACTTTGTCACTAAAATTATCATAAATAAAAATTAACTCTTAACAGACACACTATAATATTTTCTCTTCAATATACACTATTGAAATATAATCTTAACTTCTATGTTAGTTGCATCTACTTGAATTAGTTGAAGCCATAATTGTTATAAATTTTAACTCGAAAATTTTATAGAGTTGCGGTTAATGCCTTCGATTGATATGTATTTAATGTTTCAATTAATCGTTTAAATAAAGTATTTTTCAAATAAAACAAACGAACTTACTGCGAAGCGGCCATAGACTGTAGGTTCATTGCGTTATCCTCGAGTGCAACTAATATTTCGTCAACTGGACCAAGTATGAAACCACGTTCGACATTTCCTTTTATATGCTTGAATACTTTGAATGCCATTGTAGCCCATGTATCTTCCACAGTTCTGACGCCTTTTTCAATAGACAATTCTTTGATGGCATTGTTTAAGATTTGTTCCGCAATATCCTATTTAACATATAAGTAATAATATATTATGTTATTGTTAAATAAAATAAATTTATAATAAAACTCATTAGTTTTTTATTTATTAATTTAAATGCATATTACAATATTATTATATTATTATGAAATTTTTTATTTACTTATATTGATATTGCTTTAGTCATCTTTTGAAATGTATTCTAACTGACTGAATACATATATATTTAATTAATATAAATAGCAAAGTGTGAGTTAAGTACCTGATAATTATGCAATTGCATAGCAAACATATTTTCAAGTGTAAAACGATCTGGATTCATATCGAAGTATTGATCTGTTTTCTCCATTAGCTGTCTCCAATGGCGATCTCGCAATGCTTCGTTCTTAAGACTTAACATGAGGGGTATAGTACCCTTAAACTGTTTCATGTTATTCTCCACTGCAATACCAACCGGTAATAAACGGATCTGAGTGGAAATATTAAAATAATAATTAATTCTAATTCTTCATGTGAAATACAATACAATACAATTTATTGTAAATGAATTCAAAGTTTTTTAAAAATCAATGCATAAAAATTTGTTCAGTACTAAATCTAAACGGGCATGCATGAGTCTTCCTAATTTATGGTATAAATCCTGCGATACATTCCCATATATTTCCTCTTATATTGCGATATTTTAGCAATCGTTGCAAAACATTAAATCAATTTGTATCTAAACAATATTGTGTGCATTGCGTTTGCTGATTAATAAAAACAACATTTGTTGCATGCAACCATTTTGAGTCTGTATTGGCGCGAAAAATGCATTTACGCTTAGGCACTCCTCGCAGAGTGTTTCGTCCTTCTGGGAGTAATCAGCTCTCAGCTCACAACTCTTAGTGCTTGTTTGGAATTAAAAATTTCTAAATTATTGATGTTTAAATATCGAAAGCATTTACCAAATGTACGAAACGTTTATTTGTCATCGATTTTCGCGAAACTGGAAACTTCATAGCTAAAATCATGTGCATAGCCACGTACCCAACACACTCGAGAGCTTATAAAATAGTTAGGCTTTATTTATTTGGCCACAGCGGACGGTTTACTCAGCTGCTGCCGCGGGCAAAATCGCATGAAATCAGTTAAAACAATAGCGGCGGCTCGCGACTGCGGTTATTAGGCTTAATTTCTATGAGTTATGAGTGTGTTAAGCGTGAGTCGCACATGCCAGTGCAATGTGCTGGGCGGTCTAGCTGGAGGGATCTGACAAGTAGGCCATGTCAATGTTGGCAGTGTGGGCCGTGTAGGCCGTGTGGACAGTGCTGTTTCAGTTCCACGCTGGCAAAATAATTGTTTGTCCATTAAAAGTAAAAACTTGCTGTTTTCTATTTTTCAGTTTCAACAACTCGTTTAGTACGATTTTATGTTGAATTGTGACGGTGTACTGAGGTTGTGGTTCGAACTCTAAAAGGATTTATTTTTCATTGACATTAAAAATTGAAAACAGTCAATATGTTAATTGCTGTGTTAAGTGCCAACAGAGAGGATGCCTCGATTTGTTGAAAATTTGGACTTTAATTGTGACACAGTTTTGTGATTTTTAAACTTTCATAGTTTTTGTGAACTACAAAAATGTAGTTTGTTTTCTATAAATTTAAAAAAACATTAATTTAAAAATAATAGTTTAAAAGAGATTTAACCAATAATGGAATAATAATAAGCGGCACAATGTGGTACTGGATTTGAGCATGTATGATCAGCAGAACATATATTCCTAACGTGTACAGTTTGTTTAAATACAACTGTAGTAAGAGAATATTAGTTAGATATACTTGTACTTAATATGTTATTTTTAAATCACACTGTGACTCCACACAGAATATGCTAAAGTAATATTAAATTGTAACTTACAACGTTCTTTACAAACCGTGTTTATATACACAGGGTTGGTAAAATTCAAGAGACAACACTGTAACTTCGACAAGGAAGGGGATACGTGTTCGAAACATCAGTCTTGGAATATCTTTGCTTTTGTGGAGTACACAACAGTAGAAAGCGGTAAAATTGTTATGCTGTAATTTGAAATAACATCTCAAAAAAAAGTAAAACGTAAGCCATCAAAGAGAACAATAAAGAATTTGAATAAAAAACTTTTATATTCTGGTTTTGTCACTTATCTTAGGCGTTACAATATGGTACGGAATTCGAACTGATATGATCGTCGCTCAATACCGCTTGAAAGAATTTAGTAACATATCAACAACCGTCAATCAGATGCGTTATTGGGCTTAGATAACCGATTTTTTGATACCGATGACTCATAACGATGGTACATATTACTTTCGGTTTTAAGAAGATGACGCAGTTACTCATATAGATCATGGTACAATTATTTCTATGAAGTACTTTTGACTGGCATCCTAGTTTCCAGATTTGGTAAGATCAGATATTTTTTGGAGGTATATGAAATTAAATGTTTATATGAACAAGCCAGGGTTGGCAGACAAACTTAAGGCTAACATCTGCTAGAAAATTACAGTCATATCGGCCGAAATATCGATATATACGATCGATACTGTCAAATAGCGGACACATAACGCCACTCGAGCTAATAGTGGCCATTTTCGTCATATAATCTTTACCTCCTTGAATAGATTTAAATAAATTTTAAACTTGAACCGGAAAGAAAAGCCTCTTTTCAAATAAGTAGATGCACTTAAGTAGGTGCATACAAGTTGTCTCCTAATAAAATAACGAAAGTGCATTCATTTACAGGAGAGCTAGGATTCAGTTTTTGTGTGTATTGCGATAAATGTGGCATAGGAAGGCCTATATGATAACAATGTTTATTCATCAGGAAATTTCCACATTTAGCTTGTTTGGTATAGGAGAAGGTCACTCTAAAAAGATGTATGATAAAAAAAAAACTATTTTATAGACTTCCCCTGAATTTTCAATTAATGTTTCAAAGTTTTGAAAAACGCTTGAGTTTTTTTCATTTACAATGTTGAAAACATTGTATCTGAATTGATATTCTGTTTTATTTTTGTATGCTTCTTATTTAATAAGTTTATATAAGTATATATAAAACAAAAATATGTATATTATTTTATTATTATGTTAAGGGAAGTTGAGTCAGTGCACCTGAGCACTTTTACTCTATATTAACTGCGAGGTTTCTTATAATTTTTTATAATTTTTATTATATTTTACGCAGATTTATATTCCTTTTTCTAAACGAAACAAAAGTATGCAAAATTTAGTGTCAATCACTGTTTCAGAAAACTGAAATCAACATTAAAAGTCTTCAAAAATTGAATTATTTGCTTTCTGCCCTACTTTGATTGGTTTTCAAAGTTTTCCGAAAACAATCATTGATGCAAACTAATTAAAAACTTTTATTGATAAAATTACTTACCGCCTTAGGAAGTTTACGAAATTCCTTCAAGTAACTTTCAATGCCTTCAGTCAATACAAGCGGATCTAAATTGACCCATAGTGTCTTTGACCAACCATCACGTGCCAGCCTTTGACTTTTGTATAATTTGTAAAGCTGTCGGAAATGATTACAAAATTAAACAATCTAAACCGTCAAGTAATTAAACTTAATGAAATTAAAAATTAAATAATTTTTTAAAAATTGGAATTTCTTTCATTAACTTTGAAATAGGTTTAGAAATTGTCAAAGTAAAACTTACCAAATGCATGCCATCATATTCAAACTTAACTCTTACAAATTCATTATAATCCGCCATAGGCATATCAAATAATCTTTCAGCATTAGCTTATCAAAGTTAATATATCATTAAAGTTAATAAAAAAAAGTTACGAAAAGTAATTTAAAACTTATAATTTACCTAATTCAGATCTACGTTCTTCATATTCATTAATTTTAGTCCCATACGGTTCCATAAGTCGAACACCTTTATCCAAATCGGACCCAACAGCACCAGGGCCATTCTCATCAAAGTCTTTAATAAATGTATCCAACTAATGCAGGAAATTTTTTTTATTATATTAAGTAATTAATTATATATTATGTAAATTTTGATAAGATAAATTGAACAACATTAGTATCATTGTTTTTCCAGCAATATAATTATGTTATGCATAGAAATTAAGGAATTACTGCCATCTATGTAACAAATTATTACTTAGAAATATGATATAAATAAGCATTTAATTGAAACTAATAGAGCTAGATATTAACTCTATGCTCAACTTTATTTTCTAGGTTGTGGAAGAGAAATATGTGGTTAGGTCCACAAAAAATATTATAATTAATTGAGGAGTCAAACAGCAACTAGATTGGACGGGGAAACCATAAATTAAAAAAATTGTTACGTCCGTCTATACACATTAAACCTTAGATGTTCTCTTGTTTATACACAGAAAAACCAAAAATGACAAAAGATAAATTTTTAAAATTTTTTTCACGACGATCTACAATCGGATTCATGGACAAAAAGCCATTCAAAAAATGATAACTTGGAATTAGAAAGCAATATCAATAGCTTATTAAAATATAAAATCCATGATATAAAGTCTATTCTACTGAAACAATCGTCTTAGTTATATTTTAAATGCTTTATTCCTTCTAAATCTGTTTTCATATGGTATGCGGAGTTAAATCGAAATAAATATTAGGTATATTCGTCACCTCCGAAGTGTGGCAATAAGCGACAAGGTGCTCGCTTAAAGTCGCTAATATGTACGCAAAACGAGAATACTTTTTTCTGTATCTACACGACTAGTTTAGAAAAGAATGTTACTAAGGCAATTAGCGATCTATTGTGAACCTTCATTGGAAATTTCGTCGAATATTCCAGTCATATGTCAAAACTTTGTAAACAAAAATTCAAATTCAAAATTTCAAATAAAATTAAAAACATGCACAAATTTAAAAATATAGAGAAAAAATATTTTAAAAGTTTGCACACTGGTCTGCATCTTATTGTTTATTCAAATAACTGAGCAATATAGATTTGAATCTAACTGTTCCATCTATACAAATAACTAAGCAATGTAGGTTGGAAAAGAAAATAGAGCAAATGCGCTCATTATAGTATAAAGAGTCATTAATTGGGTCACTATTAAAAATTATTAACCAATCAATCTATAGTTGAAAATATTAGATATTGAAAATATTAGTGAGCGGTCAGCTATAATCTATCAGTGGGCAACTTTCTAATTTTGAGCAAGCTACGTCGTTCAGTTGGTGTTTGATAGCCGTTCAAAGCAGACAACCTCATGAATTTTTACGAAAATAGAAAAAAGTGAATTTCGTGTGCTGATTAAGCATTCGTGGCCAAAATCCACGAATTGGAATACGAACTGCTACCCCATGCAGCATATTCTCCAGATTTAGCCCCCTGTGATTATTTTCTGTTCCCAAACTTAAAGAAATGGCTGGACGGTAAGAAATTTGAATCGAATGAAGAAGTCATTACTTTGAGAAATGACAGCTTTGAGAAAACCTATTATTTGGAGGGAATAAGGAAATTAGAAAAACGCTGAAATAAATGTATCGAGCTAAAAGGTGATTATGTAGAAAAATAAAATGTGTATTTGCCGAAAAAAATTTGTTTTATTCAAAAAGTCACTGACTTATCAAACCGCCCTCGTAAATTAGATCAACCAATCTTTAGCAAAAAATATAAAATTTTTTACATTTATATCAGTATAAACATGTCTAATTTAAATTTGTATATTTGTGCGTCTAAACCTTCAGTAACCTCGAGTTACCTACTAACTGGACCTTTGTCATTGTCATGGCTCCATAAACAATTTCATGGCTGTAGACCCAATGTCCTCTGTGTTTTGTGTAATAACAATACCCGGACATGATGAATTTTCTACAATTTTTATAAATGGACATATATTAAATTTTATAATTTGATTGAAAAAAACTTTTTTTATGGGATCATTTTAATGCAGTAAATGAATTATTTTAATAAAATTGTCAATAAGAACGAATTTTGGGTAAGAATGGATCCGTACAACAACAATTCTTAACATATGAAATGATTAGAATCTGACATTACTGGAAATAAAATCAAATTATGCAAGTACTAAAGAGAAATGAAGTGCAATTAACTCTGATAACTTTTTGTTCATCAAACTAAATTATTTCATTGAAAATAGTTTTGTTTCAAATTGTTCTTTCGATGATTGAGATTCAAGTATTCAAATATTATTTGGAATTCTCTTTTCCAATGTACCATATTCAAATAGTTTCATGTATTTACTTAAGCTATGTAAATTTCCGATCTTATACGTACAATCAGGAAGAACTTAAAAAAAATAACACAGTTAAGTTGAGTTTAGAATAAACAAAATTTTAAATTCAAACTCAATCCTAATGATGATGTCAATTGAATTTCAGTGCGGCTTAGCAAAAAAAAAAAGGAAAATAAGAAAATAGCAGTTGATTCTAGTGACAAAAAACCGGAAACGGAATACGGAATACGAAATACGAAATGCAATGATAAACCAACAAAAAAGGGAATGAAATTGAAAGCTGAGTGATTGTGTGATTGTCACTTTTAATTCAGATAATAAACACTTCAAGTTAATTCGTTTTCTTAGATACGGTTACTTGAAATATGTTAGGTCTTGCTGTAGGTACGATAGGGCGAGGAACCCTACGTACAGCACACAGAGTAAGCGGAAGCGGAACTCGATGTGAAAATGCCAAAGTACTCATTGCAGATAATGCAAATGTAATTGACAATACTAACGGGTGGAAAAACTGTTTCTGTGCTCTCCTGCAGCAGGAGAAAATCCAATTAAATTCTCATTGAAAGGAAATAATAAAGGAACAAAAGCGATATAAAATGAATGAAATAAAAATGGCGCAAACTGAAGCCATACGCACAGCACTGCTGCAATTGTCATTGTTTATTGTTGCCATTATTATTAACACTGTAGCACCATCGATTTGGGTTGTAAGTGTATAAATGTGTAATATTGCAATATTGTAAGTGTGTAGTTGTGTAATTGTGTAAGTATGTAAGGTGGATAGTAAAGAGATTAAAGTTTATATATAATAATATGGAGTTGCAAGTGCATAAAATATAAAATGGTATCCACGTATGTAATCTTACCTCATTCTGGAAGTGTGATATTTCGACTGAAGTCATATCCGCGAATTTTTGCTTAATTGGCTGCAATTTCTCGTATCTGTGCAGGGCCTCACAGTAGATACGATCCCACCGTTTTTCCAACTGAAAAGACATCAACATTTCCTCATAATTGTACTGCAAGCCGTCACAAGTGAACACATGAGCACAAAAGCGATATTGTTATATGCCGCAACGCCATTCAAGCAGTCGTACCATAAGGTATCAGCATTTACGATGAACGCAGGAGGCCAAAATATCAACGGAAGGTTTGCATCGCAAATGAAATGAAATTGAAAATCACATAAAAATATAATTAGTTTAAAGAATATATGTGTATTATAATTGTTATTATACGAGTATAATTTCGATTATTGCATAGTAATAAAGATTAGTGATAAAATTGTTACGTATCGTATTTTTATATTATTATCATTATATTTTCACATTACATAAAATTATAGTTGTTATAAAAAAATATGAGTAGAATTTTAAAATAATTCTGCTTTGGACTTATATTAAGTTATTTGAATTTATATAAAATTTATATAAAAACATGTAAAATATTATTTTTTTTTCACATGCAACGAAAATTATTTAGTCTTTTTGCTTTTCGTAAAGCAAAGCACTACAGTATTTAATTTATTGTAGAGCATCATTGGTATTAAAACTGAGTAAATTAACCAAGGGATACGCAACTGGCTGCACGGTGAGTCCAAATATTTAAAAGTGCGCTTACGTATAAGCATGGATGGAAACCAAAATGTACACCAAAGTGAGCCCCAAGCCCCGAAAAGCACAAATTTATATAACTTTATTACGAGGCTCTCATAGCTGACGTAGGAACACTAAATAAACATTTGCCAAAAGCGGTTTAATAGTGGGAAGCTGCATGCTTGCATGCATAAATATTAAGTGACGACTTCAAAAGGATTTGCTAAAACCCTCATTTAAATTTACAAATATGAGTAGAAAGTGTTTTGTGGACAAAGTTGTTACTGCACCGCTGGCTGTCGGCCACTTTCACATAATGAACAATTCCAAGTGCAGCATATAGTGGTTCTCTACCGTTTACTTTAGTTCACTATAACTAAATTTATTTACTGCATTTCAATTTGGTTACATAAAATGCATTGGACGTTCAATATATATTCGACGTTTATTGAAAACTACATTTTAGGCAATTGGGACGCGGAAAGCCATGGAGCCTTATGCAAGTGAATTGATTTGAAAATTTTAAAATACCCAATTAGAATTTTTAGAATTAAGTGCTTATGTCACTAAAAAGTTTAGTTTAGTGTGTTTAAATTGATGAACACATTTTTTGCGAGCAAATATTTACTGTGACAATGATTTCTCAAGTATGTGCACATATATTACATATTATATATATTTTTAATACATGGAAATTAATTATCACAAAAGGTATTTTTATAAAACATTTTGTTTGTTGCTCCTCATAAGAAAAATCGTTGTAATTAAATAATTAAACAATCTCCAATCAAAGGCTTATTTTTACTGCCAAAGGTTGACATGAAATATATAAAAAATAAATGTGTAAAAATCAAATCGTTTTTGCATATTCTTTATTGGAATAATAATTTAAATTTTTTATTTACTATTTATTATTAAAAATATTTTTTAAAATTTTTTCATATTCTTTGTTGGAATGACAACTTGAATATTTTATTTAATATTTATTATTAAACATTTTTTTGATTTTTTCCATATTCTTTATTAGAATAATAATTTAAATTTATTATTTACTAAAAAAATTTAAATTATTATTCTAATAAATTATATGTAAAAACTATTTGATTTTTATATATATCTTCTAAATTTAAAATTATTAAAAATTATTTATTAATAATAATAATAAATGCTAAAAAAATAAATTAATCAAATAAATTAAATAATAATTATTTTAAAATAGCCCATTTTAAAAGCGAAATTAAACCCATTTTTAGAATAAAGTCAAGAAAACTTTTAAATCTCACTCCTAAAAACCCAATAATATATATCAAACAATTATGATATGATATCTATATTATTATATAATTTTTTATTTGTTCACATAAGTCTTAATCAGTATATATAGCAGGTGTATGCATGCGATTTTTCCGGTTATTTTTGACAAAGAAAACACGTAATTTTCAAAAGAAAATATTTTGTTTTACTCAAGTTATTGGTCATCGGGTTCTTTACATATAGCCCATCTCTCAGGTAATTCATGAATACCATCCGTCAAGCTTTCCTATAACTTCCACGAAATTGTGTGTGTTGACGTGTGTATTAAATTAATACTCTGTGTACTTTTCACTGGCGCCATCTCTTAGTTAAACCGGAAAAAACTTATGCACACACCGGGTATAATATGTAATCAAAACAGTAAATTTAAAAAACACTCAGATTTAATATTGTACTATATTAAAAGTTTACTTTTATCATAATTAAAATTTAATATAATAACATAAATTTAAGTTTTTAAACACTTGTAGAATATTCAACTTTTCAAGATGTTTGCTATAAATTTGAAACAATAATATAATTTTCAGCTTAAAAATGAAATAAAATAATATATAATATAATTTAATAAAATAAAACAACAAAATTATATGTTATATATATATTATGTGATATTTTTTATTTAATAGACTTTTTGGCCGACCATATAACTTTTAAAATTATTGTCAAGCTTCCATCAATTGGATTTGGAATTTTTTTTTTTAATTTTATTGTTCATATCACCTACTAAACCTAAAAATTTTGTATTAATTTGCTCACAATAACAAATATAATATTTTAGATTATTGTATACAAGTTCAGCTGTGAATAATGCTTTTTTCCTAATAATTATTCTAATAATATTATTCCAATAATAAGTAAATTTGTTAAACAATTAATATGATAATGAACGTAGGCTTGACATGACAAATGTATAACTGTGGATTATGCGTTTTTTATAGTCAAAGGCAAGTGAAGTTGTTCAAATGACAAAGATCTTAATTTAAAAATGTTTAAAATTTAAATATGACAGTCCTCAAGTTGATCCTTTAATTTTTGCAGTCCTAAGGTTATATACGAACAATTGAGCACAAAAAATATTCCTAAAATATCGCTGATGACATGCTTCTGACAATATACGAAACAATTAACTAAGTCTGAACAAAATTAACTAACTAAAATATCAAATTTGGAATAGTTCTTTCCGTCATATTTGACTTTGAATATGGGTATTTTTTAATACTGACCGGTATTCTATGTTCACTGAGCACAGTAAATGTTTCCTGCACTTCGTGTATGTTTAGCTCATACGACAATGTTTTCGCTTGAATGGTAGCCACAGTTTGCATAATTTTTTTGAAATCATCCAGATTTTTAGTAGGCATATTAGCATGATATCTCAAACTCTGGAAAGGTATTTTAAGGTTTAAGGTTAATATAGTACAGATGTTAAATATAAGTATTACTTACGCTAAGTTCTTTACGTATAATATCCATACTGATGGATGCCTTGACTGCTAATGCCTCTCCTAACTTGGTACGCCACATATCCGCATGTGAGCAAATGTTTATTATCAATGGCTTCAGATTTATACGTAAGCAACGCAACTCTACATATTGTGCAACATTTTTCAATTCTTCAATTATACTCTCATAAAATGCAAATTGTTCATCGATTTCCATTAATGGCTTATTTTCACTGACATATGTTTCACAAACTGATTTCTTGTCCAAGAGCCACAAGTCTTTATATTTTCTAAACCTGTTCAGTATAAAAATTTGTAAGTTTTGAAATATATACATATGCTAAAATAAGTACGAACTAACTCTTAAAATAGTATTATAATATCTTTCAATATTATAAAATAGTATTAAATACTATTATATGTAATCTAAATTAAATAATAACATAAAAATTCATGCGCGTCCAAAATACCAACTAACGAAAATTGACACGTTAATTAAATTAATACAGGAAGGACCAGTTCAATATTCTCACCAGAAACCTAAACTATCCAATAAATCATTCTACGGAAAGCATGGTTGTTGAAGTTAAATAGTCTGCACATATTAACAGCAAGAATGAATACAACTCAGACTGAACGAGACTAAAAAGTGATCCAAAGTATGTGAAGACCCGAAATAAACTCTCGTCACATTCTTGAAGATTGTCTACTGTGAAGATCTCGCGAAGACTTCTGATATGATATTTTTTATCTGCATTTTTATCAATTATCACTGCACGAAAATTAGATTTTTACCTTCATCATGACTACAATAAAATGATTAATAGGAGCTAGAATATTCCCGAGGTAACGCATGCCTTTCATAACGGGTTATTAAAATTCAGTAGGTGTTCAGTAGGTGCAGAGGTGTAAATTTGGATAGATTCTGCTATCCTGAACAATACGATTGGTTCTAAAACGGTAGTATAGTGGTGGCTCTGGTTAGAACCCAAATTAACGCTAGCATATGGAGTTGGATTTGATATAGAGCTGGATTTGCTAACCGAGTGATGCAAGAGTGAATACAAATTTACTGTAGAGGGCATTCAAAATAGGGAAAGTTTTTAAACTATTAATGGACCTCTGTAGTTGAAGGGAGATATACTAAAATGATTAAATAATAATAATAATAATAATCTAAATAATATATACAAGAAGTTCTTATTTTAATATTGTGTGAATAGTATTTAAGTGTTGATTACTTATGTCTTATTTGAATTCTGTTTTTTTTTCTTCAGAATTGTCTTCAGAATACACATCTCAATGTAACACTTACTTACAATGTAGAAAATAAATATAAAAATTAAAAAAAAACTATCAGCTGCAATGTTTTAGTTTATATTGTATAAACTATTTAGAAATAATATAATGACATGTACTTTTGAAACTTACTTAAATATTTCTCGATTTACTTCTTCCATTACCTTAGCAGCGATTTTTTCAGTTTGTCCTACTAGTTTATATATGTCTTCATTCTGTTATAAAAAATTAAAAATATGTCTTAATTCAAAGACTAAACCAATATTAGTAAATTCGAATACAATTACCAGTTTATAAATAATTATAAATTTAAATATTCATAAATATTTTTGATTTTAAAGCAACTATATTAGAAATCATCTATACAATTCGTTTGACTCGTCTATAACTTCAAATCGAACAGACATTGAGTTCTACTTTAAAAAAAATTTATCACTAAGATAATTTGTGTGCATTTCAGCTGGAGACTAAATTGGTTAAATAAAGAACCTCTTAATATGTTCTCTTCTTATAAGAAGGTTTTTATGTCGAAAGAAATTGAATAAGTTGATATATATCGATTGCTGTCACTGGCAATACGCTTCACTGGCAACTATCCTTTTTTCAAAACAAATACTAAAGTTACTCTGCTGTTATTAACTAATTCTTTTTAAAATTGTTAACTTGTCTTTTTATAAAACCAGTTTTTAGCACAACTTTTTTAACATCAAAAATTTTTTAAAAAAAATAAATTATCTATCACTTCTTAATTTGGTATGACTGTAAGAGGCTTTGACAACTGCAGTGTTCATAAACAACTTCGTGAAAACTTTCGAGTGTTCTGATAATACTGAAGATTGGTTTACAACCAGACAATCGCCAACTATCGAGTAAATATATGTAGCTTAGCCACATTTTACAAAGATCTGCAAATGACATCAATGCAAAAATTCTTGACTGTAACGATAAGACAACAAAGAGACAGAAGTTTGACTTTAGGAAAAGAACTGAAAGACTGAAGCCAAATTATATTTATTACTTACTATTGTGAAATAGTTAGTTATAAGTAGTAAAGTTTTTTCAATGCATTTAACCACCAAAGAACTGTATTGATATATTAACTCACTTGCATGATATCTTCATATATAGTAAAGTTGTAAGTATATCCGCCTCTTTCAATGATTGGATTACATACAATACAAGTTCCTTTTTTCCAACGTGTGAACAATTTTAGACTGTTTGTAAAGTAAATAAAATAAAATCTTTTATACAAAAATATTAATATATTTTAACTAGCTACCGTTCTAAATAATCTCTTGTCGCTTGAACTATCATATTTTTGATATCGATTGCAGAAGGCTCAAATCCAACATCAGAATGAACAAGATTAGCCTTAACTTCGAACATAGGTTCATTACCAGTCAGACGATCAATGTAGCAATTCAAATTCTTATAAACATTCCTTAATAATAATAAATCGAATTAAGTAATTTATTTTTCATTTTATTAAAAACAAATTTACCTTATCATAGCTTTGTATGTTTCTGTTTCCCACTGTACATAGTAATTGCGCATTTTTTCCGTTCGTCCTGTAAAGGTACCAAGCACTAAACTTTCCAATTTGATCAGTACTGGACCTAACGAATCGTACAGTTTCTTCATATATGTACATTTTCTGTTTCGCATCAAATACAAGCTTGGTAAAAATTTTCTAGCGTAATAGGCTTTAACGCCACAGTCTCCTTCAATGCGTATAATACGTTTTTTATCTTCTTCAATTCGTATGATTACAATATCAGATTTGGGAAACATTTGTGAATATCTGTAGCCCTGAAGACTACTATCACTGTGTACTACTTCAACTTCATCATCCGAATCTTCACCTATCATATCATCGTCCAAATCAAAGAGATTTGTATCTTCAATTTGTTGTATGCGGTATTGTATATCACGACGTATATAATCTATTTGTGATACAATCGATGTGAGTTTGCGCACCATTGTATTAATATTCTCACATAGTTTTTGTATATTAAAAGACTGCCACGTATAGCGACCTAAGCCCGCTTGTATGATGACTTCAGTGTCATAGATATGATCCCGTAAGAAATCCACCTAAAAAATCGATGTTTTTTGTTTCCATTTATTAAAGAATATATGGGTAGTTTTGTTTTACCTCTGACAAAGTAAGTTTATCTATAAGACGGTTGTATTTGTCTATAATAAATACAACTGCTTCATAGTCCTCAAAAAATAAACCCTTACGCATAATAGCTGTTCGTAACACAGCAGGCAATGAATAACCGAGGTTTTCAAATTTTTGTCCTTCAAACATAACTTCGAATATATCTACAAGTTTGTAAAATTGATGGATAAAAACTTGTTATGTGTTTACTTCATGTAAAATTAATATTTGCAATTTTAAATATGAGGTATATATTGTATATTGTTTATTATAGATTATTTTTTATTACCTTTATTCATATTAACTATGAAGCGCATTTCATGCTCCATCAAGACACGATCACCTATTAGTGTGCGCCAGGTGGGCAGTCCAACTTGCGCATCCGCGTCTATTAGCACTATAAAAATTAATTTTTTTGAGTAAATCTTCAACTGTACAGTAGCGAAACAAAAACATGAAATGCTAATGTTAGTTAACATTAAACTAATAAAGTCCATTAACTAACAGAAAGTTTGATCGTTTAACAGTTTTATGTTAGAAACCGAGAATATTTTATAGTGCTGTTAATGATTTGTAATGTAATGTTAATAAACTCCTGTTAACCTATATTTTACAGAAATATTTAAGCTTAAATGCAAAGGCAAAGAGAAAACTTACAATGGCATTGTGTAAGACAAATTTTGTCTTTTTCTGTAATTTTTTTACGTTTTCTTTTTTGCATTGCTTTTACAAATGTATGTGCTTTTTGTATCTGTACGTTGCCTTGTGGAGTTCTATTAACCATCCATAGTATTAACGTTGCTGTCACAACTAGTCTCGTAACTCTTCGCATACGTTGCACGCCATGTTCACCTACACCCTGGTCACCTTCATCCTGTCCCGGAAATATGGTTTGCTAAATATTAAGAACATTAAAAAAATAATGACCATTACGTTCGTTATTAAATGCAAATTATATTTTCCTTACTTTAGCACGAAGAGTCTCTATTGACTCCGTTATATAGGTGACTGTAAACAGAATTCAGATATGATCAATTTGATCCGAAATGATTCGAAACTAGTGCAAAAGAACTTACTTGTATCTTTATTAACAATTTCAATACCAATAATATTTTTACGCATTACTGCATTAATGAGATACATTGCCCTTGCCTTAAAGCCATCATAGAGATCAGTTTGAAAAGTATACATTTTATTGATGAGCTCATAGTATTGCTTAAAAGCATTGCGTTTAACGTAGCTGTTAACCATAATAGGATTATTTTCTTCCTATAGCAAATAAAAATAAATGGTTATAAATAAATAAAATAAATATGTGGAACAGAAAGACAACTGTTCACAAATACCTTTCTAAATGCCAAAACGGATTCTCTTAACTTTTCACTCAATAGACGAGTCCATAAGATTGCACCAATTTTCATTGGTTGATGTTTTCCAATCGGTGGTACTTTTTTATTATTCTTATAAAAAAAATTTAAGTTATTACATTGTTTTGTCATTATCATCATACTTCTTCACTTACCATATATTCATATGATATTAAATTTATTTCCGAAAGGAAAAAGCGAAGCACATTTTCATGTTTTTGACTTACAAATTCTGCTAATGGCGGATATGTGTGTAGTGATTCTACGTCACAAATCAATTCTAAACCCAAATCTGATTGCCTTAACGTATTAATGCTCTTATCAATTACTAGTTTAGCATCACTTTCAACCTGGTCCAATTGAGTTTGAAAGATTTCCATTGAATATTCCCAATCTTCCCAATTTCCAGGCAGAAATATATCGTAATCTATACTTTTGATGAAATTATCAAGTAAACGATAGACTTTTACCATTAAATCGTCAACAATGGTTGGATCTGTTATAATTGATTTAAGTCGACAACCAAAAAGATTTTCGAATTGTACAAAAGTAAGAGCTATTCTTGCTATGTCATTACTAATACGACTGAGATGATCAACTTCTCGAAATAATATAGTACGATCGAATTCCCAACGTGAGCCTACTCCAGATTGTTCTATAATTGCACGTGCATCCAAGTACCCTTCTTTCCAGCTACGTAGAAACTCTGAACAGTTGGCAGCAATTTCATGTGTTACCTTTGCATTGTTTCTATTATATAAACATTGTATGTAGTAATATAACTTTTTTATTTAATTTCATTGCTTACTTGAAGAGAGTATCAAATGTTATGTATTGTTTCACTTTTATAGCAAAAACATTGGATATTTGTGCCAAAAGCTTTTCCATTTCAGGATCAAGTGAATAATATGAAGACATGGTCCATATGTGTCTTAATCCAACCATTATGTTTCCAATAAGCAGATGAAACAACTTGAAATTGTCTTGATTATTTATTTTCTAAAATACACAAAGTACCAAATTATTATATATATAAAACAATGTTATGATTTATATGCGACTATAACTTATATGTGAATATTTCTGTCATGCGAGTTAATTTGTTGTATAGATATATTTTTATAAACAATTATTAATTAAAAAACTATACATGAAGAAAACATTCGTTTAGATTTGCTCCACAAATAGCATGAAAAGTATATCTGGTAAAAATTGTCCTAAGAGGACACCCATCATTAATCAACTTGTGTATGTTGAGAAGTGTTGTACCACCATAATGAGTGTCAACTGAAGAGGACGTACCTTAGAAGGGTTAAACACGCTTCTACACTACTATACTTGAGTCTAGAGGGTGAAAAGTAACTAACTATAGTCATTTTTTAATTTCTGGACTACCAATGGATTAATAATAATAATACACGAAGAAACAGCAGTTGGAGTAAATCGCCTCTCCTATGTAACTTTGGGGGCTTCATAATAGGCAATAGTGAAAGTGCGGACATTTATTTTAGCAAGCTTTCTCTTAACTTAACTATATCTAAAGAAGTTTTCACTGTATTAAGTTTACTATACTTGAGTCTAGAGGGTGAAAAGTAACTAACTATAGTCATTTTTTAATTTCTGGACTACCAATGGATTAATAATAATAATACACGAAGAAACAGCAGTTGGAGTAAATCGCCTCTCCTATGTAACTTTGGGGGCTTCATAATAGGCAATAGTGAAAGTGCGGACATTTATTTTAGCAAGCTTTCTCTTAACTTAACTATATCTAAAGAAGTTTTCACTGTATTAAGTTTACTAAAATACTTGGAATGCAACAAACAAAACGCCAAATATCTTTAAATCATAAATATTCTTTCATGATATCATTTTTGATAGATTAACAGCGCTCATCGACCAATTTATCAATCACTATATCTATACGTTTGGTTATTATATATAAATAAGGTATAAGGTTTTATGTTGAAAATGGAAGACCAAAAAAAAAGATTGAAAAATGTAAGCAAATATATATAAAAACTTTATTTAAAGTAAATTTAAGAAAAGCGTTAATATAATAATTCAATGCTTTCAATTTATGTAAATAATTATTTCATTATATTTGAAAAATTATTTAATTTATTTAAAATTTTTTAGAGATCTATATTTTCAAGAACAGGTTTTAAAAAAAATTTTAAAATTGAAATATACACTAAATGCTTACCTCTATATAGTCAGTAATTGTGCCAACATAATCGCAGTTCTCCTTAGCTTGCCCATAGTCTACTTTTAACTTCGCTTTAAGTTCCGCGAAATCTTTTAACAACGGACAATTGACCTCTCGTAATCTCACTATAGTACAACAAGAAAATTATTTAAGTTTTTATCTAAATACCTTTACTACAATATTTCTCTCTTACCTATTACAGCAGTAACGAATTTGGATTTTAACTGCTCCAATACACTGTAGAGTTCAATTTCTCGTGTGTGCCACAAGTCGTACTCAGCCAGTGGAGTGAATTCTGCTAATTGCTAAAAGAAAAAAAAATGAATAAGTACAATAAAAACAAAGAATTATAACATATTTTTACCAATGCCTGTAATTCCTTTCGTTTTGCCTCACAGAAAACCAACCAATTGGCTAGAACTTCTTGTAATTGTATAGAATCATAGTTATCTATTAAAGCAGGCTTTTTGGGATCAAGAAAAATTCTCTTCTTTTTTCCTTCGAACTCAATGTGTTCTTGTCCTGGTGCAATAAATGATGTGGGCAACTCAAATGCTAAACTTATATGATCCTTAATGAAATCAACTTGATCTTCGAATACTTTCATCTCTGATAACAATGCTTCCTGATGAGGTGGCACTTTATCAATTGGAATTTTTCTCTCATCTCGCATCTCTTTAACTTTTTCATGTGCTTTCTGCAGCAAACGCTCCCATCGTTCATCTATAGTCAGTTTCTCCTCAGGTTCCTCTACAGAATTTAGAATATTAGAAAAAAAGTTAATATAACTAGCAGTTTATTGTTAAGCACTAATATTATAATATAATAACTAATAATAATTTTTAATTTACAATGAAACTATTCAATGATATGATATCAAACTAAATAGTAATCATAATAGTGTTAGTATCAGTACGTGGGGGGGTTGAACATTAGCTGTTCATGACACTAAGTCTATTGACGAACTATTATTTCCAGCGCTCTTCCATGTTTCGGAAGAATTTCTATTACTACACCCTAAGCTTCTCCAGTTTAGTATTTGACCACTCTGTTGCGTGAGTTAATTCTTTCTTAAAAATTTTTTTCTTCTATTTTTTGAGACTAGGGCAGTCTTTAAGGATATGTTAACTTGTTTCTATGTCTTTCATATATAGTCTTCATAAATTGGTTGTCCAAAGAGCCAACCGCACTTTATGCTTATATAGAGCGTTTTGACCGGTTATCTACTATCTTCAAGTTTAGGATATATTTGCTGTTCTTCTCTGAGTAATTCGGGAAGAAGTCTTTTGTATTGCAATTTAAAACAGATAAAAATATATTCATGAAGAATGAATATATACTATGCATATAGTATAAATTGAATTCATAGAGGTTATAAGGGAAATACAATTTCATCCTCTTCAACTTGAATCAATATTTACTCCAGTTATGATTTCAGCTATGAGGCACCAGCGCTTGACACCTCTTCCTACTTCATTGAGGTACAATCAGTGCTTTCCAACATTTCTACTAACAACGTTTTCGTGAGCCTGACCATAATGTATATATACAGTAACCTTCTCGTGCTTATTACAAATACCCTACCCTTTCACCAGTTCACATTTCTGATTTCTTCGTTATTGTAGCACTGTGACTCAGATTACATACGATTTTTCTAAGTGTTCATTCTATTAATTAAAATGTTACGTCTAATTCGTTGGTTATTGGAATGGATTTCATAGCACTTTGCTATTCACTGCCTAATTGCGATAATCTTCATTATTAATTTTTTAAGAAGGCTCTTTACTAGATTAAAGTCTCAAGTGGTAATTTTTGATGCTTTTCACCTACCGGAAAAAAACCTACTTAACTTAATATACTTATCATGTTCATACATAGTTATACATCCTACAAAAAAAGGAACTAAAATCTGAAAATTGAAAATTTTAAATCTGAAAAATTAAAAAAAATTTTGGACATATGCTATATTATTGCAGTGCATTTCAATGTAATTAGGAACAGCCAAATTGCTATTTAGCAGCACTAAGAAAACAAATTAAGTATATAATTTCATTTTGCATAAGCAACATTGTGATCAATTTTAATATAATCTGTACAATAAGTTCACCTGATTCTTCTGAGGATACCGCTGAATCTGAATCTTTTGCATCCGCAGCCGTTTCTACAACTTCTTCCTCTTCGCTTCCTTCTTCGGCTTTGGCTTTCAATGCAGCAGCCTTTTCCTCTGCCCGTCGCTGTTCAGCCAATTTATCCAATTTCCTTTTGTTTGACATTCGGTTGGTTTGATGCAGTTCGAGTTCATTCATTCATTCATTCATTCATTCATTCGTTTATTCATTTTAAGTATTCATTGTTCGCATTGTTGTTAAATGGTGTTTATGTTGTTGTTAACATTGTTGTTGTTATTGTTGTGACATTTTTATATAGAATCCAATAATTATTATTGTTTAATCCGAAAGGAAAAAAGGGGCGCCGGCCGCACAAAAAAAAATTAAAAACGGAAGAAAATAAGAGAAGAAAAATGTCAAAAAAGGAAAAATACGAGTACATACATTATAAAAAAGAATTAAAAATAAACAAATTCAAAACAAAAGTAATGAAAGGCTGCAAAGATAAGTGAAAAATAACATAGAAAGGGTTTAAATTAAAACAAGCTATGGAAATCGTCCTTTTTACGCCAACGAACAAAAAGTAAATAAAGCGTAGTTGCCTAACAATAATGGGAAAATGGGAATTGAACCCGGCCATCGAGTTTTCAACAGTTTAAAACATGAGAGCATTTATACGAATATTTTTCGGACAAATGCCCTTTCCAAGGCTTTAAAGTTTTTAAAAGGAAAAATCCGATTAAAAATAAAATGCTATCTGATGAAACGATATTTATGTGCGAAGGGGTCAAATGTAAAATGGCAAGGAACAAGTCATTCTGTAGAACACTCCAAACGCGGTACAATAAGTAACACGAGCAATTATCATCCACATGCCAGTGCAAAAATTATACAAAACAAAAAGAAAAATAAAAACAATCATTTTTTAATCAAGTTGATGGCAGGAAGAGATAAAAACAAATTAAAAGTTAAATAAATAAATAACTGAGGAATTAAATTTGTTTAACAGTATAAATATAAGTAAAAAAAACTTAACAGGTTTGGACTCACTTCTTTTGTCTCATAGCCTTTAAAACGAACTCAGAAGGTTTAGATAGTTCTAGTAAACCGGGCTGTATATCCTTTGGCTCCTCTTCAACTCCAATATCGTCAGTGATGGGCTTTTCTGTTTTACTACCAGGACCTTGAGTTGAAGTAGGTTCGAGAAATTGAAATTCCAAGGCTTTGCGGAAAAGCTGTTGATGTGTAAAATGAAACCATATTAATTTAATATATTTTAAACTCAAATAAATATTTTCAAAATATTCTTATTTCACTTTATTTCGTGTTGAAATCTAAAATGCCCTCAAGATACATTAGCAATAAAAAAAATAATACTAAAGCATAAAATTGTCAATAAATATTAAAATTAAACAATAATTATTCAAGAGAGGTTACTTAGCATAAGCTGTGAAAATTGTATTCGAATTTTTTCTTCATTCTCCCCTTTTTATTGACAGCCTCAACATATTGCCAGAATTCCATAGAAGCACAATTTGGGAAACCTAAATGTTGCTCTTGGCACAAAGGAATCATTTACGTTTTGATGTATCGATTCATTATTTCCTCGAGCGGAAAAACGAAAAGGATTTTGATGAATGACTCTGCTTATATAAAATTAATTAGAATGCGCCACTAAATTATTTTTCAATATAGTGTGAGTGCCTTTAAAAAATGTAAAATAGCGTTGGTAAGAAGCATAAAGTGGAGATTGTTTCACAAAAAACACAAAAAAAAAACGGAAGAAATATTCCAGTTTGTGGTTTGATTAATTGAAAATTGCTTAAAATCGAAGCTCGATAAGGGCATGACCTAAGGTTGCTATGATTAACTTAAGGGTTTCATATCCCTTTTTAGGCGCTCTAAGTGAACAAGCAAGAAATGCTAATTAACTTAGAATAAAAGAACTTAATTATAACCTATAAAAATTATTAAACTTCAATAAGAAAATTAAAACAAAATAATAAATTTAATTTACTGTTTTGATTTTACCTGAAGATGTCTTTTGAGAGAATCAAGCAATGGTTCCATTACAGTTCCATATATGAAGTGACCAGGCATCATGGCAAAGCACTCGTTTCGGTCTTCATAAAATGCTATAGTACAAATTTAATTACACTTCATTTAATATAAATTAAATAAATTTTTATTTATATTTTTAATAAAAAATAATAAAATAATTAAGTTATACATTTAATATTTAATTTAATATTTATTACATTCTATGTGCTAAAATAATAAATTATATTAATTATTAAATAAATTCATATTAATTTCTATAATATTAAATCATCAGGGGGCTTTTAAAAAGTAGTGACTACAACAACAAAAATTATATTTATATTATTTTAATTAATTAAATTTTTAGATGATGGCTAATAAATACAGAACCTCGTAACTGACAGGGCAAAATTGTTTACAAGTAATTAACTATAAGAAATAATTCCAAGACCACTGATGATGGGTATTTGGCAACATTTGAAACAACTGTATAGTCAGCCAAAACTTGTTATACTTTCCGAACCGTCTCTATTAATTGCAACAGTTTCTATCAAGTAAAATAGTCAGTACTGTCATATTGACAATAAAAATTAATTTAACTAAATTATATGTATTTCTATATTTATATGACATATAAATATACTTTTCACTCGAAAATAATCACATTGTTTTTATACATATTATGACATTTTGCTTGAACTAAAATTTTAGACTTATTGTGTATATTATTAAAACATATGATATCAATTTATAATTATAAGTAATTAACTTACTATTTTTAAGAAATAATATAATTAAAAATAATATAGTTAATTAATTTTTTTTTATTAGTAGTAGCAATATTAGTAGCAAAGAAAAAGTTGTATTTACGTATAGACCCCACTTCTCTGCGAAGTAGATATATATATCTTATGTCGTCTTCCATACATTCCAAAGTACCAAAACTGGCGTGCAAAATTGGGGTTTTATAGTATCTTGGCACAATTTTCTAAAAAAAGAATAATGCAGTAATAGTTTAATAGTTATATATTTTGTAATCATGTAATCATGTTTTTTCTATCTCTATATAACAATCATTTATATTCTATGTTTTTTGAGAAGGAAAACATCGAGAGATATTTTAGATATGTATATGTAGATCACACACTGTTATTTTAAATATATATGGATATGTCACTGGGCATTGTCTATACGTGTCTTTCTCTTTTTAGATCGTAATACTTATTATTACGATTTATAATTACTTATAGTCATTCATACCTGACAGATTGTAATAAAATAAATAAATTTCAAAAAAAAAAAAACAAAAAAATTATTCTATGTTTTTGATATAGTTTATTGAACTAACAGTAATTAATAATTTAAATAACTTTTAATACTTTTTTACTAAGTTTTACTTGGTTTACTTAAGTCTTTTGGTTTAATTTTCAGTTTCGTAACATTATATTATTATAACTTACCCGGACTTCCATATAAACTGGTTCCGGAGGGATAACTTTTTTCTTTTTGCCCTTTTTACCCTTTCCTTTTTTTCCTGTTATGTGTTTAAATTTTTAATCAAAATGTTATTTAATAATTATTTAAAATAAAACAAAAAATTACTACCTTTTTTTTTTTTTTCTTTTCCTTAGTTTTGATAATTAAAAGAACATTAAAAAAATGAAAAATAAATTAAATTATAAATTAAAGTGCGAAAACAAAATTAAACATAAATAATAATTAATAATAAATTTCAAACTCTGGAAGTTAATCTTTAATACGATTTAAATGTTAGATTTGACTTTGCATATGGGTACAAATATATAGTTAATCAGGTGGAGTATTTCCTTTTCAAATAGAATAAATTCTGGAACTAATTATATTGCTTGGAAAATATAAGTGACATAAGTGACATAGACTAAACCTAACATGAACTAACTTACACTGAGCCGAATAAGAACGAACATTAGAAAAAACCTTCAGTTATAAATTCCTCTATATCATAAAATTAATTTGATATTTATTGTATATCTTCAGAACTTCTCTCTGAGCTATATTTGTTTCATCATCTGATGTTCAGGCCTTCAGCCGACAGTAAGCTGGCTGAAGTTTCGTCATCCTCATGGGCTTATATCCTTCTTAGTGGGTAGAGGTCCATGACCTCAGTACATCCCCAGTGTATTCAAACATATATACCAGGGTGTATTAAATTAAAAAAAAAATTTACAAATTAATACTTTTATCATTACAATTACAAATCAAACCAAAACAAACAACTATAACTAGAATTTAGCAGGTATTCCATCTCTCGGTTCTGATGCAAACGGATTGGCTGCTGTTCAACACATTAATTTGGTACCTTAAAATACAACGCAAACACACCCAACCGGCACCAGCTATGTTCGGAAATAATGATGGGTAGTCACTGAAAATACAAGCAGCAAGCAGATGTAAATAACCGTATCCCTAGTCCGTAACTTATTCCCCTATACTATAGACTCTATAGCGTTGTGGAAAAACCTATCAAAAACCATTAACGTGTGTCGTCTGTAAAACAGATTTATACTAGTTTCGTATAGAAGACCCATTACTTTTCTAATGGAATAGATTTTGTTAAAAAATTGACTTCATCACTTCCAAATTGGCCAATGATTTTTTGTGTTGGAAAAAAAATTTTAAATTATTTTCTAAGGAGATATAGACCAAATAGGTTTAGAGACATAACATATTGTATTATGTTTTTACGTGTATATTTTGAAAGTACAAATATATTTGTTTGTATTATTCACCAACACAATATTTTAATAATATTATTAATAATATTACATTAATTTTTTAGTATTAATTTTAATACTAAATTTTTCAATTTTAATTTAATTTTTAATTTAGTTTTTATTTTAAGAAAATATGTTGTTATTTAATCATAAAGTACATTTACATTTAGTAACAAATTCAAACTAGATTCTGAAAATAGTCGAAGATGGTCGAAAATGATCATAGATAGTCGATATATTGAGCTTATTTATAAATTAAAATAAAATTTTTGGTTAAATAGAATCAATATATTTTGTTTTAGATATAGATATCAAAAAGATATCTTGTTTTTAATATTATATAGTTTTTTCAAACTTATCAAAATGGGTAAGTTGGGGATATGTATTTGATGTAAACTATTGCATTAAATAATCTAATATGGAACTGTGTTTGATTATAATTTTAAGTAGAAAATTTTTAATTTTATTTGCATGCCTTTTGGATTTTGTATAAATTATTATTAATATCATATTCCTTATTATAACTCGGAATTCAGAAATATTGTTAAAATAGCACTTTTCCAAGTTTCCATTGTTTTTTCGCTACTACTAACTATAATTTTTGAATGTTGTCAAGTTGTCGCATCAGATTGCCTTACTGCATATATCCTTACAACATGCAAATTTTTTCTTGATTTTTTTTATTCTACATTTTAGGCAACTTCAGTGACTTCTTTTGTTAACGTCTATGATGACTGACTGGATTTATTATCTTAAAGTATAAGCTATGGCTTTCAGTTTTTTATCTGAATAAACGAAAGGCGCTTTGCATAGCACTCGAGTGCCTTTTGAATATTTATGACTTTAAAGGGACGTTGTGTTACTCAGAGTAGAACTCAGAAGATGAGTGTGGAGAGTGCGGAAAGAAAATAACTGAAAAAGTTGTAATTAAAAAAAAATGAAGATATGGAAAGGAATGGTCAAGATATGCGTTCGCAAAGTTAGCTTATGCATTCATCATAGCCCGTTCAACGTTCAACGTTCAACGTTGCAGGTTGCAATCAAAAATTTTAAATTTATACGAAAAAGGACTAAATTACAAAAGTAAAAACAGAAACAAAAAATGTAATGGAAAAATAAAAGGCCTTAAAAATGTAATAATTTATGAAATCAACTAAAACTTTGAAATTTGTTAGAGTGTAAAAATAAAGAAATATATCAGCATTAAAGCAGCGATAAGACCGAAATAAAAAAATAAAAAAATTTGGCTGAGCCTTAAGGGAACTTTTCCCATAATTACCATCATCGTCCTCATCACTGACTATATTTGGTGAAGATGCATTATGTTTATTGTGTGTTGCAGTAATTAAATGAAAGACGTTTCAGAATATAATAAAAAACAGGTTGAAATTATTTTATAAATTAAAGCTTATAACAAAAATTTAAATAAAATTTTAAATATACCATACCTGTACGTGCGGAGCTCACTTGACTTTCTGGTGCTGTTTCTGTTGCTGTTTCTGTTTCTGGAGCTGTTTCGGTTGTTGCTTCTGTTTTCGTTTCAGCTCCCGTCTCTGCAGTAGTAGTTGTCTCTTTAGTAACTGTAGTTCTTGTTGTTCTTGTTGTTCCTGACGTTCGTACTTCTGTTGCCGTTTCTGTACCAGTTTCTGCTCCAGTTTCTGCTTCCGTCTCTGCTCCAGTTTCTGCTCCGGTTTCTGCTCCGGTTTCTATGCCAGTTTCCACTCCTGTATCTGTTCCGGTTTCAGGATCAACTCCCTCTGGTTCGGTGAAGTCCTCATCTGCACCTCCTTTTTGTCGTTTACCGCCTTTACCTTTTCCACCACCTTTTCCACCACCTTTTCCACCCTTTTTACCTTTTTTATCTTTCTTCTCTGATTCAGTGGGCGGTGATGGTGGTACTAAAAATAATATTAATTATGAAAACTATGTTATATTCATATATTATTATATATAATTTAATATAATTAGATTAATTATATAATATAATATTATATATGACTTATATATTGATAGAAATTAATATATTTGAAATTATTATTTTATTAAGAAAAATAATTAATTAATAATCAGCTAAATGAACCATTTAAAGATTATAAATTTTAAAGATACGATACATAATACCTTAAGTAATAACTAACTAAATCATAATAAAAAGCAGTCAGTCATGTTTTATATAAATAAATGTTATATATTATATATATTATGCTTACAAAAAAATATTACTCATATAATTATAGGATCGAAATTTAATGTAACCAAAACATATATAATAGATACGAGATATAATGCACATGAACTTAATTTAAATTTATTTACATATAATTTGATTCAATGTGGGTATAATGACGCATGGATACATTTTAGTAACATAGAAGTTAGAAAAGAAATATAGATGTCAGAAACATTTTTCACTCAGAAGTTATACTCGTCGGTATCACAAATCTATAGCAGATTTATCGCAAAGTTATCGAAATTAAGTTTAAATATTAAAATATATATAGGATGAAGTAAGTTCATAACAGAAGAATCGTGTGATGTTGCTATAGAAGTATGGTAGTAATCGAAAGAAGATAAGAATGTGTTAAGTTCTTAAACATAAATTAGACATAATTTATTAAATGTATATATGAATGCTTGAGTTTATGAACTATGATATAACTGCATCATTTTTCTCGATCAGTATAAGAAATAGAAAAAATAATAAAATTAAGAGGGCGCACACACACATGAAAATATTTTTGACCAAATGCTCCATAGTTGCTTATGGATCACTACAAGAATCCAGTAAATAATTTTCTTTTCTTCAGCATTATTTTTTTATTCTATAAAAGGCAAATAGTCAAGTTAATTATATTTAACTCGAATTACTGAAATTTTTAAATACTGTGGGATACCATATTTAGATAAGATAATTTGTATGGCTTAAGTTTTGGGTTAGAGTATTATACTGCTTATTTAGGAAGTACAGAATTTTTATCAAATTAATTGCGTCTCTATTGAGTCACTAAGTAAGATTTAAGGAGAAAGATTTGTGAATACTTAACAAAAAAAAAAATTCCATTTTGGTAGAGAATAAGAAAGTGGAAAAATAATAAAGAATATAAATGAATGAAGCAAAGTGATATGGACAGACATGTATAGCTAAATTAACCAATAAAGTAATTTTATACACACATATAAAAAAGCTGGTCTAAAAATAATTTGAGTTGAACTTAATATATTTAAGTAGTATATTCCAATATCTATATATAAAGATGATAACTAGTCGATTAGATTCATCTCAAATTTCAAAAAAAAGTGGTTGATGATGGAGATCTAATGTATTTAACTAATTGTAAAAATATATAAAATAATGATAAATGGAAATGAGTAGGAAAAACCAATTGTAAGTAATTGTGCTCACATAAAAAATTGAAGATTGCCGAAACCTATAGTCATATAAAACTATAGTTACCTATTAAATAGTAATATATTAATTATTGACTTTTATATATCACATTATTGCAAATCAATTATACATATATATATATATATATGTATAATTTTTTTTTTTTTGTGCAAAACAAATAGTAGTTTATCTAGACTTAGGTTAGGTTAGGTTATACCGGCGATCCCTAGTGGATCCACTTAGGCCTATTGGCCCATTGTGATGCCGTATATAAATAATAAAAAACCTCAGGGTTTAAAACCACCTAGAACCTTTTGCGAAGCATAAAATGCTATTTAAAGCCCGATCCTGTAACTGGTCCAGGTTACCTAGACTTACACAATCATTAAACTTTGTTTAATGATTTAATTTATATACTATATGTTTCATTAATAGAATATGAATAATATATACATATATGCTTTCTTGAGGAAAGTCAATGTGTAGAATTAATATTTTATAAATCAGAATAAAGAATTTTTAATCTGTAAAAATTTAAAATAATTATTATGGATACAAATTAAAGGCAATTCACTATTCCTACTATTCACATATAATTTAACAGTTTTATATTTGTATTTAATATCTACTCATATACACTAAGTCTAACAACAACATATAACATATAACACATATGTATGTTTAATTACTGCTTCATGTTTTTTTAAAATTCTTGACGCTAATAACAATAATATATGTATAAACTACATAGCAATTATTTCGTAATGTAAAGCATAAAAAACTTTTACTTACTTTCTTCCAAGACAATAATTTCCTCTTCCACCAGTCTATCATAGAATGTTCGCCATAAATAGACGACAATTTTCTTAACATCAGCATTTTCCTGAAATGGTGAATCCAGAAGTTTATCGAACTCTTCCCGATGTTTTTCAAACAAGGCGTTCACATATTCCGGCTCAAAAATGCCCATTTGGTTAGCCACAAACACTTTAAGCCACAAAACACGTGCGTCAACGAAGATATCCATGATGAGTGAGACCTGAGAAGTATATAAGTAATAATGGTAGCATTAAGAGTTTAAAGGTCTATAGCGGTACTTACTTATAATTCTATGTGGTTGAGTTGTAGAAACTCGCCGATATTAAAATAACTTTCTTAGAAAATTATTAACAGCTGCGCTGCAAAGCAAATTTCTGCACTCTTTATTCTTTGGATTGCTTTCTATATTGAATAGGTTTAGGGTTTTCGCTTTATGTTCTCAATTGATCAACGTTTTCTAGTTTGTTCCTCCTCTATAGCTTTTTTACTATTTAGCGCTTTAGTTCGGTTAATTGTCTTGTGATTAGTTTGTTATTTGTTGTATTCTGTTTGAGATACAATTTGATTTATTTTTCTTTTTATTCTCTAGTAAAAATTTTTTTTAAAATTTTCCTAAGCAAAGCTGATTTTGAAGTTTCTATTTTATAAAATTACAAACTTGTAAACGTTTCCACTCCTGGCTTAATTTGTTTAGTTATTGTTTTTGTTATTTGTTATATGTTGCTACCATGGTGCCCTCTTTTCTTGTTGCTTAACAAATCACCGGGAAATACGAGTAGAAAATAACCTAAGCAACCAAATTGGTTATTTTATTTGCCATTGAAATTGGCTATTGCAGATACGGGGAAAGAAGCACCATTTGAAGTTGAGTTTTCCTCTTGAAAATATATAAAATCCTGCATTCTTCTTCGTAGCATTATAAGAGAATAATGCCAATTGTTGGCTGCGTACAAATACTTGAGATTCTAAAAATTACAAAAACAATTGCAGACATTTTTATGTTAAGCATTTGGGAGGAATCGTAACATAAAGTGTTTGTTAGCTCTTTTAATGTTGAGGCAAGCAAGGAAACATCATGTACTACGCGTATTTTAAAGTTAATGTATCTACAGCAGCGTCAAGCAGCAAGGAGCAGCAAGGAAGCAGTGAAATGCAACCACAACAAAAACAATTTAAATAGCGCTTTTAGCCATCTAAGTGTAGAGTAGAAGTGTGGGCGCATCATGGGCGTGGCAGTCATGCTGTTGATGGGAATTGATATGTGTCATAGCTGGAAGTTTTGAGACGCACAAATGATGACAGCGTAAGAATGACATTTTATTGTTTTTATGTGTGGTACGTTGTGGTACGATTTCTTGGATTCATCATTGCGCCATTTGTACTGACAGCAAGGATGCCACAAATTGTTGATGTCGATATGAGTGGAAAATCACACACAACAGGAACTTATTAATAAAATATATACAAAAATTGAATAAATTTTGCAACATATGCAAAATTTGCAAGCAAGCAGTATTAAGACATTTCAAAGTGTAAAGTTGAGTAGCGCGATGTATCATGGTAAAGAGTTCTATTAGATATATGCTGTTTTTAAGTTTAGAAACTACTTTGCAATTCAAATATTTCTCAACTCTTGTAGTTTAGCTTAAATTATGCTAAAACAAAAGAGTTCTAAAAAGAATGCATAGAGAAAATTATATCAGAGATTAAAAATGATTTAAGATAATATCGTTTAATTGTGCAATCAAACTTAATTTAATAAAAAAAAAATACTATAAAATTAAATAATGTCTGATAACTTTGCATAAATATTTCTTTTATTCGTAGAATGCATCTGTTATAAAATAACAGGGGACTGCCTTCTTACCAACTGTGCATGTTAATGTTAAGTTCAATGCAGTGCAATGTTTATTACTAATTATGTTAACAGAACAGCAGCAAAGAGATAGAAATAAATAAATCTATGTTCTTGACAGTAGGACAAAAACATATTTCTATTTTTTTGATCTCTACATCAAGTATTAAAAACATAGAAATTCTTATGTTTTTGGCAAGAATTTTAAAATTTAAACTTAAATATTAACATCAATGAAAATAATTGTTGTAATTTACAGAACTGTTTTTTGACTTCCGCAAAAATTTTACATTACAGTAATTGATTAATTATTACTGTATTGTAAGTTTATTTATAATATAAATAAGTCAGTTTTAATAAATTCGTCTGTTAGATTCAGGAAATTTGTTAAACGTAGAAATAAATTCTTAAAAAACTTAGCGCATTAGAAGAATTTATTCAGAGTTAAAAGAAGATTGTGCAGAGCTTTATCCACTTCGTTGCTAAAGCTCTTAATGTGTCAGGAACACATGTTAAACTGTACTATTGTCTAAAGCGGGGATGTCCAAACCAGATGCGATTGCGGGCCAAACACAAACATACACAAATCGCTGTAGACATTGAAGGGTCGCAGAAACAAATACAATCGTTCATAGTTGTATTCGACAAAAATAAAAATACGATTATAATTTTAAATTTATTTTTATTAATTTAAATTAATTTATTTGGTGTACCATGAAAATAAAATAATGCAGTTTTAGCAGTACACTAAAAAAAAAAATTTGCGTAATTATGGTAGATTAAAAACATATCGTGGGCGGCACAAACAGACAGCTCTGATCTAAAGCAATAGACGTTTGGTTTATCATTTTACAATATAATTCGTTTAGCAAAATATTGCAAAAAGCTGATTGAATACTAGAACAACAGCGTTTGTGTAATGATTTCCCGCAATTAAGTACTTGCAGTGATGAACCTTTATTTTCACTCAATGATACGTTAAAAAAAAAAATTGTCACATCTATGACAGCAACAATCCACAAATAACTGTCAAGAGACCATGGCATCTGAAAATATCACTGTTTGGGGTGACATTTCGTATGAACTCGTGATAAGATGAAGTTTTTTAAAAACGATGAACATACGACACGCACTGTCAACTTCAGTCGCTACAAAAGATATGAGTACAGAAAATATTTAGTTACAAAAGAATAGTGCATTGAATAAAGTCATTGATTTGCGAATAATGCCAAGTTTCTGACAATTATTTGTATATATAACATATATATAAAGATATATATGAATATAGTATGTATAAATACGTACAATATGTACCTTGTAGACATCTTATGGTAAATATATCTCACGATGGAACAATCTACACATAAGTTTAAGTTTTATGATCTGCGCTCCATTTAAGTTTTGTTTAAGATGTTAGTTGATATATTTGTTGGAACATTCTGTACTAAAAACATGTACCAATCATGGTTAGGTTAGGTTCGGAAGGCGCGTGCACAGTTGTCAGCACTTCCATATATTGCGCATTGTGTTGCCTTCAAAAATTTTGCCGGGAGAGGCGAGTTGCTGACCTTTGTAATCCTTGCTAAACTATCCGGTTTTCCAGATGAAGTTGAGGAGATCCGCTAAATTTGCTTTCGTTATCTCTTCCAAACCAGTGAAAAACCGATCCTCCAGACATTGAAGTCGCCTTATCTGAAGTCATGGACAGAGACACTGAAAGTGGTTGATAGATTCATCTTGGCAACTCCTGTATAATCCACTTGTTGGAACTCGCCACCGTTGTAACATAGGCGCAATAGCACAATGCCCCGTTAGTACTCCAATAAGCACACGATTGCAGGTTTGCTGAAGCCTAAAAGTCTTTTCGTTTTATTTTTGTCTAACGTAGGCCATGAGGTTCGCGATTAGTCCATAAATTGTTTGTCATCGTGTTGGTGATTTCCTGTATTATCCTAAACAATTCACATATTGGTGTATGTATTGTGTGGTCGGTCTCTTCTGTATGCAGTTCAGAACCTCTTCTGGCCATCTCATCTGCTAGTTCATTCCCTTCAATACTGCTATGTCCGAGCACCCAGCAAAGAGAGACTTTGTATGTTTGACGCTCATCAGTGAGGCGCGACATTTCAATACAATCTTGGATTTAACCGTTTTGGATTTATTTGCTTTCAGTGCGATCTACAAAAATCGTGATATTCGAAGGACGAATTGTACTGAAAGACGCTGCAAGTATCAGGGAGTCGGTAGGACTGCCTTATCTGCATATCTTTCGAGAAGATACCTGCTCCCGTACCGCACTCCATCTTTGAGCTCACTAATCATTGACAAGTATGTGCCTGAGATTAAGACTGCAACGTCATCGGCGTAGGCAACAACCTTTGTCCTCCTAGCCCTGAAGGTTTGTGTACCAATCAGACTAACTTACTATTATAACTTTTGCAAATATTACACATCTGAAACTTAATTGAAAAAAAACTTAATTTAATTCCTGGTTATAGCCATAAGTAGGTCACTTTAATTTCAAAATACAAAATATTAGCAAAAACTAGAAGAGTAATCAAATACCTTAAATAAATTGCAATCAATGATAATTGAAGTAAAATATTCTGTTTTAAAAAATATTCTTTAACACTTGTTACTACGAATTTCAGAAGAGGCGTGTTTCCTTCTTTTAGTACTCCCTTAATTAATCTCTATTATTGACCAGAAACTACTGCAACCTGAAGTGATCTATTGAAGATAATGTCTACCTAATACTTAGGTGGCAATTTTTGTCATACTCTCACAATCTTATAAGTACTGTTTTAGTTATTTTTGATACAAGTATCTGTTGATTTTACTACACTTTATCTGTTTTCTCAGACTATCAGCTACATATATCTTATATGCTTCTTACTGTTTAGCTGATGACATTTTTGATATTATTCTTTTTTTTTTCAATAACGCAATTTTTTTGAATGATGCAATGAATATTCGTTATGGACTAACAAATTTAGATAATACCTTAAAGATATAAGTTCTGTACAAGTTTTAGAGAAAAGTTATATCCTGCTTTAGTAAATATATTAAACAGTAAGAAAGTTTTGATAAGTATAACAAAATAGACAAATTGTTACCGGAGTTTACCAAAATTTATGGTACCAAGAACGACCAGTTTAACGTCCCGAAGCCACTCATCGATATCAACGGCCAAGTGTCATTCAACACCTCTAAAACGGACTATACAAGAAGGTCCCAGCGGTCTACAAAAGCAACAACCAGAATTTATTATCAATAAGAAACGACTGAAATATTTGTTGGAATGAAACTTCATTCAGAATATATCCATATTATTGGTTTGGTATAGAATTATTTGTCTTAAACTTGAGAATGTTTTGTTTAGTTTTGTTTTATTTTAATTAACATTATTACCAAAAAGATATTCTATCAAAATTAAATAAACACTTATTATTTATGAATTTATTCTACACTTCACCTTGCAGTGGTTACCTTATTCTAGCAAAATTACTGACAGGATATCTCGAATCGCAGATACTTGATTATATAAAAGCTTTCCATGTTATTTATATGAAGTATGTGTACAGTGTGTGTGTAAAGATGTGATGTGTTTTTATATATACCTACGTATTTATTGTATACCTGGTGTCGATATAAAACATTCAATAGCATTATGTGTTTATATT